CAAGAGTCTAAACTTTTTCCAAACTTTTATGGGTGACTATTAAAAGTACTTCGCCATGATATATCATTGGGAAATGGGGACGTACACATACGGAACAAGTATTTGTATTTTCAAAATTCCCATTTAGACATTTGGTAAATATAGAAGAAACAAATTGAGCGAAGAGCCATGATGAAAAACTAATTGAAAAGAAATTTCTTCGCTCAATTCGTTCCTTCTGTATTTTTATTTTGCATTAATAGGTTTGCTGCTATTGTTCTAAAATTCATGTGAACTTTTTTTCGAAATTTTTACTAAGATCCCGTCACTAAAAGTTATTTACGTGCATGTATGGATCCAGTTTTTGGTTTCCCGTCTCTTGTGCGATCTAGTTGGTCAACTGCATCTTCTCTATTAGACCAACATGGTGTATCAGTTAGGTGGTAAGTTTCTCGCTATACTGTCTAATTGTATATGCCTTCATCTTCCAAATAAAATAATTTCAGAGGTTTTAAACATTCTAATAAGCAGTAAATATCACATTATCTATGGTCAATTGCTGACTAGAAGTTGACTTCATCGAAGTTAACCCCAGCTAAGACATCTGTCCACTTGTAATATTTTGATACAGTAATATTCGATATATTTTGTCTTTAAATTTAAAATTAATTCATAGGCTAGACCATGATTTATGGATAAACCAATCAGATTAAGGTAGGTACTCGTGTATTTGTGCACGAAATACATTCATCCGTATGGCTAAATAACATTTTGACATTATAGTTGATGTCAGTTCGTGATGACAACTCGAACTTCAATACCGAACTCTAGCTTACAACTCTAACTCATAATCCTAATTCCTCGCACCAATTTTTAACGCTATTTTGACCCTAGTTAATGGATGGAGTTCCTCGAGGGCACTTCAGTGTCGCTCATAGGTTATAGTCTCTCCACCGACTGGATTGCTCACGTGATTGGTTTAATGTGTGCTACTGTATCCGCTTGCTGAATTCAAACTAGTTTGTTATTTTAGATTATGGAAATTTTAGAAAATATTTAACTTTTCCTGAACTGCGAGAGTTTTCATTCATCATGTCATCATTATTAATTGCTATATACATAAATTTGTTTGCTTAAGTTATTTTGAAGCAAAATTCGTTGTAGATAATCTCACTCTGCTAACTCCAAGACCTGTTAAATAATGTAAAAGTATAAAATGACTGATTTCCAAAGTTTATCTCTTTGTAAAGTGTTGACTATACATAATTTTGTTAGATATATGGAATATTGAAAATGTGTGGCACCCATTTTCAAATCCAATCTTAATTCTTCATCTTTAAACACTATTGCTGTGATTGGTACATATTTGTCTTTCTTAAAATAAAATGTTATTGTAAATGAATTACATTTTATATGATGATTATTTTATAAATCAAACATAAATGTAATGACCTCGTAGGTTAGTCTACTCTTTTGATGATACACTTCTGTCAGTCATGATCAAAGTGTTCGCCAGCCCAAGTTGCCATATGATATCGTTACGGTGGGATAAAACTACCTAGGTGAATAGACTAAGATTTGAAATTATCATAGCATAGTGAGAAAGACTAAATATTGGTGAGTATGATTTGAAAAAAACTGGAGATAAATTTATGGACTTAACATTGCAGCTCAGGACTCAGCAAAGAATCATTAACTCCAAGGCATATTACCCAACATCTCCAATCAATGGTCGTTATTTTTGGGCGTATAGTATGTAATAAAATTCCGGGAGAAAATTTAGTCTTTCAAAAACAACCATTAAAAACTAAAGGCCCTTAAACATAACTTCTATCCTGTTTTTTAAACTATTCACCACACAAGACTTTCGGGCTACAAACACGCGTTTGTTTCAATTAGCGAAATTGGGATACATGTCCATAAAAAGCCTTAATAGATTTCTGTGATAAAAATATTAATATGACTGTTCGTCTAAATTTTTCAACGTATTTCTAAAGTAACAGGCTTTGTAGAAATGAAATTTTCCTGATTCTTTCGTTGTTATTTTATTAAAATTTTAAATGTTCATTTTCTGACCGTTTTAAAAAAAATACAATAGGGAAGATGATGAAACACACGAAGAAGTAATTCAAGCTAAAAAACTTGCACGAAAACGCGAACATTCAAAGGGTACTTGTAAATTATCGAGTTTTTTCAATAATGCTCAATCGAAATCTTCCACACCTGATGCGTTACAGAGACAACCATTTTTCCTACGAACTGGTCTTGTGCATGTTCAGACTATCACTTAAATTATATGAGATATATTATGTATAATTTTCTTTGTATAGATGTTTCATCATATTTCTCTAATAAAATCGATCTCTATAATAACCAGTTACATTTCTTGTGTGCGATTTATGTCACTGATCTGAAAATGAGGTAAGCTATCAAATATTAAATATGACATGAGAACGTTTACTGTTCATCAGATAATTTCATAATTCCCTCGTAATTGTACTCCAAATGTAACGTCGAACAAATGGTTTTTGTTGTGATGGAGATTTTTTATACTGTGATAGTGAGTTTTTCTCAAACTAAGGTGGGCAAACACAAATTCGAATTCATTTCAAGGAGATTGTACCTAGTAGAACATTTAGTCAAAAAAACTGTGCCAAACTAACTCAATCGGTTTTGTTTAATTCAAAAGAATCATTTATTGTAATGTTAAGGATTTCACTAAATAGAACGTGGGGGATATATTTACATTGATACATGATCTAACATGTGAATGATGTTTATTAGTAAGATCGATACTACTACACCTATTTCTTACAAACGCTGACGTGGACCTGTTCAGCATGAACAAAATACAACTGAGATATTGCACTGTTGTATTTCTATAAATATGGTCAGGCCGTCTGAACAAACCGTCTCCTCAGCTTGTAAGTATATCCACGTGACCATTTTATGGATAGGATGGTATTTCATTTGTCATGCTTACATAAAGTTTAATACAAATGAAGACCGTCAGAAGATTCATTTAAAAAAGTCAACTATGAAGTGGAGCTATCAGATGAAATATTGTTAATAATTAGCTACTCATTAAAATTCATAGTCTAATGAAGTGACCATAATATGTTGAGGCTTATTAGTCATTTATAACTAAACATTAATATTCACATCTTAGCATTTAGAGTAGGGTGGGATGGCCGTGTAATGAAATGCAGATTAAGTCCGTTTATATCAGAACATTTTATGTGACCAAAGTAATCAAATTAATAGGTTTTGTGACTTCTCTTTGTTGGTAGTCAGTACTACAGTTGACCAGTTCCTACTGCCATTTGTATACCACGGGTAGATTGCCTCGATAAAGTCTAGTCACAAGTTTTCTCTAGGCGTTTTGCAGTGAAATCAAGAGTACATATTTTATCTTATTTGGTACTTGTCACCTGGATGTGCCTGCATTACAGGATTCACATATGACAACAGAGACCGGTCATTTACGATCCTGAATATCAACAACAAGAAATTACAAGCCTTATTAATTCATCCATACTTATTGAAAAAGTTAGTGGTTTTCTGAACCAAGTAGATACAACATTGGCATTTGAAATGAAAAGTATTGATTTCGAGTTTGGTCGTGAAAATCAACATTGACAGGCAGGTACATTCATCCAAAGAGGACGAAACGCACTTTCTGGATTTAACTGCCACCCATATATCACATAGACTCCAAGCAACAGTAATCAGTAGTGAAATAAAGTTCATGCTTGACAGAGAACCAAAAAATCTTGTAAACTATTTCGTAACGTACCGAGTAATTATGATACATAAACAAAGGTGGTCTAACATTTACGTGATTGGCCTCATAGAAGTAGACGTTAAATATCAATGCTTTTCTAATGCTAAACAAATGAGCAAGAAGTGATCTTCAAAAAGGCAGTATTTGTCTATTGTGAAACATCCACTAAACGTATGCATTACAGAGTCTTACAAAACATGAGCTCCTGATTATTCCTCTATGATTATAACCTATCGAGTAGTAATTTTGATCTTCGCAATGAATGTATAGTTTGAAATAAAATATTCATGTGTTTAGCACAAGAAAATCCCTTCCCATATACTGGAGGGACGTCTTACGGTAAAATAAATCGCTATTTCATGAAAAGACTCCTAATAAACAAAATCGTTTCTTTCAGTTGTCGACACGGCAAACTTTAGATAAGTTTATTGACACACAGTCTATGTTTTTACTGGATTTGTTATGATAAACTTTTGTATTTTTTCATAGAATTAGATAAACTAGAAAAAGATATACAGAATTCCTAAAAATATAACTGGCATGGTTAGTTCTAAAGTGTATATAATACTCCAACGAGACCATCGCTTTATTGTGATCTGCAGGTCTACTCTACGGGTTTTCATAAATGCATAAATCGACTTATCATGCAATAATTAGGATCTATCCACTTTGGATTGTTATATATGTTGAAAACCATTTTGTTACAAAACTCAAATGCTGTTGTCATTCTTCACTTGAAGTTCTTTTCTACTGAAATTTTTACATCAGAATTAAAGGACCAGAATAGATAGTAACTCGTATCGATCGCGTTTTTTGTCTTATTCATGGTCAAACAGCTCCAACTTGCTAAAACTTCATTAGAAGCAAGTTTTAGTCCTATGCCTTTTAAATTTAGATTCGTCGAATAAACTGATGGACAAAAAACCTTATTTGAATAATTTTGTGTAGAGATCTTTATTTACTAAAATCAAATAATTTAACTACTTATGTTATTAGTTAATTGACATAGTAAAGCGACTGAACTGTATCCGCCTAACTTAGTTCTCGTCAATCCAGTTTACCAACATAACTATTTAATCGAGAAAATAGTGTTTGACAAAAAAAATCAATGTTATACGAATACGTTAACAAGCTATATTTTTGGCAATAATAACGTTTAAATTCAAAAAAAAAAATAAACCAAACAAAATATGAATCTGTTAACTAGTCAAAAAGTACTTTAAAGTATATTTAATCTTCAGTTCTCTGGTCTATGCAATGGTCTTGGTGACACCTTTTCACAAGATACTGTACAGATTAAACGTTGAAATCTATGTCTAAAATTTCGCAAAAATATTAAATACAGGAAGAAATTCACTGCATAAGTAATGTCTTTAACAGATGAGAAAAGTCTGGACAAATCAATAATACACATTGCATACGGTTTATGCCTATCCACATGTGATAAAGTTAAACTCAGTCGTATTAAAACAAAACATACCATCGGTAAATACAATAATAAGAATGCAGTACTCAAAGCTAAATGTCCAAAAACTCGTCCCATTTCCATACGATTCCGTGAAGAATCAGCTGGTAATAAAGCTGTTCTATTAACTTTCAATTTCCATAATTGAATACAAATGAAAACATTTAAAAATAGTACAAGACAAAATGGTATTGTGAACGTGACAATTGTTTCAAATGTTATGGTGAATTTTGCTACTGGATGTTCAGAAATCATTCTACAAGTAAAGTTTGTTCGACTTGATGTATCAACCATTAAAGTTTGTACAAATAACAATGGTGAATTACTGAATATTCCCATTGAATATACAAGAATGCATGCAATTAAAGCCCAACGTTTATGATATATAGAATAGAATTTAATCGGTTTATGAATAGTTAATAGACGGTCAATTGAAAAAATCACAATTAAATAAGATGATGTAAAGTACATAGCATTCGATATATATTCAACACTTTTACACCAAAACGTTGAAATTGTATCTAATTTAAAATAGAATTGATGATTTGTTGCATAATATAGACCACGTCCAAGAAAGTCATCAATAAATGTATTCATAATTAATGTAATAATATTAGCAATAGCTAAAAAGATTGAATAAATTGAAAATCTTGATAATTGTTTTTCTTTTAAAAATATGAATACAATAAAACTATTTCCTATTACACCGATAATTGCAATTATTGGACATATATATGCACGAAAACTACCAACCAAATTACTATAATCTGTAATTGTAGTATTATTTGGCATTTCTTTGTTTTTCTTTTATAAATAAAATATAATTGAAATTATGAAAATAACATGATTGCGTTTGTTCTGTTTTGTTTACTGGTGTGTGTGTATAATGATGATCATGATGATGATTCTCAAAAGTTCTTTCAAACTATATGGATAGTATAAATGCATATATATATATATATATATATATATATATATATATATATATATATATATATATATATATATATATATATATATATATATATATATATATATATATATATATATGTGCTCCAAAAATCAATAAACTTTCCTTCCTTCACAATTTATCCAATCAAATACATTCCACTTATTTTTTTCTATTTTGTCATAATAAATAGTTCATATTATATATTCAAATTAATCGATAATTCATTAAATTAGTTTATTGTATGTAAATTTTAGTTTATACAGCTGAATTGAAACAAATACAAAAAAAATTTTTTTAAACTGAACAAATTTTATTCTTCATTCATCAATATTATATACAATCGATCAATATAATTTCTTTGAGAATATAAATGAATAATACTCATTGATTGAATTGGATTAATCAAATAGTAATAATAATAATAATAATAATAATAATAATAATAATAATAATAATAATAATAATAAAGATTTATAGAGTCAAGTAAATGACCAGTATAGAAGTTGTGGAGATTATTAGGCTTTTGATCGAGATCATGAACCGATTGACGTTAGACCACCGTTGGAAACCTGGAAGCACTGGGTGGCCGTTTCGTCCTATTGTGGGATTCCTTAGCAGTGAGCATCCACGATCCCGCCTGTGAGCCCTCAGTCTCGTACGAGAACGCTTAACCTACTGGACCAATAGTGATTAGCTTCGTGAGGGAATTCCCGGAGTTCTAGTGAGAAGCCTTGACCAATGGAGCTAACCCGTGTAGGATAGAGACAGGTATCTACCTCAGTACAATGGAAGATGGTCGCGCAACTTCGTGGATTGGTTGATGCTAGGCACTAACACCATAAGATGCCGGGTCAGTGGTCCAGTAGGTTAGGCGTTCGCGCGCGAGAGTGAAGGCCATAGGTTCGAATCCCGCGAGCAGGAATCGTGGATGCGCACTGCTGAGGAGACCCATGCTAGGACGAAACGGCCTTCCAGTGCTTCCAGGTTTCCAACGGAGGTCTAACATCAATCGGTTCATGATCTTAATCAAATAAATGGATTTTAAATTTCGTTTTGATAACTTTTCATCAAATTTTCATAAAAAACAACTTCAATTTTTTAAAATAAGGGTAATATGATTAAAAATAATAATTTGATATAATAATGTAGGGGTTTTGGAGATTGTTGAATTTTTTTAATTGAGGTCATGAATGAATTAATATTAGATCATCATTGTAAACCTGAAAACACTGGATGTTTGTTTCGTCGTACTATGGGACACCTCAGTGACAGTGGGCATCCACGATCACGCACGCAACGCTCGAACCCATAATCTTCGATCTCATGCGTGTACATGTGAACGAAACAGCTGTCTAGTGCTTGAAGATTTTCAATAATGGTCTAACATTGATCTAATCATGATAACAATTTAGATTTGATATACGTTAATTAATGAAGTTTAGACAAGAGTTGTTCAAAATAGAAAATCATAAGACCTGGAATAGGATATAACGTATGTTATTAAAAAATGGAAGTTAAAATCAATAAGGATCTAAGATTTAGTATTGTATCTGTAAGAGATTAAATTATGGGTAACGTCTAAGAACTATTTATGGACTGTTATTACATATACATCCTTATTGTATAATTATTAAGTAACTAATATTATATGTATATTTATATTACTCTTACTATAAGCTTCCATTTGACCTGGTGACTACTATTATACGATTTACTATTCTTAAGTTATTCCCAATTTACTAGTTACAGTCTGTCACAAACACAGCCACTTTTGGTCTGATCTCGTATAATTGTTATGTTCTGTTTTATGGTATGATGAGGCCTGATTTACTTGTATATTAACCAAGTATGTTTGAAATATGTGATTCATGTAGCGGAGGTTGATAATGGTGTTCTGGACTAAACTGGCTGGGTTAGGTGAGAAGCTATTATTTAGGTAAATCAATAAGTACTCAGAGTTGATTCAAGGCTGTTTGTACTGGTTAACGCGTCATTGGTTTGACACAGATCCAAAGTCATATAAGTCGGTGTTCTATTTGGCGATTTAGTCAAGTGATTATTTTTCTGATATGATACTGTTTTGTGACAGAAAGCAAACAATTTTAATGACTCAGGATATATTGTCAAAACTATCAGCTCACTAATAAGGAATTTGTACATCATAGATACAAATGGGAAAAATATTAATAGCCGCTTTCATATCATTCATTACTCCATGTTGGTCCAAAATCAATTTCTTTGATTTGATCACTCATAATTTATCATCAGAAGGGGGTGGTGGAGATTTTAGTAATTTTAATATTTGAATTCATGAGTCAATTGAAGCTAGACCACTATAGAAAACCTAGAAGCACTGGACGCTCGTCCAGTTATCCCGCCTGCGGGATCGTGGATGGGCACTGCTGAGAAGTCCCTTGCTAGGACGAAACGACCGTCCAGTACTTCTAGGTTTTCCATAGTAGTCTAGCTTCAATTGACTCATGAATTTAACTATTATAATCATAATTTATTTGGTCTGGTTATAACATTTTCTAGAATAATTCGATGTAAATTAAGCGTAAATGAGACATTTCAAATAATTGTATTGACTCTAAAATTTGCTATTTTTATCAGTGATAAATGTAATTCAGTTGACGAAAAAACAAATTCATACTTGAACATGACTTTTTCATATCCAGCATTTTATTATTTAACGATAAAATTAAGTGAACATTCTAATACTTTATGAAGACTAATTTAATGTTCGCGGTAATTTTTGGAGTGAACTGGCATTGTAGTGAAGGAAAACTCAGATTGCGGAAAACCAATTTCTTAGAACATATCAAATCACACAGTAGTTTATTGAAATATGAAAATCATATATTAAATTCATCATTTGAAAAACTTCTTTGCTTTGTGCTTTACATACTCCATTATTCCTCTAATTTTGTCGTTATTTTGACCTCTGATTTCCTTCCTGTTCATTTCATTTAAATCTTCTGCAAGCAGACATTTCACTTCCGATTGCTGCTATATACTGCTTATATCAGTCAGCATAAATAGCATGCACCATAATACTAGTTAGGAAATCCTCAAGTGATCAAGATACTTTCAACTTTTTCATCCTAGTATGGAACTCCTGACCAATGTCCAACCAGGACATAAACATAGGATAGACCACATGGTCTCCCAGGCTAGTGATGTACAGGATATCCTTGAATCGCTGAATGAGATTTCGATTAACTATGATTTTAACTGTAATTCTTTTATAGTATACAACAACTTTTGGATTACTGGTTACAGGACTTGAAGGATCGTGTTCTCTAAGAGACCTGGAGGTCATTGGTTCTTTTCTAATGGAATCGAGGCTGATACCTGTTGAAATGACAATTACTCAGTGCCCACTAATTTTCACTAGTTCTGAAAATGATGCTTTTCAGTGATATCTTCCAAAACTTCGTAATTTATAATCAGCTAATTCTAAGTGACTGCTTCGTTTCATGAAACACAAACGTAAACAGAAGTTGCTAAACCATACGTCGTTATGAATAACACTTTAATTCTGCAAAATTGTCAAGATCAACTATGCAAACAAAAATCATCAGGTTTCTGATCAATAGAAGTAAAGTTTTTTAAACACTAAGTTGTTTGCACGTTTAAAAAAAAATCTATAACTTTACGAAAGTGAACTAAATAACTAATTTTTAAGTAGTAATATATACATAGTGTGTTGAACTAATCCACAATATTTCTAATGTTCCCTGGGCAAGCCGTATCCAACACTTTTGTTTATTTTTCTATTCCTTTAGTAAGTGCTTCTTATTAGACAGTAATTTTAACTTAGTTTACAACTGTGCTGAATGGTTATATATGTCAACTACTAAGCAGTAATTAAACAGTGCCAACCTAATCTCCAACTGTTTTCAAACATAAATTCAATATATAATACACACCATTATGTGAATAAAGATAAACAGTTGTTAGTTGCTATTGTGTTGAAAACATCCTTTGAATACGATTTTGTTATCGAGATAGTTTACTATTTAAAGTGTAGCACAAAAAGACATTCTAATTTGACAAGAAAATCCCCTACTGTATTCAAATAATTTAGTATTGAATAGAACAACTTAATAAGATCAGGAGTACATGTTCGCATTTCTGAGCATGTTCCAAAGAAATTAAGGCTGCGACGGACTAGAGCTCTCATCAGTGAAATAACTCAGTATTTACTTGACACCGGGCATACCATCGACATTCCTCATGCTTTTAGAATTTTTGTTGTATTTTATTTATTTTTTAAAATATTTAGTTTGTGTTATATTCCTCTCCCGAATTCTTAAACCACCCTTTCATTCACACATTTCCGCTCACTCGATCCTCTTAAATCATGTGAACTCATATATATATGATAGAACAGGTCAGAGGTTATTTGGTGTTAGAATCAAGGAAAAAATAAGGATGGGTGGTGTATATAGTTGAGTGGATATCAGAGACATCAGATAAATTGTGTGATAATTTTAGAGGTAATGAAGGATTTATAAAATTAAAAACTGATAAGCTGGGTTACGTATATATATACTGATCAATTGCAGTCTTAAACCTCAATGGGAAGATAGAAGCTAAACAATACCAAGTGAATTTAAATTCACCCCGTTGCACAAGCAAGTGGCTATCGGGAATCAGTAACTGAGTAGATAACGCGATGACGTTTGAAGCAAATGGTACTGGGTTCGAGTTCTAGAGTGAACGTCAACTCTCAGATGCAGGTACATCCGGTTGACAAGTCCCAAATAGGACGAAACGCGCGTCCTGGATTCCACTGCTAGTCACTATCCATCTTTGCTTATATATATATATATATATATATATATATATATATATATATATATATATATATATAGTTATTATCGATAACCTGTCATTCCAATTATTTACATTCAATTATGTCAATCGTTTCATACTATTTCTTACCTCAATACTAAATTCTAATACGTAATTGGTTGTAAGCAGCTGACGAGAAACCTCAAAATAAGATGGATTCATACTATTCTGCATCAATATTTGTTCTGGCTTTATTTAAAGATAAGGATAAGCAGTACTAATGATAATGATATATAGAATGACATTGAATTTGCTTCTTTTTATCTTTCTTGAAATAAACCAAACAACCTATAACATCTTGAAAGGAAATGAATATTAAAATCAGTTTCTTTTTGTTTAGTTGATAAAAAAAGAAGAACAATCATAAAATCTGTACTGTTTTTCTCATGGGTAAATAAATAAATAAATAAACAAATGACTAAACACTTTTAAAAATGGAGAAGTCTATGAAAGAAATAAAGAGAATCTGAAACGTTTCAATAAAACAAATAATCTGAATTTTCGCACGAATTAAAACTATGTACACAGAAGACAATTTATAGACACGATTTATAAATTCAAATATAAAGGTTAAACGCAATGAAACATTTGAATTTGGATGAGGTTAGGAAGAATAAAACCAGAGTACAGTAGTACTTGTTATTGTATTATTTATCACCAGGATAAGTAGAAAGTTGAGTATAAAAATAGAAGTGAAATGAGTAATAAATATTATCACCAATTTCTTCTTTTGTAACAATCACAGAACAACAACTACTACTTTTCCTACTATTATTAATAGTGGTTAGAGTAGTAGTAGTAGTAGTAGTAGTAGTAGTAGTAGTAGTAGTAGTAGTAATAGGCTTGAATATTGTCTCTACTCATGGTGAACTGACACTGTTTTGTTCAAATGGTTGTTTCATGTTCTTGTTCTTGTTGTAGTTTAGATGTTTTATTGTCACTATCATTATTTTTCTCATCATCATCATCCACATCTTCCTCATCACTATTTCCTAAATCTTCTTCTGATGTTAAATGATAATATTCTCGTGTAGTTGAAGAATGTAATCGATCACTTGGATTATATTCAGATGAAGTTTCCATAATTTCACTACTAGTTATTGAATCAATTAAGCCTTTGTGTTGAAGAGATGAAAAATAAATGAAATTAAATAATTGTTTCTCATTTGAAAAAAAACACACTGATTATAATTACATTCAATTGGTATTCTTTGCGTGAATGTTTCCATTGATGCTTAAAACTACAATTGATCAGTCTCATTGTCATATGTGCTTCAGGTGCGGATTGTATCGATATCGCCTTAAGTCACAAGCATTATAACCAAAAATGGATGGTGGCTAGCAGTGAAACTCAGAACGCTCATTTCATCCTATTTAGGACTCATCAGCTGGATGTACTAGCATCCCAGAGTTGATGTTCACTCCGGGACTTGTACCCAGTTACAATCACTTCAAACGCCATCGCTTTATCCACTTAGATACTAAAACCTGATAACCACTTGCTTGTGCAATGGGATAAAGTTTAAATTCGTTTAGTATTGTTTGCTCGAATTTTCCCATTGATGTTTAGGACTACAATTGATCAGTCCCTTAAGGTGAACATCAACTCTGGGATGCTAGTACATCCAGCTGATGAGTCCTAAATAGGATGAAATGAGCGTCCTGAGTTTCACTGCTAGCCACCATCCATCTTTGCTTATACTAATTATAATTTCTAGAATTATGAAAAGCTTCAGAAAGTCATATTAAAAAATAATTCTGTGCACTATGAAACTAAGTTACATACATTCAGTGTGAAAGTTAGGTGAAGTGGCGTTTGAACTTTAATTGTTGATCGGTAGTAATCAATGTACAGTCACGCATAAATACGTGTTAACTCAACTTGCCACACCAAATTAATATGGGGAGATGAAATTAACGAGATGAATAGCAAAAGAGTGTAAATATTGATAATAGCACTGATACTGAGAAAGATTTAACGCTGGGAAACATGATTCTAGAGGATGAAATTAAAAAATATAAATGAAGAGATAATAAAACTCAGGATCTAAGGGAACATTAAGGAGTGAATCCAATTGTCTCTACGTGACTAATACTAAGCCATATCATACGTCTCTAATGGATTAACTGAGTTTATCACGTAGAACACAACCAAATAAACTAATACACTCTACTCCAACAGTGAATGGCTTCAAGGGCTGATTCCCACTTTTTGGCATGGTCGCCTCCGTAGCCTTATTCCAAATTAATCACATTCTAGTAAACATTCCACACCAAGGTAGGCGGTGGTTCGGTAAGTTCGAAACTACGACTAAACAGTTTGTGTTTAAATTACCGAACCATCATTCCATTGAGTCACAGTTTAGTCCTGAATTAAAGCGATACCACACGAGTCCCTAAATCGAAATGGTAAGAGCGTGATGTAAATTTGTAGCTGAATCATTGAAGATTCGTTTGGTTTAATTACTTAACCATTGATGACAATTCTGCAAACAAAATGAAACACTAGTTTGTGACAAAATACGTGTCTGCATAAGAAAAAATAAAATCGATATCTCTATAAAACACTGGAAACCTCTCGACAAGAGATATTTGGTTAATCTAGATTATGATGGAAAAGAAGACGGTCATAATGATAGCGGAATGAGCTGTGCAAAATAATGGTGGAAATCGAGAATTACAAGGGAAAAAGGAAATTAATACATCTCTACAAACATTATTCACCGAGAAATCATAAGTTTGATTCCTGGCGAGATGCATCTTCATGTAATGATGAGTATTATCAAATCAGAAAGAAAAAAATCAAACAATACTTCATGGCTTTCAATAGTTGATATTCGAAAACGAAATTTAATGTTGTATATTGTTTTGTCGTCAGTCTCTATGCAATTCAATGGATCATATTAGTAGTTATATAAATGAATCGATAGCTCATTGTTGATCTGATTCAGATCACATAATTGTAAATTCCCATCTAATAAGTAATTCGAAAAATTTAAAGAAGATAATGTGGCTACAAGAATTCAAATGTACTTCACTTTCGTTACAGACTTCTTAGATAAGTGAGCAACCAAAATTCTACAGATCACCAAAACTCAGATTTCATGTCAGTCTACTTAGGGGAATTGGAAAACTCTGATTCCAAACCAATAGTGCGCATGGGTTCCAGGATCCTTAGGGAACAAAAAGTGTATGAACCTATTGTTGGTCACCGTCTACCATGAGACTGCATCTCCAGAAGTTGTTCCACTGCCTTGTGGATTAGACCATTAGGTCAAAGGCTCCGGATGTGATCCCCTAACAAAACCCCCTACTTCGGTTTGGGCGTCCGGGCAGTATCACAGCCCTCAAACAAATCAATGATAACTGCTACTGGCCTCATTGTTATTGTGTGACACATATATGTTTGATACCCCTTTGCACTAATATTCATGTGTTCAAATAAAAATAAATGAAACAATGGAAAAAATAACCAATGTCCTATGATTTTTGGTGGTTCACTAGCAAAATTATATCCATTATGAAAGAATCTTGATTTAAAATATGTGATTTATTTACACGAGACAAATTCCACAAATAATTTGATCATACCAACACCAGTTAAGCATTCTCACTAAAAAATACCAATGATAATCAATTATAAATAAAAAGTGATAAGGTTCAACGTGAGAGAAATTATATTAAAATAGAAAGAATAAGAAGCTGTCACATCACTTCGGGCATCAGAAAAGATTAACCGTTATAAGATTAAGTGGTTTAAGATTAGAACTAATTATTTCTCAATAGATAAAGGACAGACAAATTTTCTAAAGGACAGGAACTTACACAAAACCTAAGTATATATGCCACATGATAATTTCTATTGTTTTAATATTTTTTGTTATCGAGGATCATGACTTTTTACCCTTCATTCACCAAATGACGAAGCTAACTTATCTTGATGCCATTTAAACACAGATTCTACCGGCCCTGACTGCATCATCCTATTACTCCACTCTATGTATGTGTGTCTATACACATGTGAATTGGTAGATACAATGGGTTTTGACGTAATCGTTCATGTGATATGGAGGCCCATATTGAAACATGGGCTTATTCCTTCCAATGAAATTTAATTAGGTAGCACAATATATCATTTTGACCGTTTTGCATTCAATTGAAGACTATGCTGTATGATTCTTCACTATACGCTAAAGCGATGTTAGAAAGGGTTTAAATGTTAACTAAGTTGCATACTAATCTACAAACTTTAATGGATATCCGTTTAATATTAATATTTCAGTCATACATACATTTAATAAAGGAATGCATCAAAATATCATGTGAAATTGAAGTGCAAATTATAAGCAGCAGCAAAATATTTTAGGCATACACACAAGTACAATGTTTATGATCATATGACTTGATCAGTAAAACTGAAGATATTGCTAATATTCGGAAATAGTAAACATTTACAGTACTACTGATTATATAAGTGAAATCTACAACATTGACATAAAGTACAAGATTTTTTGGTTATAGTTCATTGGTCGGAGTGTAAATTGGTTTTGAGATCACTGGTCTTACTACCAATAAAGGTGTACTAATCGGTAATCATACTTGAGATAGAGGCCACATAACTTCATTTCTATCATTATGATTCAAGCACACAGTAGTCAATACAACACAGGCAATCTGGTTGTTTTTCCGATATAGCAGTAGTATCACAGTTCAATATAGTTTTTGAACATACTTACGATTTGTGTTTTTGTAGAATGAAATATAAGTTGATTGGGATTACTAACCAACATACTTTATTTCAATGGATTTACAGTTAAGTGATTATGAGATAAGTTGCTTGATCGAGTTAATCTTGGTTTTGGTAATACAATAATCATAAGTTACTTTGAAATTACGAACTAATTTGAGTCCAACCACCATTTAAAACCTAGAACCACTGGACGGCCGTTTCATACTAGTATGGAACTTCTCAAAAGTACCCATACACGACCCTAAAACCGGGAATAGAAACCTTAGATCTCGTTCACGAAGTCTTAACCTCTATACCACTGAGGCGCGGTTCATTGGTGTACAAGTCTAGCTTCAATTAATCCCCGATATTGTGTAACCATTTTCCATTCACTTCGGTATGTGCCTTCCTCACACCCAATACGGCTGAATCCGAATGGTCACGACTTCTCATAAGAACTCGAGAAATTTCATTTTTAGGCTGGTCACTATTGATAACATGATGCACACTGATGAGTACTATACCATAAAGTGCTTCCACGTTTTCAATGGTTATCTAACTTAGATCGGTTCGTGATTTCAGTGAAGTCAAACAGTCTCCGCTACCCATACTAGCAATCATAAGTTAGCAAGAGAAAGTTTAATAGGTCATAGAATATTACACTTGTCACGAAAGGCTAAAATATTTATGAAAGCAATAGGGATTCAACTAGAAACTTTTAGAAAATACGATTGATTTGAAAAGTTAGTCATAATCAACTTAGAGCCAGGGACAAAAATGCATCGGTCCAAGTTGAAACAGTGAGATGAATATCGGAGCAATAAAAGCAGCTATAGTATGGTAAAGGAGATAAAGTTTAGACGACCTGACTCGAGAACAATGAATGAATTCGAGGAATGAAATGGATAAGATAATTCTAATTCAGGATTTAGGGGGAAATAGTGATTGCGTCTGAGCTACGTCATTCAATATCAACCATTTTTTACGGAAATGAGGCGGATAGTGACCAGGAATTCGACATTTGCTAACATGGGTTAATCCAATTGTCTATGAATTCATGGACCGATACATCTTACATTGGTTATACTTGGTATTTTTTCAACATACCCCTACACAGATAAACGTTGCTCGTCTCTATAATCAGTGGTCAGGTATACGTAATACACGTTGTAATCGCCTTATTCAACAGGTATTCACAAGATTTGAGTAAAAGGAACAGCCGGAAACAGTATAACTTAATAAAATAGGTGCTTTTTTTATTTTGAGCTTAAGTCTGATTCTATGAGTAGTTCCCATACAGATAACTCCTACCCAGATGATATACAAAGCTAGCCAGTATATGATCAAACCAATGTATGATATCACTTCTTGAAGTCAATGACTGCTGGGTTAGACCGTGTTTGAAAACCAAAACTTCTGGATTGGAATCAGTTTCCACACCCACGTAAATGTGTCAATCGGAGTCGAGTACAAAAACTTTATTTCGTACATGAATTAAATCATTATTTCAGTTCATTTTCTTCAGATCTTGTAAATATCCTCTTGTTCTGCTAGTGTGACGTGTAGCAGATTGTGTCGATACATATTTGTGTCAGGTCCTGAGCTGTTAATGACCAAGTAATTAATTGATATAGGGATGAAATTCGATCTTTTGTATGGAACAATTTGATACGAACAGAAATGTAACTTATTCGTCCTTGGAAAAAATATTACTATCTTAGTCTACGACTTTCTTCAATAGTATTGCTGAATCGTCGTCCTTTTTTATGAATAAACTTAAAAACTGCAATATATAAATTCCAAACACAACAAACGAAACCCTTTTCAAAATAAAAAAATACAAACAAAATAAAACATACCTGCCTCAAATAGAACAAGATTTGAACATTGATTTTTGCACTCAAGTAAATGATCATCAATAACAATATCATCTTTACCATCAACAGTGTTCGATGCTTGTATCGTTGTATCCTTTGTTGGTGTTGTTGTGATTGTATTAACTGTACCATTTTTCATGGTTGTTTGTGGATTCATAAGACTATCGACATGTCGAATAATGCCTTCCACTTCATTCGTAGATATCTTCGGGACACTAAACGGAGCAAAAACAACAACAAAAAATAGTACGAAGTGAAATTTCGGGTAAACGGAAAAAGACTGAACAATGCCTGACAATTATTGACATTATTTCGATAATAATAATAATAATAATAATAATAATGATAATAATAATAATAAAATTATTAATAATTTCGATAGTTGAGATCATGAATCAATTGAAGCTAGACCACCATGGAAAACCTGGAAGCACTGGACGGCCGATTCGTCCTACTAATAGGTCCGGGGTTCGAATCCCGCGAGCGGGATCATGAATGAGCACTAAAGGGAATTTCCACAATAGTACGAAACGGCCGTCCAGTGCTTCCAGGTTTTCCACGGTGGTCTAGCTTCAATTGACTCATGATCTCAACTACTGAGATTACTATAATATCCCTAAAACCCCTTTTGATAATAATAATAACAATAATAATAAACTGAGCATTTTTAATCAATAAATAAATTTAATGAAAATTAGTTGAATGACTGACAATAGAACATAGAAAACTGTGTCATTTGAATACATAACAAATTATCAGTTACTAAAAGTAATTTTCAGTAGAAATCAATTTATGCACCGGTATGAATGTACTAAATTATTAAATGTTAAAGTAACTTTAAAATGGATGCAACCAATTTATAGATTACTTTTTATTAAAATGAAAAAAAGGGACCATAAAATTTGTTAAAATTAATTGACATATTGAGTATTAATTTATTTGTTAAAATTTAGTGAAACAGTAAGCGAAGAATATTGTTTTCGATTAGATCCTCCTCATCAGGCTTTACTGTAATAAACATGAATATTTATATGTATATACGAACTAAATTTCAAAACAATTAACGACGTTAAAGATATAAATATGGAAGTAGAGAGATGGTTGACTAATTCATTTGAGGAATAAAAAAATAAAGGAATACTTACTCCAACTATACATGATTCACTTAAACCCACTGGAATGAACAGTTCACAACTTTATGGTTTACCTAAAGTTCACAAGACAGGAGTTCCTCTTCGTCCAGTTTTAGATATGTATAATTTACCCTACTATAAAATTGAAAAGTGGCTAATTCGAATCCTAGATCTCTTGAACAAACTAGTCGTCAATAGAAGTGTGAAAGACGTTTTCGATTCGATTTCCAGAGTTGAACATATGAACTTAAATGGGAAACGAATGATATCTCTAGATGTTGCTTCCCTGTTCATCAATGTACCATTAACTGAGATTATTGACTTTGTGTGCCAACAACTACTCGAAAAACAGATCAATATTGAAATTCTCGAAGTTAGTCTCAAATAATTACTTGTAAAATGTACAATGAATGCCTATTTTGTCTTTAATAACACATATTATAGACAAATTGATGGTATAGTGATGGGTTCACCTCTAGGTCTTAGCCTTGCTGATTTCTTTCTCGCGAAACTAGAAAACGGACCTTTCAAAAGGGTTGTCGATAGTTGGATAAACCCTGGTTCCAAACCAATGGTGCACATGGGTTCCAGGATCCTAAGGGTGCAAACGACGTACGAACCTATTGATGGTCACCGGATGCCATGGGACTGCATCTCTTAACGTTGCTCCACTGTCATGTGGATTAGATCTCTAGGTTAAAGGATTGAAGGGTAGCCTTCAGCCCTCGTACAAATCCAATGATGAAGTGTGACGTATATATATTTGGTGCCTCCTTGTACCAATGTTTAGGTGTTTAAATAAATAAATAAAATAGTAGACAAGTATAACCGACAAAAATCTTATGTTATAACACAAATGTAAAAAGCAATTCAAACAAGCAGCATCCTTCAGAAACCCTCAAGAGAACTCTAGGAAGCGACAGATTGTGATGCCAGTATTCGATTCGACACAAATATGAATTAATCTTAGCATGTGTTATGGAAGCTTTTAAAAGCTCAACTTCACGTATAATAATATGATTAATTTTGTATCTTAACACGAACTGGTCTTGGAAGTAAATGCCCTTCAATATATCTTTCCTTTAGTTTTTTTATGCTCACGAGACTAGAAAGAGGTTAGAAAGTCAGTACTTAAGCGTTTCAAAGGCGCTTTACAAAAGAATATATTATGGAACAAAAGATTAGCGGAATGATATAACTTACTAACAAGAGAATAAGCTATGACTTCTTGGTTTTACGACAACTGTCATACTCTCGAGAGTTTTTGGTGAACTATTATTAGGAAAAGATACAGTAGAATATGAATTATCTGGCAGGATGAAACGTTCAGATGGTATTTCTTGAACACTAACAAGCATCTGGAAAAAAAAGAACACATATGAAGTTCAACGTCAATGACGTCTTATTTAGCAAACCGACTGGGGCCATACTATGAGAGATTGATATTTATATTTTGAGCAACTTTTTCCATGAAACATTTAATACGTGACATTTCCGTATTGTTCTAATTACAGGTAGCCATTTGACTTGTTTACAGATGTAACATTTAACCGTTCATAAATTATCACTAATTGATCACAGACCGATTATTCAGATTTGTATTTTAAATATCTCTCGTTATGTACATACACTGAGGCTTATCACTTATCATTGATTCATAGTCCTGTGTTTCTCATGAATACAATCACGTGAGCTTTTAAGTCACAATAGCACAAAATAGTGCAAAGTCCTGAATATTCTGATTATTAGTTAAAGGAATGAGTGCGAATTTTGTCCGTGCAAATGGATCATTCAGTGTAAATATATTGATCACGTTATCGAACTCAAAGCTATACACCAAAAACACAGAAAATTTGTGTTAATGAGAAAGGAAAGAAAAGCACAGACGCAGAGCAGCGCTCTATTTAGTGGTAAAATTATATACTTCCAGCCATAACTGTTGGGGATGCTAGATCCCTAGAAATCACTTGATAAACGTCTAATTTTTGTAATTTTGTTTTGAAAATTGGAATTTCTCATTTTCGTGACAAAAGCGCCTACTTTTACATTCAGTTTGTATTTCTCGTTTGGGAGGACCTTAAATGTTATTGGTTCGTTTCCTCTTATAGTACACTATTTTGTGACGTTTTCCAATGACATTTTTGTACTGTATATATACTCATGAGTCCTGTCCTGTGCTTGTTCGTTCGTGCTTGCGACTGCTTGCCAAATATACTTTTCCCTTGGCTGAGTCAGATCTTCTCCGTCTAGTTATCAGGATAGAGTTCCAATTATCGTATGATCCAGTAAGAAGGCCGATATAGGAGTAATACGCTGATTAGTTCATTTTTTGATCAACTACATGTTAGTGGACGAATAGAAGAAATGCTAGATTCTGTATTAACTCCGTTTACACAACAGTATCTTTGCTGTTCTGATTTAAAAAGTATCAAGTGAACCAAAGAGTTTAATGAATATTAAACAAAAGAATAATATAACTGATTGACGTGCGTTTGCATCATTCATAGTTTTCAGTTATTTGTCTTTAATCGTCTTAACATTATTAATTAGCCAATCTGTATGTTAGGCATAAACAGTATAGGACTACCTGCGGAAAAAGCTTCATCAGTTTACATTCCCACAGGACATTATTAGTATAATAAAATCAATCGCAAACTATTAGAATTATTAGTATGATTAAATATACTAAAAAAGGAGTACATATAGAGAATATCGTTCAAAAAAGAGCGGACTAACTAAATGAATTGATACAATTGACAATAAGGTCAATACAAACCATGTGTAAAAAATAAACTTTATACAACTATTTATGTGTAATTATTGTGTTTGCAATAGTTAAGCCAGGTTTACTCTTCAGGCATATCTAACAACATATTGTATATGCATTCTGAAGTCTGACATGATTATGCACTTGTCATTATGTTCACATAATTTCGCATGAATAAAAAGTCAGTTCTTTAAGTAACCCCTAGTACTATAATCAGAAGTATTTTACTCCTTCCTCCTCACCAAGAAAAGATATTTAGTATATACAAACAACTAGATAACGATCCAGGTAAAACACTACTAATTATTAGCAATGAATTAATTGAATCATATTGAATGAGGAGTTCGAATTGGTCAATCGAACAAAATGCTCTGGTACGACCGAGAGTGGAGAGAATCCGCTCTCCCTCTAAAAATGCTCTCACATGGCCACGCGTATATAGCCTCTGCCATGGAAGTCCTACTCACTGCCTTCTCGCACCACGGGTGTTGTTTACGAAATTGAGAGGACGAAAAGCGGATGTCCGGCGCTTTAACCGGATCCCAAACCAATAGTGCACATGGACTCCAGTACCCTAAAGGAACAAATGGAGTATGAACCAATCGTTGGTCACCGGCTACCATGGGACTGCATCTCCTTACGATGCTCCACTGCCTTGTGGGACAGACCTTTAGGTCGAAGGCTCGGGGTGTGGCTCCCTAAGAAAACCACTTGCTTCGGTTTGGGCATCCGGGCAGTATCACAGCCCTCACACATATCAATTGAAATTTGTGTGGCGCATATGTATTTGGTGCCTCATTTTACCAATATCTATGTGCTAAAATGAATAATAAAAATAATGAAACCAAATGATACGACGACACTGGTAAATATGACAAAGGTATATCATACTGATCACTTAGAGCAATTTATCAGCCGATTAGAAAGCAGTGTTTAGTTATAAAAAAACAATTAACAATTAAATGTAATAAAATGTCAGCGGATTAACAGCTTTGATATTATTTCATAACATTTATATACGCACACAAATTCGATCCGGGTCAAGCAAACAAATTTTTTTTTCGTCTTTTCTCCTAAGTAACCAGGTTTGTGAATGAAAGTGTGTATTAGTATTAACGCTCAGACACCGCACATCACAATTAAGCCAAAGTCCTCATGTTTCTAAGTACTATAGTAACCTAATTACACAGTGAATGATATGAGCGTTCTTACAAATAATATATATGTACAAAACAGCCGAAGAAAACCGAGGTGATTTAGTGTGCCGTTATATGTATAAGAGCGGTTTTCACTTCACAATTGTTCAGAACATGGAAGGATACTTTTTAAGGTAACTGAAAAGTCACCTGGGTCGGAAGTGATCTTGATGGCCTGAGGAAGTAATAACAAAGCTAAGGCGATATTTACTATCTTATTATTTTATTTTAACACATAGATATTGGTAAAAGGAGGCACCAAATACATATGCGCCACACAAATTTCAATTGATATGTGTGAGGGCTGTGATACTGCCCGGGTGCCCAAACCGAAGCAAGTGGTTTTCTTAGGGAGCCACACCCCGAGCCTTCGACCTAAAGGTCTGTCCCACAAGGCAGTGGAGCATCGTAAGGAGATGCAGTCCCATGGTAGCCGGTGACCAACGATTGGTTCATACGCCATTTGTTCCTTTAGGGTACTGGAGTCCATGTGCACTATTGGTTTGGGATCCGGTTAAAGCGCCGGACATCCGCTTTTCGTCCTCTCAATTTCGTAAACAACACCCGTGGTGCGAGAAGGCAGTGAGTAGGACTTCCATGGCAGAGGCTATATACGCGTGGCCATGTGAGAGCATTTTTAGAGGGAGAGCGGATTCTCTCCACTCTCGGCCGTACCAGGGCGTTTGGGGGCCTGAGAAAGTGATAGCAAAGCTAAGGCGATAACTGCTCAAAGCCAGCAAAACGCAGTTTTCTTCAAGTGGCTTTTGATGTCCGTTGCGTATTTTTTTAGGGCATACCGCAGGGGCCGAAACGCTGTAGGGTAAGTTGCGGTGTCAATCTATTCTAACCCTTTTTCTGTTGTGGGAAGCCAGAATCGCTGCAAGTGCTAATTTTTGGAAGGAAACATTTTACTACCGTCACTCCTGAGCACAGTCAGGAGGACAACTTCGCACTTGGATCATGAGTTCGCTGCTCCTAATCTTGGTGCTCGTTATCGGACCCGACTGGGATAGAAGAACAAATATTCCAGCAGATATAACTCAAGTGGGTTGTCACGACATGCTATTCCGACCACCACGTCAAGGTAGCAGTTATAGTCAGGATTGTAAAAAATGTTAGCGATAATTTAATTTCAGCATAAAAATGAGACGGACAAAAATGTATAAGTAGTTCGACTTACTTTTGATTTTTGATGAAATGTTTGACCAGAATTTTTTGGTTTCAATGGACTCTTTGATTTGTTGTATTTTTGCTGAGATGATTCACTTATTGAACTAGGATAACTACTACTATTTGTAGTAGTAGTAGTTGGAGAATTAGAACGTGCTTTTATGGGTAAAGGTAGACGTTTTGAATTTGACTTTCTATTTGATACGTCCATAGGCGAAACACATGAATCTTGATCGATTTTTTTTATATGTGAATTAGATTCGGTAAATTTAACTGAACGATATGGTTTCGATTCACTGGGAATATGCTCGACAAGTGATGTTGATGTTGAGTGATTATTATTGCTATCTATTTCAGGATTCGAAGAATCTTCCAGGCTTAATGCATCAATACCTTGATCTACTGATAAGATTGATGGCATTTGATAGCTGGTAGTAGCATTAGCACAAGTAGCATCATCAATGAGCTTTATTGACGGATTTAGAAATGATGAGATTTTTGACGGTTTTTCATTGATATCATGTATTTTTTGAAACCGATTTGGTATATTACGAAATGTTGGAGCCGTTAATCGTGGCTGATTAACACCTAGACGTTTTAACTCTTGGTCATATTGTTCATGGATAAGTGTTCTTTGAAAAAAAATCGTAATAATAATAATAATAATACTATATCTTATCACCGGCTAACATGAAAAGATTAATAAAAGTAGTCTCATGTATGATCTATCTGATAAGTTTAAAACACGAGCTGAGTATATTTATTTTTTCTATCTACACAATTATATCAAATTATATTTTGAGAACAAATGGTGAATCAAAAAGTCCTAATGATTCTACAAAGGTGGCCTTGAACTGATGCTTCTGAATCACATAAACAATCGAGTTTGAAGAACACGTAGAACAACTACTCAATATCTAATTTCTGTGAAAAGTGGAAACTTCCAGAGAATGTTGAGAGGTATTTATCAGGAAAACACTAAGAAAATAGCTTTTGTTTAAGTGGGTTAACTTCTACTGCGGACGGTTATGACTTCGAGAACGGTTCAGAACTACGGTGTTGATGGAAACACAGAATATGTGCAATCTCTTGTGATTTCCGATTCACCATTCGCATGAACTAAGTTTATATAAACTTTTAGCAAACATCACTCGAAAGAAACATTTAGGATTGATAAAACTATATGTAACGAGGTATTTGAAGAGCTCGGATTTTAAGAAATTTCAGGATTACTTTAAATAATGAGAATGAAGACAAAACAATTGAGTTTTTACAAACGGAGAGCACTTTTAAGGAGATAAGATTGATGTCCATTTTGTTTACCTTGAAATTTATAAAATCAAGTTTTTTTTCTCATTTCATGTATTTATCGAATAAAATACTTGAATTATATTAGGTCCTAAAATTAAATCTTGAATAATCCATAAAAGCAGTATACTTATCAAATAGCGGCAACTTAAAGATTTTTAACTTGATTCATTTATAGAATAAAATGTGTAATTCAGGATAAAACAAGCTATAATATGTAGACAGATAGAGATAATATTTGATCGAGATCATGAATAAATCAATGTTAGACCAGCATTGAAAAACTGAAAGCACCGGACGGCCGTTTCATCCTAGTATGGGACCACTCAGCAGTGAGCATTCACGACCCCGTACGCGGGATTCGAACCCGAGACTTTCGGTAAACGTTAAAAAATTATCCCAAGTATTGAAAATTCATGCACTCAATCTGACCTTAGTATAGTAATGTCTTTATTTGACTATCGAAAAATGGTAATTGTAGTCTTTTTAAAAGTATTAACTATCTATTTCTGTTAAGTTTCCATGTGTTTTTATCCTCTTTTTTTTCTGAATGACAATATTTCCTCTAAAATTCTGTACTAATAATATTCATATACATCTTCAAAACGAATTAAATATCAAATACTAAGTTTTGCTTGGTTTGACTATAGTTGGTATACTCAGACTCTGTGGTCCCATAGTATGTTTGAAAAGTTTGTCTGTAATCATAATAAATTTTACGGAAGTCATCAGTTTAAAATTTGGTTTTGATTAAACTTGATTATTATTATCATTATTAACCGTAAATACTAAAAATTATTACTCATGAAGTATCTATAAGTAAATAAGAATAAGTTATCAATTATTGAATAATGAAACTCAATAAACATGTCAGCATTCAAATATGACCTATACCTTAAAATGATATTTATTGTATGATAGCTAGATTAATGATTATGACTAACTAACTGACTAACTGAAGAGACTTATATCTGAATGTGACAGTTGAACAGTCAATGAATAAAACAAAACATTTTTTCATAAAGAAACATAGCAAATCCAAAAATCAACTGAAAAACCAAACGTACAACTTAACTTGTAATTCCAAAATGTAACTTTCCAGACTCGCAGTCGTCTCTTCATAACAGTTTAATTGTTCTTTATATTTATTTAACTGGGTAAACTGTTTTTGAATCAGTTCTTCATGATAATGCTGAAAAAAATATGGTCGTGATTGATGCAACGGGCAGAAGTGGTTTGTGGACTTCTATTTTTATTCAGAATAAGTAATTTGTTAGCTAATAAGTTATACCATCTTGGACTTAGCTTCTTCTACACAGTGATATGAGCTACAGAAATACTGAAAACCATTGAGAGCTGGTTACATGCTTCAGCATAGCTTAAAGGACTGCTTGAAAATATGTACCAATCAGAGTTTATTAAACTAATATCATTTAAAAGTACGGGCAAACATAGAATAAGATTAACAAATTGACTTCAATTAAGCCTCTACAATTAGTAAAACAATTATGCATGGGAAGTTGAAGTTATTCAACAAATTTTTATCCCACAGTTTGAGTAAACAAACTGTTGAAAACAGTGGGTCTTGTTAAATGTATTAATCGATATAGGTTTGATAGGTTTTAAAATGCGTAAGTGACTTTCTATACAAACTTTGAACACAAGTCTTATATTTCAACTAGTTTTCTACTTTTGGTCATTTTTTTTATTTATGCAATTAGATAAACATCGGTACAAAGGGGCAACAAAATAAATGTGCGCAATAGAAATTAGTTATTATTCTATTAAAGCATGAGCAATATTTCTAAGGCATCTGTCAGTCAGTCAGTCAGCTGCAACGTAGGACCAGGCACATATATGCATCGGTCCAAGTTGCCATACCTCATTCGCACAACAAGATGAACATCAGATTCATAGTAGTTAATTCAGTGGTAATATATAGGAGAAAGATTGCATATAAGGAGATAGTACAGGAAGAAAGAATTAGTTCGTAGAAAGAAAGATATGAAGTGATTTTAATCTCTTAGTTTAAAGGAAGACAGAGGGTGTATACACCGACGCCATTGTGATCAATTTTGGGCCACGTCACCAAGAGTCTCCAACAATTGGTTACGATAGTCACGCGGACCCCAACCATACAGTCTGAATCTACCAACATGGCTCAGACCAGAAGTTGGTGACTTCAAGCACTGATGCCACGTTTTGGTTTGGTCGCCCCTAACTTTCTTCCAATCAACCCCCAAATGCCCTGGTATGGCCGAGAGCGGGTAGGGTTCGCCCTCCCTCTCGAAATACTCTCACACGGCCACGCATATACAGCCTCTGCCAGGGAAGTCCTACTCACTGCCTTCTCGCATCACGGGTGTTGTTTACGAAATTGAGAGGACGAAAAGCGAACGTCCGGCGCTATAACCGGATTCCAATTCTATGGTGCACATGGGCTCTAGTATCCTGAAGGAACAAATGGCGTATGAACCAACTTTTGGTCACCGGCTTCCATGGGACTGCGTCTCCTCACGATGCTCCACTGCCTTGTGGACTAGACCTTTAGGTCGAAGGCTCGGGGTGTGGCCCCCTAAGAAAACCAACTGCTTCGGTTTAGGCACCTGGGCAGTATCTCAGCCCACACACTAAAACCATGATGAACTATCTGCTTATAGAAAATATTCGTTTCTCTCCGACTAACCTTGAAATGACTGGTATTATTATTATTATTATTATTATTATTATTATTTACTACGTCATTTATTCACTATCTCCTATTTCTACTTTTTGTATCCGCTTCGACTCAGACAGCAGCTCACCTATGGTGAAAATTCAGCTTTATCTAAACGTTCTCGAGTCACTGCCTGGTTGAAAATTGTATGTTACTACCGAATATGAGTACTGAAGCAGTTTTTCTGAAACCACGTGCATCATTCAAACTGGCTGCCTTCAACGTTCGCACACTTATGCAGGTCGGACAACAGATAGGGCTGGCTATGTCTTTGGAAAGTCTTAATATTGATGTGTGTTGTCTATCCGAGACCCGTATTCAAGACTCTGGTGAAGTACTACAAGTTCGCTCTCCATCTGTCGGGGACCCTGTGGCATCTTCGCCTGGTCTTGCTGGCGTTGGTGTCGCACTAAGCGCAAGAGCTGAGGCAGCACTAGTCGACTGGATCCCCATTAACAGTCGGTTATGTGCTGTTAGATTAGAAAGTTCCATCAAAGTGAGAAGAAATCGGCGTGAGAAACGATGTCTTTTCGTCATCTCCGCCTATGCCCCGACAGATTGCAGCCCGGATGTAATCAAGGACGAGTTCTACCATCAGCTAACTGTTCTTCTCCAGAAAGTGCGTTCGACAGATATTGTAGTACTAGCTGGAGACTTGAATGCTCAGGTCGGGCGTCTAGGCACAGAAGAGAGTCGTTTAGGTGGCCGATGGGGACTCGTTGGTCGCAGGACAGATAACGGGGAACGTCTACTGCAACTATGCACAGACCACAACCTGTTTCTGGCTAGCACTAACTTTCGGCACAGTCATCGCCGATGTGCCACCTGGCGTCCCCCTTTTGCATCTCAAGCCTGGATACAGATTGATCACATCGCGATCAGCTACCGCTGGCGTGGTTGTGTACAAGACTGCCGCTCCTTTTGGAGTACCTATCTGGAATCTGATCATGCTCTGGTCTGAGCCAATCTTACCTTACTTTTCAGTGGACAACGAAGTGACCGCCACCAAAGGATTGATGTTAGCAAGCTGGCTGCAACTTCTGTTGCTAGTAAGTACCGAACCGAGCTAGCTTCTAGGTTAGCTACCATTCCACCGAAAAGTATAGATGAGCATTGGTTGCAATTGCATGACACCATGAAAATGGCGGGTACAGTCTGTTGTGGGTTTGCGAAACGTCCCGCTTACAAGCACTGAGTTTCTTCTGGTTCCTTACAACTGATTGAAGCCCGTCGGTCTACTCCGGGTGACCGTGAGTTTGACCACAAACGAAGGATGTTACGTAATGAAATCGGGCAAAGCTTGCGTAAGGACCGAGAAGCCTGGTGGTCGGAGCGTGCCAGTGAGTTGGAAGCAGCAGCTGCATCTGGTAATTACCGGAAGCTCTTCCAACTCATCCGAGCCACTGGCAGCAAGAAGTTTGGTGTGAGCGAAACAATCTGCGAGGATGACGGAACGCCAATCACTAACATCCATCGACGTCTTGGACGATGGGCAGAATTCTTTGAAGGGCAGTTCAACTGGCCTGCTGCTCCGGCAACATCGGTCAGACTGTCCTGCCCTCCATGGCCGGTGACGACTGATCCACCAAATGAGGCGGAAGTCCGCAAGGAACTCCAACTCTTGAAACGTTACAAATCACCGGGCCCAGATGACTTACCTCCGGCTCTTTTTAAAGATGGTGGTGACTTTCTTACTCAGGGACTGACGACGTTGTTTACAAAGATCTGGGAACTAGAGAGTGTACCAACGTCATGGAATGAGTCGATAGTTGTCCCTATCTTTAAAAAGGGTTCACGATGTTCCTGTAACAACTATCGGGGGGATAAGTCTACTTCCGATTGCGTCCAAGCTATTGGCTTCCGTCATACTTCGTAGGTTGTTCAGAACCCGAGAAGGATTGACTCGCGAGGAGCAGGCTGGGTTTCGTTCTGGTCGAGGATGCATTGATCATATCTTCACCCTCCGCCAAGTGTTAGAACACCGCCATACTTATCAAAGGCCAACAATCGTAGTGTTTCTTGATATCAGGGCTGCCTTCGATTCGTTGGACAGAACTGTTCTCTGGGATTGTCTATTGAAGAAGGGTGTGGCTGAGAAGTTTATTAACATCTTAAAAGCCCTATACACAAACACCTCAGGCAGAGTGAGGGCATACAACCACCTTTCTCCATTGTTCCATTCCAGCAGTGGGATTAGACAAGGTTGCCCAATCTCATCATTCCTCTTCAACTTTGCCATCGATGACATTTTGGAAACAGCTCTGGCGGATGTAAGTAATGGTGGTGTTGAACTGTTGCCTGGAGAAAGACTTCTCGACCTTGAGTATGCGGATGATATTGTCTTACTGTGCGAGAATGCCCAAGCCATGCAATCCGCACTTAATCAGTCGGCAATCAATGTTTGTAGGTATGGTATGTGCTTTGCACCTTCGAAGTGCAAAGTACTTCCACAAGATTGTCAGTATTCTAATTCTGTACTCATCCTGGGTGGTGAGCGGATAGAAGAACTCGAGAAGTTCGTGTATCTAGGTAGCTGCGTAAGTGCTGGTGGTGGTGTGAGTGATGAAATCAATGCTCGTATAGTGAAAGCCAGAGCGGCTTATGCCACTTTGGGCCATCTTTAACGCTTTCGTGATGTCAGTCTGGCTGTAAAAGGTCGGATCTACAACGCGACGGTGAGAGCAGTCTTGCTCTATGCTTGTGAAAATCGAATTCTCCGAGTTGAGGATGTTAGACGACTCTCTGTGTTCGATCATCGTTGTCTCCGAAGGATTGCTGACATCCAGTGGCAACACCATGTCAGTAATGCAGAGGTTCGGCATCGAGTGTTCGGTCACAGAGACGATAATAAAATTGGTGTCACCATCTTGAAACATCGACTTCGGTGGCTTGGACATGTTCTACGAATGTCGTCCCAGAGAATTCCACGTCGTGCATTATTTGCCGACTCTGGGACTGGTTGGAAAAAGCGGAGAGGTGGTCAGTATATGACATGGTGTCGTGGTATGAAAGAAAGCTGCAAAGGGCTAGCTTCTGTTGGTCCTTCACGACTCCCTGGTTGAGGTCCGAGAGACGGTGTAACGCAGTGGCTAGAGACGTTATCAGATATGGCTCAGAATAGAAGCCAGTGGCGATCCTGCTCTAACCTTCTTTTACTTTCTCCATAAAAAGTGGTTGTATCTTCCTTAACTGAAAGATCTCTTCTGATTGTACCTTTCCGTTTCCCCCACCATTGTTCTCATTCTCTTTTTTTTAATATAATTCCCCACGTTCATTACTTTTTTTTCTTTTTTCTCCTTTTCTTCAAATTATCATTGTTTTGTGTGGCGCATATATATTTGGTGCCCCCTGTTCCAATATTTATGTGTTCAAATAAATAAATAATTCTTCCAATCATCCCTAACACCGGTTAGCATTGCGCGTCGTGGCAATCGGTGTTCAGGCATATGCAGCATGTGGCCCAACCATCTCAGTCGATGAAGATTCATAACCTCATCAACTGATTTACCATCATTCCCTAATACCCTGTGTCTAACCTCACTATTAATTACGCGGTGATCCCAGCAGATGCGAGCAATATTTCTAAGGCACCTGCGGTCAAATACTTGTAGCATACGAGTATCTTTTACTCTTAAAGGCCATGTTTCGCAGCCGTATAGTAGAACGGAACGAACTGCCGCGCAGTATACTCGTCCCTTAATTGATAGACGGATATCTCGCCTTCGCCATAGATGACGTAGCTTGGCAAAAGCCAAACGAGCTTTTCGAATCCGTGCTGAGATTTCGTCAGACACCAACCCATTAAGGCTGATTAGACTTCCAAGATAAGTGAAGTTGTCGACGCGTTCGACTACTTCACTCCCTATCCTTAGTTCAGGTGTTGACGCAGACCAGTCGTGGAGCAACAACTTGCATTTAGAGGGATAGAAGCGCATCCCAAACATTGTGGCATTGTTACTCAGTGCTACCAAAATATTCTGCATTTTGCCAGCGTCTTCACCAAACAGGACTGTGTCATCTGCGTATTCTAAGTTGATAAGTGGACCTCCTGGTAGGAGATCAATGCCCGAGAATTCAGTCAACGAGAATGTTATTTCCATCAGTAGATCTATGATGAAGTTAAACAAAGATGGAGAAATGTGGGAGTTGTAAAAAGAAAAGATTAGTTCCATAGTATTTCTAAGAAACTTGTAACGATTCTCAAAGCTCACTTGGTATTGTTTGGCTTGTATCTTCCCATTGAGGTTTAAGACTGCAATTTATCAGTCTGTTATTGGCATATGTGCATACTATGTGTATGCCTCGATATTGCCTTAATTCACAAGCATTTTGTAAGCAATGATGGATAGTGGCTAGCAATGGAATCCAGGACGCGCGTTTCGTCCTATTCAGGACTCGTCAGCCGGATGTACCTGCATCTGAGAGTTGACGTTCACTCTGAAACTCGAACCCAGTACCATTCGCTTCAAACGTCATCGCGTTATCTACTCAGTTACTGATTCCTGATAGCCACTTGCTTGTGCAATGGGGTGAATTTAAATTCACTCGGTATTGTTTAGCTTGTATCTTTCCATTGAGGTTTAAGACTGCAAAGCTTTTTAAGTATTAAGTGTGACGTTTACCTTGGCTTTGATTTCGCATAAAATCAGCCGATTGCACTTTTATTCACTTTGGAATAGATATACCAGTATTCATCAAAGTGAAACTATGTTTGTGAAAATGGAAAAAACTGGTCTTACCAGTTGCTCTAAGGAATAGACCTGATTTTGTTTTAATTTCTCAAATCCATGGCGCCACATACATCTCGACTTTCTATCTTCAGTATTCTCGTTTTGACATTCACAAATTGCACTAAGTTTTGTTTCTAAACTGAAAAAAAATAAGAAATAAATTCTTAATCGTAGAGTAACTTTGGATTATATTTAAGTCATCCAAATTTAAAACATACCTCTGCTTGAACAAAAGAAAAGGCGAGAAGTCAATTGGAGGAACACAATAGGAATATTCCACGAGTTCAGTTTTAAAGTCCAAACTAGTTCACTATGATAAGCTAAGTTTGTATTCTTACTTAAACTGTACATTCTCCAATCCTACGAGAGAATCAATTAGATTAAATATTTCTTCAGAACGGAAGATAGCATCCCGGGAATAATATTTCCTGGAAAAATAATTTTAAGAGGATAAAGACAGTGATGCTAAAAGTATTAAAACAAACCGATAAAAATCGCCGTGAATTATCTCACTGAAATAGTAGTATGCATAAAAAGTAGAAAAGAACTTACACAACGTGGAAAAATAATAAGAATGATAGAACAACTTAGTTTGCATGATTGTGAATCCAAGTTATCGTGTTACTGAAGTAAAACCAAATTAAGAATGGTTTTAACGTGAAACTTAGTAAATGAGAGTCAGGTACCCCTAAGCACGCCGAAAAGTGTACCATAGTAAGACAAATAGTACTGAGTAATGTATTGAACTGAATTACAAGTATGTATTAGGTGTCTAAAGCTTCAGAATAAGCTGAGATAGTAAAAAACATTTATCATTTACCTTCCCCTACATACTAATTTGCACTATTGTTTCATTCATACCATATTTTTTGAAATAGCAGACAATGCCGGACAGATCACATGTTGCTGAAGGGGCCAACCGGATTACATATAAACACGAGCTGTGGTTATTAATAAATCGACACGTAGAGGGCCAGTTCAAAATGAATGTGTCATTTACCAGGACGAAGTCACTTTCATGTATCCCAGTCTGGGTCAATCGAATATATATATACAGCCTATATATATATATATATATATATATATATATATATATATATACAGCCTATTGCACTTTATACTTCATATGCACTCACAACAGTATAATTCGAGCAGATAACTAAAAAAACGAAGGAATGTGGTTTACCCTTATATTTCTATATTCAAGCCTGTAGTTAGATATAACTACTGAACACAAGTGGTTTGTGAGGCTTTCAATGTATCTGGACATTTAACTGAACCGATATAAGAGAAATACGAACTTGAAGTGACACAATGAAGCCTTCATGACACTATCAGGGCGAAATTATTCGGCAGAGATTCATTTTGCCATACAAGTATATATTTGAATTAGACGGAGTGAAGTTATGTACTTTATCAGGTTTCAAAGTAGACGGACAGTTTTAAGAATAGCCAAAAGCATTTGCCAATTATCCAAATCATGTTGAAATGGCTTTTATTGTAAGCAAAATTTTGGTGGAAAGTATACATCCGTTAATTTACATAACACGACTTACGTCAAATTGGGCTTCAGTTGAACTAAATCTAACATTGCGGAGTGCAGACAACACCTAACAATAGACAGTTTGATCCAAGCTCGAAGCTGAAATGTTGCAAAATTAAAAAAGCTGATACCTTTGAGAAATCACTCTTGAGATGGTCAAGAAGTTTCACTGAAGACGTATGTGAAAAACTGGGCAAATTAGATAATTGAAGTATGAGACACCAGGGGTGTTTTGGGATAGTCTTCCCAACCAGAAAATTATAGGCTGAGCATTAAGAAACTCAAAAACCTACATCTCAAGCCATGGTAGAATAGATTTTCTAAAACTGCGAGAAAATTCTGAACGTCCGGGAAACTTTCATCTGGAATTCGGTGCACGGAAGATTCTATTTGCGACTTTATTACTAATCTAAATGAAACAGCTACTAAAAATATGTAACTCATTACTCAGCCACTTGAAGTAAACTTTTTCTTGTGATTCTGTGTGGACTAGGACGGGCTACATCCATAAACACGAACAGGTGACTTTAAAGTTGACCTTGAGCCGAAATTCCCGGTCATTTGAGATCCAATATCTTTGTGTTAAGGACGTATAATTATGTTATTTTCTTTCTGACTTCATCTCAATGTTCCTATAAGCCTCCAGTTTTTAAGAACCGCTTAGTTGAACAGTGAAATAGAGTTATCACAGTACTTAGTAACATGTTAACCCAACAAATGCCCATTAAATGACAATGAAAAGTGCAAGAAATATCTTAAGCACAGGAATGTGCATTAAAACATGTTAACCTTCATAGGTTCAGAAGCGTAAATATATATTTATTGTAAAACCAAAAACGCACGCCACGACTGGATAAGAAAAACAAACTTTCTCATGAAAACAATTTCTTAAGGACCATGGAAGTAGTCCTCGTATATAAAAGGGCAAACTCAAAGGAATGGTTGAGTCCCTCTTCATTTGCACAATTAAATCCGTTGATATTAGCAGGATTAGATATTTCAAGAGGTGTAGCCTTATTAAAATATTCTAGTAAAAAGTTCTTCACTAACTATAGGTAAGGACCAATAATTATAATCATAGCTGATGGTTCATGTTACTTGTGAGGAGAGAACTACATTAAGATTACTTCGACATCTCAAATCAAATACGTCCAGTTGTTCTGACGACACTAAAGACCACCAAATAAACCCTGAAAGATAGAATTGCTAGAACTCTCTCTTTGAAGCTCATGTGAACCAATTATAAATATAACTCTTCTCCATTGTATGGTTTCGACAACCAAGAGACGAAGTGGCAAATTGAGATTTACTGAGAGGTTGTTATCGAATATTAGTAACTGCGAAATTCCCTGAATGACGCCTTGTATAGTTCTAAACATGAACTCCCCTAAGTTTCAACTTACGCTGCCAACTTTAGTGTGGAATGTTTAGACTCGGTGGTAGTTACTCAACTATGAAAAGAGTTAGTCTGTTGGTGATATATCCTCATTTCTGACTGACAGAACAGAATTCCGTATTGTGTAAACGCCTTGAGATAGTTCAGTAAGTATGCATATACAACCTCCAACTGATCTCTTTAGTCTGTCCGGATTTCCCATTCCGATAGGACACTCGTGATGCACGTTCTTTCCTTCCTGATTCTTGAAACCATCCATGGCTTTTCGTGGACTTCTCGTCTGGTCCTCTATCAAGCGTTACAAGACTTTGAGAGCACCATAAATAAAGCTAAAGGCCTGCGACAGCTACGATCCTCCCTGTCTCTCTCTGAAAACTGAAGTAGCAGGCTCTGGTTTTCAGTCCTTTACTGAGTGATTAGGATATGAGAAGTGTTGAAACAGGTGATTTTCTGAATTACGGAGGGTTTCGAAATAATATTTTAGTGCTAATGGTCCTATGTCATCACAGAAAAACAACCTGATGAATCTGAATATCATTATTTTTCCCAATATTAACCTTGGTGTTCCTTTGCAATGTTTTTCTATTAACTCCGTTGATCGAATCACGCTTTAGACTCGTTTATCGAAGTGAATATGTAGGTCGCAAACTTTTACAACAACAAGTTTTTTATCCGGTATTTCTGTAGCGCATGGTGTGAATAGACTGATTGCTTCTCAATAGTCCATTGACGTTAATGAATAACACAAGGTATTCAACAGTCTTTAGCGTGTGTTGTCTAGTCATTTGGCTGAAATACTCCTGGTGAATCTTACAGTCATTTTCGACAGTAGACGGGGGTACGCCTTAAACGGTTAACATGATGCGAAGAAAATATCACGAAGAAATTTCCTTTGTTCTGAATTTCGAATATTCGAAGAGAATGTGTTGATATCATAGCTGAACTTGTAAGAGGCCTCTATGGTAGGGGAATACAAAATTTATATATACCTAAGTGTTCTTACAGAAATATTTATCAAAAGTGTCTGCCAAAGGTCGAGTAGATTTCGCTCTCCAAGTACTGAGATCATAAACGTTCTACAGGCGGTTTAAACGACCTCTTTTATGATGTATAGCTGATTGAATCGATTGAAACCAACAACGTAACATTAGGGAAAAGATTGTCCATTAAGTTATCCCCCATCTTTTCAGTGATAAGAAGTTAAACACGAAGTATTCGTTTTTCCGAGTGTAAGGACATCATACTACATATCAAATTCTTAAAAATTGAGAGTTCAATATTAGGAGCACAAACCAAAAATTTTAATTTCTTTTGGTGAATATGCTTTTGAGAGTCTTCACCTTTTACATTACAGTTGATTGAGTTCGATACTTGTCACAAATAGTCTTTCAAAGTACTGTCATTTTGTTTAGAGGAGCCATGCTAAAATGCAGTAATTTTCCGAATAAGACCACATTGCAACCTCATTTATAGATACCCATAAATCTCAAGTGACATTTGTTTTTAAATTGACCGAACTTCAGCAGACTTCTCTATCAATAATGTTAGCGTTCGCCCCATTTTTACGCAATGTTACTATCAGTGGTTTCATATCGAAAATGTTTTGTATGACATGATGATGATGATATTTTCAACCGTCTCTCCGACAAACACATTCAGTCACACCCAAGCCAGCTGGGTCTACTGTGAGCAAGCATTTTTTGATCAGCACAGATTTGATGACATTTACACTCGAATTTGTCACACTTCACGTCACAAACAATAGAATATGCTGTACCTGTGTCACTTGCTCAAGTTTTCACTGACTAGACCGAAAGACTGTGAACACGTCTTGCGAGAAGTTACAAAATGTAAGGCTCAACAATAAGATATTAACGAAAAAAGCGTATCAGATGGTAAGTTTGGTTAATAATGTATCTGTAGTTCAGAGAGTCTTCCTTTAACAAGTGTTATTCTTGGGTCAGGGTCGAAAGATACAGTCGTTGGACATTCGTGCACGAGATTGAAGGTCCTGGGATTGAATCCCCTCCCCCAAAAAATCCATTTGCTGTTGCCAAAGGCCCTAGGCCATTATGGACTATTCGTAGGTCTTTTCACTGCTCGAATAAAGAAATAGTTGTATCTGACTTTGTTGAGACCTCATTTGGAATATGGGATTGAAGCATCGAGTCCTTGCTTCAGGTATGAGATAAATATGCCGGAACGAGTTAAACGACGAAAGACTAAAATGGCAAAAGGTCTTTCTGACCTATCTCGTGAAGACAGACTGAGACACCTCAACTTATTTGTCTTGACTTATCGCAAATAACAGAGTAATCTATTATTGACTTATCGTATACTGAACAATGACTTTGATATTATTGTCTTATCTTTGCTCTACGTCTAGGAATGACCATCTGAGAGGATATTCCAAAAAAATCCGAAAACCGAGATCAAATAGTCTATGGCTAGTGTTACGTTCCTTGCACCGAGTAGTGAATTACTGGAATTCTCAGTCTTCAGTCTTCAGTAGTAAGGATAGTAGGTTGGTGAACCTGTGTTATTCCTAACAGATTGCCTTCCAGTGAAGGTCCAGTTTCTCCTTGAAAATATTCACCAATGGAGCTGATACCACTTGTTCGGGCAAGGCTTTCCAATCATTGACTACTTGATGAGAAAAACGGAACCCCAAATCAATTTTATTAGATCGTGGTTTATGAACCTTCTTGCTATGACCTCGGAGATTATTAGTGCTGGAGGGAGCAAAACGATAAGACATATTAACACCCAAATCATAATTAAAGATACGAAATGCCAGTATAAGATCACCTCGAGTCCTACGATACGACAATCGGAAAAGGTTTAGGCGTTTTAAACGCTCATCGTAAGGGAGTTTGGAAAGACCTTTCGCTAATTTCGCTCCCACACCCTGGACACGCTCAAGTTAGTTAGTATCCTTTACCAGACATGGGCTAGCTGCTTGGATACAGTACTCTAAATGTGGTGTTACATAGGTGGGATATAAAATTCGAAACATTTCCTCGTCAAAAGATTTGAACGCTAGGCGAATTGACCATAACGCACGAAAAACTTTGCAGCGGCTGCGCAGCAATGCGTAGTTGTTTTTAGGTCATGACTTATTATTACTCCTAAGTCTTTATGTTCTTGAACGCATGGAAGAGATTTACCATCAATAGTATAATGATAACTATTGCCGTGCCCGATGTGCTTCAGCACACTCTTCCTAGAATTGATTTCTAAGCCCCAACCTCGAGCCAATCTAACTAAATCGTCCAAGTCAGCTTGAAGATCCAGATGATCAGCCTCACTTTTTATTGTTCTCCATATTTTGACATCATCCGCAAATAATAATTTCGACGACCTAAGCAACTGGGGGAACTCATTAACGTAGAGAAAAAAGAGTAGGGGACCTAAGATGGTGTCTTGGGATACACCACTTTTGACCGGCTTCCAGTCGGATAGAGTTCCTTTGACCCTCACTCTCTGTCTGCGGTCACATAAGAAGTTACCTATCCACTCCTGTACAGTACCTATTATTCCGAAGCTCGTGAGCTTCTGCATAAGACTCAAGTGTGAAACCTTGTCAAATGCTTTGCTGAAATCTATGAATATCACATCGACAGACAGACCTTTATCTAAGGCTGCTGTCCAATCCTCTCTCGTAATAAGTAAGTTAGTCAAGCATAAACGCTTGTCACGAAATCCATGTTGTTCAGGAGCTGACAGATTGTGTGAATCTGTGTGGCTTAGCAACCATACCCGAATTATCTTTTCGAATAACTTAACGACAAGGCTAGTTAGACTGACAGGCCGGTAGTTAGATACGGTCTGTCTCTGACCACCCTTAAATATAGGACTGGCTACAGCATCTTTCCAATCTCTAGGGAGTTGAGCGAGTGAAAGGGACATGTTGGAGGGTGTCGCGAGCGGTTTTGAAATAATGTCCGCAAGGAATGACAGCAGCCGTGGATGTAACCCGTCAGGGCCCGGCATCTTACAAGGTTTGAGGCTAGTTATCAACGGAAGGACAGTTTCCTCAGTCACCTGTACAGATTCAATGTAACAGTAAAGGGTACTACAATCACTACGTTTCATTCGCCGTTTAACATACGAAAACAGTCGATTCGGACAAGTACGGTCATCATATACCAACTGTCGTTCGTAAGTAGTATGGGATTTAGCCACGGTTTTCTTACAAATATTCGGAGTTTTTGGTACTCACGTTTAAATGATGCATGATCTGTCAACAAGAATAAGTCCCAGAAGTGTTTCCTACGTTTTACCAGCTTCCTGGTATCCTTATTAATCCATGGAGGGCAATGCGATAGCTTATGTTCTGACCATAGGATAAACGGCGACGTTACGGACTCGAATGTAGCCTTAAACTTATTCCGTTTGTCTTCGAACGATCCATCTGCATCAACTGACCAATCAGTCGAGATAGCACAGTCTCTGATTGCAGAATATTAGCCCACCAGATATTGGAATGGGGTGGAGCAGATACAAATCGTATACCATGTGTCCTAAACTTAAAGTGAAGTACAAAATGATCACTGTTCAATACTGGGGGAAGGTGCTGAATATCAAAGACATCCTCACAGTGGTGGGTGAGGGCGAGGTGCAGCAGTGACGGATCATGTTTCAAATCAATATGTGTCGGTTTTGTGATACATTGGACAGGCGCACACTGAATAACGGTTGATAAAAGTTCGTTATGGAAACCTCCACCTGGAGCTGTAAGCTTTATCCGATTGATGTGCAGCGCATTGAAGTCCCCAATGATGGGAAAAAATTCTGCCATACTCGAAGAACAGATGTGTCTTGGGATAAAGTCGACAGCAAGACAACACTGACTACGGCATACTTCTCCTATAGTCACTAACCCATTTCTAGATTTAATTTTTACAACATGCTACCTCACATGTATACCGTAAAAGAAATCTCCCATTTGATTAGATCCTCAAGCGGCCGATCTGGTCGGATACGAATATTTGAATCACGAATTTTCTGTGCGTTTTTCAATAAGCTATCCTTTTCTTCAAAATTTCCGAGAACCAGCTTCAAGATTCTTCTTAGTTGGGTCTCGCCTCCGACCCATTTACCGAGTCGTATCGCTTTCGTGATATGTACCCCTGATACCTCTTCAGGTAGTACGTTTCTTACCACGGATTCTACTAACTTCAGATCATGTGCATGTCTCTTAGCAGGATCGTTGTCTACCGACTCCTCTAGATTCCAAATAATCAAACTAGGGAGTGGTTTAGCTTCTTTTGGAATCGTGTTTACAGCAATCGATCGTGACCTTAGATCCTGTTTATTAACTACTGGTATCTTACGATTAGTTTTTAATGTAACAGAGTCATTGGAGTCGAGCGAGTGACTCATAACAATGTTTGAAGAGGCTTCACTTTGGGACTTTGGCGGATAGGTCTGAGTGTCCATCAAGGGCTTATCAAGTAAACGGTCATTAGTTTTAGCTGTCTTTCCTACTCCTCTGCGTTTCCGCGTCATCCATATTCTATCAGTCGTAGCATCTACATTAGAACTACTCGGGACAGTAATTGTTTTTTTTTTTTTGGATCACAAGTTGCTGCTGTAGCAACATGGCCACCAATATCTAATGAGATGTCACTCATTGATTGTTTCGGTGTAGAAATTTTAATTTCGGGTTGCACATTTAGATGTCTGACTTGCGCCGTGACAGCACTTACGACACTAACGCAATCTTCGCTATCAGTATCAATGTTGCCGGTACAGCACTCATCAATCTTTTTATTAGCCAACACCAGGAGACTTATTGCTTCCTGGATGAGTGGTGTTTTGCTCGAGCAACAAAAACCACAAGGCCAATGAGAATTGGGCTTCGAGCACCTTTTATATGAAGTAGGGCTTAATCGGGTGCACATCTTGTGGAACCACTTATTACACTTGTAACATTGCATCCCTACCTCCACCGGGAATAAGCAATATGGTTGTCCACATTTAGGAGCAAATTTGATCATCTTGAAAATCAACTACAATGGTGATACAAACAAGATATGTAAAAGACTTCTAAAACCTTGACTAAATAAATAAAGTAAAAGTCAGAACACGTATTATCAGCTCCTTCTTTTGATATATTCGAAACGAGATTGGAATTCCACAGTTTTACAAATCTCAAGGATTATTATAGGTCGATAGACCTCCTATCCTTATTACTGTCAACTGGAAGCCCAGGCTTGTTGACCTTGGAAATAGTTTGCAAACTGTCTATACTATTTGTCTTGGTCAAGTAGTGGAGGCAAAGTGAAATTCTCGAAAACATGCGCAACCTCAACCTGACGAGTTGTGGTAATTTGTGGCTGAAAGGTCACAATGTACGTCATATCTCTTTGGATGACTGCTCTAATAACATCACTGTTTCTTTTGAGAGAAGTATCGAGTTGATCAGTAGCACGGGGGTAGGTCCATTGAGACTCAACAAACAGATGTAATTAGATAAATACTTATCATGCTCAAGGCACCCAACAAGAGATACATAGTTGTTTTGCGATATCTCCACCTGTATATTTGGTTGCAAGTTCCAACGAAATATTTCTTTGGCATTCACTGAATCACCAAGTATGTTGTTTTCCATTATCTTAGCAAGCAGATTTATGAAAAACTTGATCTCAACACGGAATTAAAAGCTATATGTATTTCTCCAGATCTTTCAAAAACGGTTGTCGTAACTGGTAAGTAGGTTTACAGCCGAAGATTTTCAGGCGATGGTTTTATCCATATTCTTTCTTCAACTCTCGAAACTGTATCCAACTTTTCACTGTATGAGGAAGGTTTCGGGTCGGGTAAGTGTTTATTGTTAATATAACCTCCCTTCAGCTCTGCCAGTTTCTCTAGGTTGGGGTAAGAAAGAAACTCAGTTTCATGGCTCGGAAGGCAAGGAAGCAGCTTTAGCAAAACCGGTATGGATTAGGGTTCGTTTACTAATAGCTTATGAACTATTTATCGCGCTTTTTGGTTTTGTGGGTTTTCTTGAGTCCCTTTAATGACTGCACAATATTAGTATTTATTTTATTTATGGGTAACTTCTGGCAAGTACGGGTCTCTTGTCTTCCGAAAATGATAAGTCAAATCGCATGTGTCCGTAATATGTTTTTCCTTTTTCAAAGTATGGATTTTTCAAACATAAATATTTGTTATTCATTCTATATCCACAACTGACCCATTTCAAGCAGCCACAACTCATGATAATAAAAATTAAGAGTTCAAAAATGAGTAATGAAAATAAAAGGAATAGATAAAGCCAGTAAAACCCATCAAAATTGCCAAAGTTTAAGAAAAGTGACAAAGTAGATATATCTCCACCATACTCATCAGTCTTGAGCTATTAGCATAACCATCCAGTAAATGATCTTTATCATTTCAACGCTCCGAAATCGACTGGTCTTCATGACTCACGATTGTATATGTTAGCATTGACTTTGTTCTTTTTTAGCCGTCTTAACTAAGCGTTCCCTAATCAGCATCACAGCACAAAAATTTTGGCATAACACCAAAAACGCTCCAAACAATGAAATGATAATGCTGTGGGGAAATAATAAAAGGAAAAGGTAATCTAATCAATAAATAGACGAGAAAGAATAGTGTTTCATAAAAAGATAATATTCGGTTTAAAATACAACGAAGATTAATTTTGTTTTAATGGGTTTATGAGGAATTCCCACAGCTAGTCACTATCCAATTTTAATAAAATAAGATTAATTTTGCTGAGCTAAGAAGGTTCATTCTAATATCGAAAATTTACGAGCGAATAAATAATTAATTGAAGGGTATGCTATGATTCGCGCTGAACAGGGAGGTAGGCAACTGTGATTTTTAAGTAATTATCGTGACTTATGAGACAGTGTTTTTTCAAGTTTCACAGATAACTGAATAGCGATTAGTGGTCGCAACTCCTTGACGTTTCCGAAAAATGTATCCAGAAAGACAGCTGGCTATTTTGCTTTAATTAATAGTCTACCAAAAGAAGTAGATGAAATACAGACTGTAAAGCAAAGAAATATTCAAATTAAAGAAAATTCTTGTATAAAGTATTCTGTTTTTATCCACATCATGGGTCTAGATCTCAGTAATTATTTCAGTAAACGTATTAAATTTAGTTACTGTATACATATTGATCAAGACACCATCCATTTGTTCTTGTTTTCGCATCAGACTGTACCAGTCTCAAACACTCAATATGATGATGGTCGTTTTGAAATTGCATGGCGTGATGATGGTCTTTATTTCGCCGTATCATGGATTGATCCATTAACAGAGAATCGTAGACGTATACGCGTCTACAATGATACTGGTGAATTGTTTTCAACAACTGAAATAACGAATATGATTTGTCCAGGGCTTTGTTGGAGGTAGATTAATTTCGTTAAGTTTTCTTTGTTATTTTTTCCGGTTTATTCTAAGGTGATCTCTTTTTGTCTAATCAAATTAGTTTTTAATTGTTACCGACTATAAGTTAATTGTTGGTTCTTCTAGGTTCATAATAATGTATTACCTCAATCATCAGCTTAAATAGATGAAGTCGAATTTTATAAGGTTTCACTTTTTGTGGTTTGATTGTGTAAGATTTTTTACAGTCAAGAGTGTTGTAACTAGTGCTCAGTAACTGGGTAAAATTAACTGGAATTCCCGTACATGGGTCTAGTACTAGTTAACACTTGTCAGTGTCACATAACAGTGGCTAAGATTTCACAGCCTAAATAATCCCCAGTGTAATAAAATCCATGTATAGTATACCCATAAACTTATACCGTAATATTTCTATAAAACCTCAGACCTCGTGTTCAGTTAATCACAACGCCTCAACGACGAGAAGGTCGTGGATTGGATATCATATTTTTTGAATCGAACTCCCTACGTCATGGAGAATTCGAACTGATCGGTGGTGAATCCGAAAAGTTTTATCAAGTGGAATCTATTATGTTTAATCCGACCGGTTCAATTTTGGCAGTACTGTGTAGTGGAACTCAAAACCATCCATGGTTTAGTAAGTGTTAATAATATTCAGTATAATGAGAGTCTCAAAATTTACTAATTCGTATTTTTCTGCGCCTAATTTCAAATGCACCTTTTCGCTAATGAGAATGATGTATGTAAAATTCTTTGTTGGACAGATTACAAACATGTTATGTATGTTTCCTGTTGAGCGTAGGTCATTCATGTAGATCAGGATGAATTTTATTATTAAACTTAAAACTGTCTGACTGGAAAAATATGAATCACTGAATTTCAGCTCAGTAATGAATCAGAAGTACAGCGCTCCTCACGAGCTTTCAAAGTTTTTGTGTTTGATCCCTGATATAGGTCGCAACTAATCTGAAAAATCGCATACTATGATAATACCCCCCTAACCAGTTCTCTCTAGCTTTCTATGATTGATTAATTGATGTTACTCAGTGATCTAAACTAACTTATAGTAGCAATCAAAGAAAACGAAGACCAAAAATTGATGATGTAATTCAAAAAGACTGGGTGAAAAGATATGTATGAAGGAATGCTGAAATTCAAGATTGAGAAGATTGATAATGTATACATCTGTGCCATCATGAACGATTCTGAGCTATATCACCCCAATTCTTCAGGCACTAATCGTAGTTATCACGCGGATCACAACCAGTTAGTCTGCATATACTATCATAGTTTAGACTAACAATCAATGGCTTGATAGGTTGACTCTATTTCTTGACAATAAAAATACTCTTATTCAACCTGTGCTGCTAATAATAATGAATAGGAAATTGGATTTCTACTATATATTGTTATTTTTGTTATTGCTATTAAAAATTCACTCACTTGTCAATTTATTTAAAATTATCAAGTCAAACCATAGTAATGATATTCACCACGTTTGGTTACATTAAAGGATTTTCAGTAAAAAATATGTAATATTGCAGTGGATTCCTCTGTAATGACATTTTTTATATCGCATATTTATGCATACATGCGTATGTTTCATATGAATTGTAATGTAATCTCCTTTTGTTCCTCCGAAGAATAGATGAAGAGATAACTAGTGTTGTAGTTTTTCATGAATTTTACAGTATTTCATTACTGAATGACTGGATGCATATGAATGCAAAGACAATTAGCATGTATACTCGTTTAGTTAGAACAAGTATAGAATAAGAACATTTATTAGAATATTTGCACAGTTGGGAAATTTACTTATTTCATTTAAAGCATAAATTCTGGTACAACATGACACCAAAATAATGCACCACAGAAATCACATAATAGTATTGTAAAGAAATGAAGTAGGAAACTGTAGTACAGTCGATACTTGAGTAAGAATTGTATTTGATAAAATATACTGTTCAGCTGATAATGCGGCCAAGGAAAGCTTCTTTCAGTTAGTGAAGTTCATCCAACCTTTTATGAAGTGTAATAGAAAATTACAGAATCACTACTGGGTTTTTTTAATGTCATATTTGACAGCGTTTATTACGCGGACCTCAACCATGTAGTTCAAACGCATCAACAAAGCTCAATACCAGAGTGGATAACTTCATCGACTGATGGGACGTCTTGGTTTGATTCCCCTTAGCTTTGTTCCAACCTACTCCTACACCAGCGAATATCACCTGTTGAGATAGGCTATGGTTGGGTTTACGTAACACATGTCCTAATTACCCCATTCGACGAAGATTCCCCCAAATGCCCTGGTACGGCTGAGAGTGGGGAGAGTCCGCTTTCCCTCTCGAAATGCTCTCACATAGCCTCTGCCATGGAAGTCCTACTCACTGCCTTCTCGTGGCGGGGTATTGTCTATGGAATTAAGAGGACGAAAAGCGAAACTCTGGCACTTTAACCGGGCTGATGGACACAGAGAGTCCACCTAGGGGAGTTGGGAAACTCTGATTCCAAACCACTCGTGCAAATGGGCTCCAGTATCTTGAGGGAACAAATGGCATACGAATCAATTGTTGGCCACCGGTTACCATGGGTCTGCATCTCCTGACCATCGCTCCACTGCTTCGTGGATCAGATCTTCAGGTCGAAGTCTCCGGGTGTGGCCCCCTAAGAAAACCACCTGCTTTGGTTTGGACACCCGGGCAGTATCACAGCCCTTACACAAATTTGATGAGATGACAAATATTTCAGAAAACACTATGCTCACTCCGGTCAGAACTCAGACATTTCACTTTCACTTGAAAACATTCATCATTATTATTATTACTACTTTTCTTTATATACCACACTACTTATCACCTTTTTTTGTTACTTCATATATCCCCATTTTTGAACTTATACAGCAGCTCACCCATGGTGGAAACTCTGTTCTATCTAAACGATCTCGAGTCACTGCCTGGTCGAAAGTTGAATGCTTCCACCGAATACGAGCACTGAAACAGTCTTTCTGAAACCACGCACGCCATTTAAACAAGCTTTTTTCAACGTTTGCACACAGATAGGGCTGGCTATGTCTTTAGAAAGTCTTAATATCGACGTTTTCTGTCTATCCGAGACCCGTATTCAAGACTCTAGTGAATTACTACAAATTCGCTCTCCGTCTGTCGCTTCAGAAGGCTTGTTTTATGTGCGTTTATCTGGGGACCCTGTTGCATCTTCGTCCGGTTTCGCTGGCGTAGGTGTCGCACTAAGAGCTAGAGCTGAAGCAGCATTAATCGATTAGATCCCCAGTAACAGTCGGTTTTGTGCTGTTAGATTAGAAGGTTCCATCAAAGTGAGAAGAAATCGGTGTGAAAAACGATGTCTTTTCGTCATCTACACCTATGCTCCAACAGATTGCAGTCCGTATGTGATCAAGGATGAGTTCTACCACCAGTTAACAGTTCTACGGAAAGTGCGTTCGACATGCATTGTAGTACTAGCTGGAGATTTGAATGCTCATGTCGGGCGTCTAGGTACAGAAGAGAGTCGTTTAGGTTGCCGGTGGGGACTCGTTGGTCGCAGGACAGATAACGGGGAACGTCTAGTTTAACTGTGCGCAGACAACAACCTGTTTCTGGCTAGCACTAACTTCTGGCATAGTCATCGCCGATGTACCACCTGGCGTCCTCCCTGTGCATCTCAAGCCTGGACTCAGATTGATCGAATTGCGATCAGCTATCGCTGGCGTGGTTGTGTACAAGACTTTCGCTCCTTTTGGAGTACCTATCTGAACTCTGATCATGCTCTTGTTTGCGCCAATCTAACCTTACTTTTGAATGGCTAACGAATTCATCGTCCTAAACGTATTGATGTTAGTAAACTGATTGCAGCTTCTGTTACAACTAAGTATCAAACCGAGCTAGCTTCTAGGCTAGCTACCATCCCACCGAAAAGTATAGATGAGCATTGTTTGCAATTGCATGACGCCATGAAAATGGCGGGTAAGGTTGCCTGCTTCCAGCTGAAGAGAAAATTAGAAGTCGTTGGAGATAGATAGGATATACATTACGGAAATCATCGAACCACATCACGAAGCAAGTGCTTACCTGGAGTATTGAGAGGAAACGGAAAAGAGTAAGACCGTAGAATACACTGCGTTGATAATTGGAAGCGGACATGAAAAGGATTGCTCAGTATGGAATTGGATGGAGAATAGTTGTGGGCGCCTATGTTCCTCCACGAAGGGTAACGGATGCAAGTAATAACGATGATTGGTACCGGTTTTTTTTATCACATACTTTCCTATTGTCACTTGAATAGTAAACGCTTCATCAACATATTTACATCATTTAAAGATGAAACACATATATCTGAGTCTCTATCTCTCTTTGCTAATTTGTCTGCAGTTCGACTATTAACTTGCTCTAATTACCAATGGTCAATAAAACAACATTTCTGTATAGCTGACAATTTATTAAACGATAGTCAAATTTCCAATATATCATTAACATGGGATCATCATGCTTACAGTGCAGATTTGTCAACTCTTTATTGTGCTATATCAATTAATGAGTCGTTGCCTAATAATAATCAAGTTAACAGTAAGACGTTATTGCAGTGCTGGAAAATGAATAACGTGTATAATTCATCGTGCATATTAACAAATTCTAATGTAAATACAATAACATCATTAAATTCTGGTCTTGTTGCAGTAATCAATGGAAGTAAGCCATTTAATTATGTTTTCACTATATGTTCACTATTAAAACCCATTCGTTATCGCTAATAGATGGAATGTATGTGATTGACTTTGAAATATAGGACGTGCGTTTCATCCTATTTGGGACTTGTCAGCTGGATGTGCCTGCATCCTAGAGTTGATTTTCGCTCGGGGACTCGAACCCCAGTACAGTTTGCCTCAAATTCCATCGCATTAACCACTTAGTTACTGAATTTAGATAGCCACTCATTTATGCATCAGGTATGCGATTTAATTCAAATTAAAATGGTTTGATTTATCGCATTGTTAATATTTTTAGCTGAAATTTGATCAGTCTTGATTGTATTATATATCAACTGGTATCATAATGATTATATCAAGTCAATCCACACAGAATGCTCATATTCTTACCAAGTCAAAACACATCGACAACGGAATAATCCAAACCATTTCAAATTGAATTATTAATTGTCATATTCATGTCTATTTAGATATTAGATTCTTGTAAAAACCGGTAAAACATATTGTTCGTATGTAGAATAGCTGAAGTTATTATAAGTGCTAACAAGTGGAAGTTATACCCGTTTAAATTTGTATTATCCGTTAATAAAAGACTTAATTGTAAAATACCAGTTTGGAAGTATCATCATACTAAGTAACTTTGTATTTACTTTATTATAATACATTTTCTGTGATTACATGGCGTATACAAATGTGAACTGATGTACATAGTACATTATTTTATCTACCTTAACTCGTATGACAGTTGTGAAAACAATATTTTTAACTGATTGAGAACATTTTGTACTGATTCATGTGTCGATATGATGTAATCATCATTTATCTTCGCCGAATTGATTGGACACTGTTTAGGAAATCCTAAATTACAATAAAATAATGTTCAGTGTTTCTAAGTGCTTACTGATTTTCTGGTGGACGTGATACTGTTTGAAGAAATAATATCTTTAGACCAAATAGTTTTTCACAAACTTTCATGAATCGAAATTCGTACGGAGAAAACGCGACAATTGACTCAGGATGCACATGTACCAACATTAACATTGAGAAACGATATAAACCCTTACAAATCAAATTCATATCCGCCTCAAAAGTTACTAGCTTTCTGCAACCAGTAGCTCCGATGGATGATGATATATTTGCATTTGAAACTAAAGATATCGGATCGGAATTAGTATGAACATGAACTTAAAGGAACAGGTACATTCTGCTAAAGAATCCTCAATAGAATGGAACATCTGTCCTAGCTTATTTCTCGACACTATTAGAATTAAAAAAGACTACAGATTATAGCTTTTTGATGAATTTTTAAGGATTCGAATACTGATTGATTATTAAAGTAATGAGTTGAATGATGATCGTTAGATAATTTAAAGTAATGCTATGTCGGCTGACTGCTTACGAAACTAAAACCTTTAAGGGAACAGTTATCAGTAAACTACATAACTATCCAACAAAATATGATTTTTCTTCTGCAATAAAATGATATACGAAATAGTAAACACAGAATTAAGTATAATCAAATTTCCCTTAACAGACAGGCGATTAAAAGTAATACACTCTTTTTTTAGTTGCTCATTCTTCGATGAAATCCTTGTGTGTCCAACCTAAATAAACTTCCAAAATTGTTTTATTATCTCTAAGATTTAAAGGTTTCTTGACGTATTATTTTTATTAAATGAGTACATTTGTTCACTATTTCAATAATTTTTTATCAATACACGTACGAATGCTACACATTTATAATAACTAACTTTTATTTCACTTCTCGTTTTGTTTCCTTATTTCTATATTTCTCACCTTAGATACCGTCGAGATGAGTTGTTTTGCTTATTCAGTTATTCCACCTCCAATGTTTGCAACACGACTGGTATTTTATTCAAATGGTGTAAATCAATCCAATAAGACACAGTGTAATTTCACTCCATGTGTTTCGTCTGTATCTATTCCTAGTTTATGGTTGGGAAATGAATCGGATTTGCCAAACAATGTTATGCCTATATTAATTCAAACAGTCGACTGTCAGTCATCCAAAAATGTATTTCCAAATACGTATTTTATTACTATCACAAATGGAACCTCTTTAGAGAAGGAGTCATTTTGTAATGGTGAGGTGTACTCTGAATGGCATAATGGAGGAAAAAATATTGCACCTTGGCCAAAAACTGTTGTTAAAATTGAGTGAGCCTTTTTTACTGAGTATTATAACTTTGTGTCAGACAAAGTCACACGGTGAACTGTAGAACCAAAGTGACTTCAAGATGTTCTGCTGTTTGACCAACCGTTTCGCAAAACATCGAACGATATATATATATATATATATATATATATATATATATATATATATCATACTAGACTAATCCATTTGGATATGTATGTGCAATGTCCTCGATGATATGAATAACCCATCGGTTTACGGATTGCCCACCCATCATCTCTGTCCATGTGTCCTTGTGACAGCATGTGATCTGTCGGGGCTTTTTCGATGTAACATAAAAATCATTTTTAGTCTAAGATATGAGGGTCTTCTAGTTGATCGAATGTTCTTTTGCAAGCAATTGTGGAATAAATCGTCATCACATGTTGAGGTCGAGGAAGTCCTTCTTGTTGACTACTTGATGCGAAAGTCGGCATGTAGTTAATTTTAATCTTGTAAATCATTTTTATCTCTCTTTACAAACTCACCGTTTCATAATGTAAAATTTCCTACACACCAAACCTAAAATCATCATTGAATGATTCAGACTTTATAATCAAAGCCTCTGAAATGATAGAGACGTGCTTAGGGGAATAGATTTAGTTCTCATCATCAGTCTACTGTCATATGAGAGCTTCTTAAACGACTTCTGCTACATATTTTCTAACTGTCCAAGTTTATACAAATCTCACATATATTCAGCCAGTCAAACTTTTTTTATTACTGTATTTCAATTCCGTTCTTTTTTTCTCAATTTGTATTCCAGTATGGATAGACTGTTCAGTGAATGCAACGGCAATGATGAACCATTGAAATCTTTAATCTTAACTGAGTTAAAACAGAAGAACACTTGTTTATTTAGTCCATTGAGTTGTTTCTCCTGGTTAAGTCTTTATGAAGTATTATTTATAGGTGCAGATGGTCTACTATTAGGTTATTTGGACATGAAAAATCTATATGCTGGTGATGATGATTCCGATGGTAGTATAAACGGACGGTAAGTTTAGATAGTTGTAATATATATATATATATATATATATATATATATATATATATATATATATATATATGCGTACATTACAATTACAGGTTTGTATTACTCGTACTGGTTATGTTTGAGGAGTCTTTGTTGACATCCAGTTGACGAATCCTATATAGGACGAAACAACCGTCCTAAATTCCACTGTTATCCTTAATTCAAATATACTAATATTATAAAATAATGGTTTAATAAGTATTTTATGAATCCACGTTCTCGTGATTATTATTATTATTTCTTTGTAATGTGATTCCAGTAGTGTTTCGGTCATCAAACGTCAACCATCTATTTTTATTTTAAAGCAAACAACAACTAAAATTTGAGCAGAATAACAGTTCATTTTCTTTTGTTAACGTGTCATAAACTGTTACAACCCATAGTATTGTAAAATCAAAATTATGGTTAAAAGTCAAAATACTTATACAAGTTAGGTAGGCTGGTCAGAAGTGACTATATATCATCATGGTGAAGCCAAGATTCAAATAGTCAATACAATTAAAAAAACATTAAAAATATATGTGATGTTTAAGAGGGAATATTTTGTAACATCAAGAGTAGTAGTAACTAAAAAACATCATAGATCGTTAGTAAGGAATTGTAGTGGTTGTTGAATCTCATTAAAATCATGAACTGATCGGAGTTAGACAACCTTTTAAAACCTGGAAGCACTAGACGGCCGCGCAATGTCGTAGATCGATTGGAGCTAGACATGAACACCTTTAAATTTCGAGGTTATGCGTCCGCACTTGAGACCGTTGTTTGTTTCGATTCCTGCATGCGACTTAGGAGTCCCACACTACGATAAGGCGGCCATTTAGTGCTTCCAGGTTTCTAATGGTGGTCTATTATATATATATATATATATATATATATATATATATATATATGCAGTATGTTGTAATTGGATTACTACTTTTTCATCCCTCAGCTGGTTACTCAGAGCGTCTTCATCTGCTCAGGAATTTAAAACACTCTTGGAAAGAAACAACAGTAAATTTGCCAGAATAACTACTATTTGTTGTACGATTGATAGACGTGTTTGTGTTCAAATGTCCAATGGTACTGTTTACATTTTTTCTGTTCAAGATATACTAAGTAGGTTTAAAACTTTTCTTTTTGTCAGATATCTAAATTATTTTGAAAATGCAAGTTTTGGAAAATAATTTCAAACTTTATTGTAATGAAAAATTTTGTTTTTCGTTGCAAACTAATGTTCTCATTTTGTGAACCTTTGAAAATCAGCCAACCCATGAAAAATGTTACGTCGTTATCGTTATGGTTGTTCAGGATTATTGAGCAAAGTACACGCCAAACACATATCACTAGATCGAATGCATAACCTTGAACATAATTTTGATCTTTTTATTATATAAATATCACAAATTATCTTTTGTCTCAACAATGTGTCTGTGGTAGTTTTAGAAGATTTAGTATGATTCTGGAATTGGTCTATTGCGTAGTTCAATGTGATTAGCGCTTGTCTTTTTTTCACGTAGATTTATTATAGATTAGTGACCTAGTACACGTTCATGTAGAAGTAACTCTACCATAAATTTCCATTAATGAGTGAGAGCTACTTAACACTGAATGACTGATTGATCATCGATTGTTTCGAACGCCCTGAATTACCGCTTCCTTTATAATTACTGCGACTACTGATTAATTGTCTTACTGTTAGGTTGCTCCTAACTGATTGTAAAAAGTTTTGTCCACATTAGATAAGTTCTTTGGAAGCGCTGACTCCCAGAGTGAACATCAACTCTGAGATGCAGGTACATCTAGCTGACGAGTCCCAAATACGACGAAACGCGCGTCCTGGATCCCACTACTAGCCACTATCCATCATTGCTTACAAAAAGCTTGTGAATTAAGGCAATATCGAGGCATACACACAGTATGCACATATGCCAATAACAGACTGATAAATTGCAGTCTTAAACCTCAATGGGAAGATACAAGCCAAATAATACCAAGTGAATTGACTCATAATGTTTGTAGACTGCCTCGTTGGGGTCCCAACGATCGTCGTAACCAGTGGTTAGAGAGTTTGAATGTCATGGTTCAAAATCGTTTGCGATGGTTCAGGTGCATCTATTTTGTCTTCCCCTAAATTGTAAGCTTCTGAATCACTCATAACGTTTTGTGTTTTTATTTCACTAATTTATATTTTTTGTGTGTTTTCGATTCCTAAAATTTCTATTACCACTGATACTGTTACTACCTCTAATACTCTTGGACTGGCCTAACAATTTAATCTCTCTGTAGTAATAATGTGAGAAAACGTGGACCGATGTATATACGTGCCAGGTTCTATATTGCAATTGATTGACTGATGTATAAGAATAATGCACATTTATTGCCATAAATGTTCATGTTTTATTTTTGTTTTAATTGGTTATATCTGATAACAGCGTATACGCATACGCTTTCTGTTGTAATTTCTTTTATTACGACCCAGGTACTATTGCTTAGTAATGTCGGATACTACTTCACTCGACAAGTCTCCAAATCAGAACATGGTTTAACAGGAATTTAATTAGATTTCAAATAAAAAGGTTGGATGAAAATAAGAAGCACAATAGGAAAAACGTTAGTATATTTTTAGTTTTTACATAAAACGATTATAGAGTCCTCTCCAATTGTCCGCTAGAGCTGATTGGATAAGAAATAACCAATCGGTGTCCCCCAACATAATCCTGTATGGATTGCAACCTATTACGAATCTTATTTCTAATAAATTTGGGTATTACCACAACAGGGCTCCGTTCATTCTCTTTTCCTTGAAGAAACTAGTTCAGATTACTATAGAATTAATGCATTAAATATATTCGTTGATAAAAATGGGTATTATTATTATTGACTTTATTCGATATTATATTTCCGGTACAGTATAGAATTCTCAGCACAAAGTATATCAACAATTTTCCTTTTCTTATTTCTTGATCGATCCTGGCGATAAATATTGAGTAATCGCCAGTTAGATGTCAGTAGTGCAGGAATCGACGTCTGAATAATGTTCATTCTTTTCAATGCATATTGCCAGCCACCATAATGCCGCCAATTATACTTTTTACCTGTAAATCGAAAGGTCATAAGCTTTTCATAAACGCGCCTAAATAGGTTCTGTGATTTACAGACGTAATGATGTGTTAAAATAAACAAAATCTGATAGTTTGTTGAAATATTTAGATGTCAGTAATAGGTAGCCCAGATATTCAAGTAGGCCGCCTCAAAGATGATCACTCATAAACATTCATTGTTCAATAACTGTCTACGCATATTTTTGAATATTCACAAGTGAAATGTTTGTAAAACGGGAACATTGTTTCAAGTTTGCATGTTTTTTTTTGTTATAATTCCTTTATTTATGCTATTAAATATTCTCCTTCTTGTTATTATTAATGTTATTGAAGTTGACTATTAATGCTTCTTTAAAACAATTAGTCCCTTTGATAAATTTCGATAATGCAATAAGAAGACGATATTAATGTTTCTTCGTCAATAATTGTCTTGGTCATATTTTGTTTTGGTATGTGTTTGAGCAGATGATTTTTCAAAATACTTCCGCCTATGAATCTAAATTTTTTAATTACAAAGCAGCAGAAGCCTTATGTCTTTCTACTATTGTTTTAGAATTGGGATTATTCTGAGCATCCTCCGGCCCACAAGTTAAATTTTTCATACCCAATAAATTATTTTAAGCTTTGTATGTCTACATTCACCGTCTGACTTTAGTTAAACCAATTCTTCAACGTAAAAAGGCATTAAGTATTGGGGCGGCCAATCCAAAATATGGCATCAGTCCTTGAAGTTATTAACTTTTAGTCTGAGCCATGTTGGTAGATGAAGACTACTTGGTTTGGGTCCGCCCGGCTATCATGACCAATGGTTGGAGACCATGGGTAAAATTGCTCAGAATCGACCACAATGGCGTAGGTGTATACACTTTTTGTCTTTTTAAACTGTAAGATTAAAATCGCTTTATAATTTTATTTCAACGAACTTATTCTTTCTTCCTGTATTATATCCTTATATGTAATCTTTCGTTTGTATATTACTATCATTGAAGTAACTACTTCTATGAATTTGGTGTTCATCTTGTGTTGATGAGGTGTGGCAACTTGGACCTATGCATATATGTGCCTGGTCTTACGTTTTAGTTAACTAACTGACTAAGGTAACTTCATCCTTCTGTATTTAAAGACTAGAGATTTTTTGGGTCTGTATCCACCAACTTATATATTCATTTAATTGTTATTATTTATGAAAGAAGTAAAATCATTTTCAACACAAATGATGAAAATATAAAATTAAAAATTTATTTTAAAGAAATAACATTCAAATATTGACAAAAATGTTTCATGATATGTTTCTCAGGTGAAACTCTAATTTATGGACGAGCCAATCAGAAGCGTTTTAGAGATTTAAGGTCACGACACCAACTTCAGTGCTTAATGCTAACGTACGGTCGGTTCACAGGGAATTTTGTACAAAACGTGATAATTGAGCGGCTGTAACAAATAAAACGGCGAGACTAAAATTTATGGACGAATCAACCAGGTATAAGATGACAGATCTCTGGTTTTGGCGCGAAAGCCTGTCATCCATTTGGCTCAATAAATTTCTGGCATTATAGCTGATGTCAGTTCGTGATGAAAACCCCATGCATAATTCTTAACTAAGGTAAATTATAACTTATTGCGAACTATATATCAAAAGCACCAGTAACACTGGCTGCAGCCAGGTACTACAATATATACGGATGCTTGGAGAACGTACAGACTCGTACATAGGCTCGATTATATGCGTCGTGTCATTATTCACAAGTGTCATTTTGTGTACTCAACAACTGGAGTGCATATAAACAATATTGAAGCTATGTGGTCGAGGCTTAAAGAGTTTATCAGGGCTCCAGAGTCCGACTATCCTGTAGCCGTATGGATGATTTTCTCTACCGCATGCATTACGATTTTAGAACATCTGAGTTTCTTTCTAACCTTGATAAGTTTTTGAACCACGTATAAGAAGTGTATCCACTTTATTTCCTTGGTTTTTTTACAATATATTTTACTCTATACTGACTGTCTGTTGATTTGCTAATATTTCTCAAGGTCACCGAAGAACAGATCAAAGATCGTTCATAAACTAGAGTCCTGCCGTTTCTCATTATGTATCCATTTTTATCTGTGTATACGAATATTGGTCAATATTAAAACGAATAGTTTAACAAAAATTTTTATTTTGATTATCACCCTAAAGAAGTCCTGACAAGTTTGCTTGGACGAAACGTTAGAATTATTTGAATTTCAATTGGTGAGATTATTTCAAATACAGTTTTCATACATAATAGCATCTTGATCTGTGTTGTTAATGGTTGGAAGAACGTTAGGTGCGGCCAAACCAAAACGTAACATCAGTGCTTGAAGATACTAACATCTAGTCTAAGCCATGTTGGTAGATGAAGACTACTTGGTTGGGGTCCGCGTGACTGTCGTAACCAATGGTTGAAGACTCTTAGTGCCATGGCTCAGAATCGATCACAATTGCGTCGGTGTATACACTCTCTGTCTTTCTTTAAACTAAGAGATTAAAATCGCTTCATATCTTTCTACGTACGAATTTTTTCTTCTTGTACTGTATCCTTATATGCAATCTTTGTTTTATATATTACCACCACTGAATTAACTACTTCTATGAATCCAGTGTTCATCTTGTTGTGCTAATGCGGTATAGCCACTTGGACCGATGCATATATGTGCCTGGTCGTACGTTGTCGCTGACTGACTGTTAATTTTTACTGAAGAAAACTAATCGAATTACTATGTGTGTGTGTAAATATTGCAATTACAGATTATTTATAATGTTATACATTAAATTCATTTTAGATAACAATTATTGTTATGAAATTCTACAAATGAATGAATTCAACATTGATAATTTACATTCTTATAATTCATTAAATTGTATCATACAATTTCCATCTAATTGTGAACAATTATTATGTATACCAGTATTTGATGAATACAATTATAACACTATCCAATTGAATTCACCAATTATACCAGTTAATTATTATCAATCATATTCTGCTTTAATTTTATTTGGTTTTAATAAATCAACACATTGTTTATTCGCTGCTGTTTTACCAAAACATAATACTGGACATTTTCAACAAAATAATATTATTGCATTGAATATTACAGATTCATGCTCTTCATTAATTGGATTATCAGAGTTTTTAATTGTAACTAATATTAAAAAATTGTTGATATGTATTTCATTATTATTTAATTCATCACAAATTAATGATCCAAATAGTCTTTTAAAAGGTAATACATTTAATGTTTAAATTGTATATTTGAGTTTAATATAAACAATAATATTTCTATGAATTGTTAATGTTAATGGTAATTTTAGATAATGATTGTGAAATTTCACAAATCGATTTCATTTAGAAATATAAACTATTGGATCCAAATGATCTGAATGTTCAAGGTTTGTATGTACATTTTAAAGAAATCTTACATCAGCTATCCAGCACTTCCTAATTTTCAATGGTTCCCTATTTGCAGTCAGTCCATAATGTAAATGACAACATTCAACAGTTTCCACACACTCCCATACTAATAACATCTGATATTTTAGTTATGAGATGTAAGTGATGATATAAGAATGGTTGCCTTCTTGTTGTAGAAAAGGAGGCTTTCATATTTATTAACATGAAACATTGATTCCTGATCGATAGATGATGAACATTCATTACACCGATTCATGATCCAGTATACTTTGCATCAGAACGCTGAGAAAGGTATTCAACAGGATAGGAAGCATAGCAGATGTGAATTAATATCAAAAACAGTGGTAATCTAAAAATGATAGATACAGTTCAAATAGAATGAGGGCAATTGAAAAATGAAAATTTAGAAGTGCATCAGTAACTTATGCAGCTGAAGCACTATGATCAACTTTAAACCACGTCACCCTACATCCGCAACCAACAAGTGCGGCTATCGATATGATAATCTACTTTCTGATCTAACGACTATGTAAATTATCGAAGTCTAACCAACCCAACTATTTAGGAGTAAACAGAGACTGTATATATAATCCCTATTACTCGAAAAGTCAAACTAATACATACTTAGAGGTAGATAACTGATGTGCCCTCCACTTGAGTTCCCACATTTGAACTGAACCCAAGAAACCAGACCGACCTATTTTCTTTCAGGAGGAAAATGTGATGTAGCAAGCCAATCAGAGATCATCCAAACGTTAAAGTTTTTTGTCTATTCGGTCTAACCATAAAATTCTTCCTCCTTACACCTAAGCTGATTAAGCTTGTTTATAGGGAGCTTGTGTATATCAGCATCAGATTATGATAATGCACAACATTACAATAATTTAACCCAGATTTCAGTAAATTCGTTTGGATAGTTAGTTTTTTATTTACAATATATCATAGGTATTTGCATCTGATTACCAAATAAATTTGCGATATCGTCAGTTTTGTCTTTTTTGCCTGGTGAATTCAAGCATCAGATTCAGATCAAGATTTCTTAACCTACTGGTACAGCTTAATCCTACGTCATCATTTTTGTATCCGACCGAAGTAATTGATATCACATTCTATGTTAGTGTTCGCACACAGAGACTCGAATTCACTACTTGTCGCCTCAAACTCTAATGTGCTATCCAATGAACCACTGACTTGTTCAAGGGGAATACATTTTAGGTTAGCATTGTTTGATTGTTGATGTATATCCAGGATTAAATTTTTATCAGTAATAATCCGAAAGTAGGCAAAGTTCTTTCCTTTGCAAAAATTTTCCTTAAACTCATCCTTAATGACCATTTGGAATATTCCTATTTTGTCTATTTTTTGTCGTTTTTTCTTCCACTATCTCAACATAGAATTACTATCACGATTGAATATTCCATCAGAACTAGACACCAGTACACGTAAACCACCGCGTAACTGGTATAATGATAATTTACATCCAATCGAGTCTGGTGCAGTCATTGTAACAGCGATACCGAATGATACCAAAGTCATACTACAAATGCCACGTGGGAATTTAGAAGAAATCCATCCTCGTGCCCTTGTACTGGCACATTTATCCAAATTACTTAATAAGTAAGCTAGGTTATCATTAGTATTATTATTATTGTTATAAAGGGAGTTTGAATTATTTCATTTATAACGTTAAGGATTAATGATAATTACTACTGGAAAAATTACTCTTGATTTAATGCTCATTCAGACAACTCATATTTACAATCATTTGAAGACATTCGTTTTTATTTCTTTTATACTACGTTACTTATCTATTCTCTTTCATTCTCATCTTGCGTATTTTATATTTCAACTCCTAGAGCAGCTCGCCTATGGTGTAAATCCTGTCCTAACTAAGCGATCTTAACTCACTGACTGGTCAAAAGTTGGATGCTACCACCAAATATTAATACCGAACCAGTCTTCCTGAAACCATGTATACCATTCAAACTGGCCTCCTTCAACTTCCTCACACTAAAGCGAATCGGACCATAGATGGGGTTATATGTATCTTTAGAGCCTCAACATCCATGTACGTTTTGTATCCGAGACCCGTTTTAAAAACTCTAGTGATGGACTACAAATTCGTCGTCCATCTGTGACTTCTAAAAGCTTGTTTCAGGTGAATTTTGCCGAGGACCCTATGTCATCTTCGTCTGGTTTTTAATGGCGTTGATGTCACACTGGGCTCTAGAGTTGCTACAGCACCGATCTGGGGTTAGCGACCCCATCCCGTAGAAAACTAACTCGCTAAAAAACGCTAACCAGAAAAAATTATTCAAACCATTTAAACTCTGCACTGGGAGTCAGGAGGTCTTCGTTTAGAAGAATTGTGACGCCTCATGATGAAAGCCGAGTTTCTTCGGAAGTCACGAGGCCGATGCCCCTTCTGACAACCAGAGCAACCAGTTATTTAGGTACATGGAATGCTCGCAAAATGTGGGAGACTGGGAGAGTTTTCCAAATTGCTGCAGAAATGAGGAGATACAATTTAGAGGTGCTTGGGATCAGTGAAACACATTGGACGCAAGTTGGACAACAACGACTAGCTTCAGGGGAGCTGCTGTTATACTCCGGACATGAACAAGAAAATGCTCCACATACACAAGGAGTTGCATTGATGCTGTCCAAACAAGCACAAAATGCACTTGTAGGATGGGAATCTCATGGACCAAGGATCATCAAAGCCTCCTTCAAAACAAAGAAAACGGGGATTACAATGAACGTCATCCAATGCTACGCGCCTACCAATGACTACAATGAAGACGCTAAAGATCAATTCTACGATAGGCTGCAGTCAATCGTCGAGAAGTGCCCAACAAAAGACCTGACTATTCTGATGGGAGACCTAAATGCCAAGGTTGGAATTGACAACACCGGATATGAAGAGATCATGGGACGACACGGACTGGGAGAAAGGAACGAAAATGGTGAGAGATTTGCAAATCTATGTGCCTTCAATAAACTGGTCATAGGCGGCACTATATTCCCACATAAACGCATACACAAAACCACATGGACTTCACCGGATCACAGCACACAGAACCAAATCGACCATATCTGCATCAACAAAAAGTTCAGGAGGACGATGGAGGACGTGAGAACAAAGAGAGGAGCTGATATAGCATCAGATCATCACTTGCTGGTCGCCAAGATGAAATTGAAACTCAAGAGGCACTGGACAACGGGGAGGACAATATCACAAAAATTTAATACGGCTCTTCTTCGGGATAATGACAAACTCAATAAATTCAAGATAACCCTCAGCAATAAGTTCCAAGCCTTTCATGATCTACTCAATGGAGAAGGAACTACTATGGAGAGCAACTGGAAAGAGATAAAAGGAGCAATCACTTCAACATGTCATGAGGTTCTGGGCCAAAAGAAGCACCATCACAAGGATTGGATCACGGTCGATACACTGGATAAGATTCAAGAAAGGAGGAACAAGAAAGTAGCAATCAATACCAGTCGAACAAGAGCAGAAAAAGTCAAGGCACAAGCTGAATACACAGAAGTAAACAAGCAAGTGAAAAGGAGCATCAGAACTGACAAACGTAAATATGTGGAAGATTTGGCAATGACGGCGGAAAAGGCTGCCAGAGAAGGAAACATGAGACAACTGTATGAAACAACAAAGAAACTCTCCGGAAATCACCGTAAACCAGAACGACCAGTGAAAAGCAAGGAAGGCAAGATAATCACCAACATTGAAGAACAACGAAACAGGTGGGTAGAACACTTCAAAGAACTCTTGAATCGACCAGCCCCACTGAACCCACCCAACATCGAAGCAGCACTCACGGACCTCCCAATTGACGTTGGCGCACCGACAATTGAAGAAATCAGCATGGCTATCAGACAAATCAAGAGTGGCAAAGCAGCAGGACTAGACAGCATTCCAGCAGAGGCACTGAAAGCAGACGTAGCGGCAACTGCAAGGATACTCCAAACTCTCTTCAAAAAGATTTGGGATGAGGAACAGGTACCAAAAGACTGGAAAGAAGGACTTCTAGTCAAAATACCAAAGAAAGGCGATCTCAGCAACTGTGACAACTACAGGGGAATCACTCTTCTTTCAATACCGGGAAAAGTCTTCGACAGGGTATTGTTAAACAGGATGAAGGACTCCGTAGACGCCCAACTTCGAGACCAACAGGCAGGATTCCGTAAGGATAGATCGTGCACAGACCAAATCGCAACTCTACGGATCATTGTGGAACAATCAATTGAATGGAATTCATCACTCTATATCAACTTCATCGACTACGAAAAAGCATTTGATAGCGTGGACAGAACAACCCTATGGAAGCTTCTTCGACACTACGGCGTGCCTCAGAAGATAGTCAATATCATACAGAATTCCTATGATGGATTAAACTGCAAGATCGTTCATGGAGGACAGTTGACAAAGTCGTTCGAAGTAAAGACCGGTGTCAGGCAAGGTTGCTTACTCTCACCCTTTCTCTTTCTCCTGGTGATCGACTGGATCATGAAGACATCAACATCTGAAGGGAAGCACGGGATACAGTGGATAGCTAGGATGCAGTTGGATGATCTAGACTTCGCAGATGATCTGGCTCTTCTATCGCACACACAACAACAAATGCAGGAGAAGACAACCAGTGTAGCTGCAGCCTCAGCAGCAATAGGTCTCAATATACACAGAGGAAAAGCAAGATTCTTCGATACAACACAACATGTACCAATCCAATCACAATTGACGGAGAAGCTTTGGAAGATGTAAAAACCTTTACATATTTGGGCAGTATCATCGATGAACACGGTGGATCTGATGCAGATGTGAAGGCACGGATTGGCAAAGCAAGAGCAGCATATCTACAACTGAAGAATATCTGGAACTCAAAACAATTGGCAACCAACACCAAAGTCAGAATTTTCAATACAAATGTCAAGACAGTTCTACTGTATGGCGCGGAAACCTGGAGAACTACGAAATCCATCGTCCAAAAGATACAGGTGTTTATTAACAGTTGTCTACGCAAAATACTTCGGATCCGTTGGCCGGACACTATTAGCAACAACCTACTGTGGGAGAGAACAAATCAGATCCCAGTGGAGGAAGAAATCAGGAAGAAGCGCTGGAAGTGGATAGGACACACATTGAGGAAAACACCGAACTGCGTCACAAGACAAGCCCTCATATGGAACCCTCAAGGTCGAAGGAAGAGAGGAAGACCAAAGAATACATTACGCCGAGAAATGGAGATAGATATGAGAAAAATGAACAAGAATTGGATGGAACTAGAAAAGAAGGCCCAGGACAGAGTGGGTTGGAGAATGCTGGTCGGCGGCCTATGCTCCGTTGGGAGTAACAGGCGTAAGTAAGTAAGTACTACTGGAAAAATTACTCTTGATTTAATGCTCATTCAGACAACTCATATTTACAATCATTTGAAGACATTCGTTTTTATTTCTTTTATACTACGTTACTTATCTATTCTCTTTCATTCTCATCTTGCGTATTTTATATTTCAACTCCTAGAGCAGCTCGCCTATGGTGTAAATCCTGTCCTAACTAAGCGATCTTAACTCACTGACTGGTCAAAAGTTGGATGCTACCACCAAATATTAATACCGAACCAGTCTTCCTGAAACCATGTATACCATTCAAACTGGCCTCCTTCAACTTCCTCACACTAAAGCGAATCGGACCATAGATGGGGTTATATGTATCTTTAGAGCCTCAACATCCATGTACGTTTTGTATCCGAGACCCGTTTTAAAAACTCTAGTGATGGACTACAAATTCGTCGTCCATCTGTGACTTCTAAAAGCTTGTTTCAGGTGAATTTTGCCGAGGACCCTATGTCATCTTCGTCTGGTTTTTAATGGCGTTGATGTCACACTGGGCTCTAGAGTTGCTACAGCACCGATCTGTTTGATACCCATCAACAGTAGTTTATTTTCTGTTAGATTATAAAATTACATCAGAGTGTGAGAAACTATGTGTTTTCGTCATTTCGGCCACAGCCTGACAGATTGCAGCCCAGATGCGATGAATGATGATTTTTACCACCAGTTAAGTGTTGTTCCACAAAGACTGCGTTCGACAGATCTTGTATCACTAGCCAGAGACTTGAATGGTCATGTCGGTCATCTGGGCACAGATTAGAGCGGTTTAAGTAGGTGGCTGATGAGGACTTGTTGGTCACTGGTCAGATAACGGCAACCATCAAGTGGCACTTTGCGCAGACGACAACCTGTTTCTGTCTGGCACTAACTATCATTACAGTCATCATCGATGTGCTACCTGATGTCCTCCCCCTATATCTTAAGCCTGGACTCAGATTGATCGAATTGCGATCAGCTATCGCTGGCGTGATTGTTTACAAGACTTTCGCTCCTTTTGGAGTACCTATCTGAACTCTGATCATGCTCTTGTTTGCACCCATCTTACCTTACTTTTGAATGGCTAACGAATTCATCGTCCTAAACGTATTGATGTTAGTAAACTGATTTCAGCTTCTGTTGCAACTAAATATCAGAGTTAGCTAGATTCAAGTTTAACTAGCTACCACTCCACTAAAAAGTATAGATGAGCATTGGTTGCACTTGTATGACGCCATGAAAATGGCGAATAAAGTCGTTTGTGGCTGTGCGAAACGTTCCAGGTTACTTTCAGCTCATTGGGGCACGTCAGTCTACTCCTGGTGACCGCGAATTCGACCATAAACGGAGTTTGTTACGTAATTAAATTGTGCAAAGCTTGCGTAAGGACCGGGAGGCCTGATGGTCGGAGACGCATCTGGTAATTATCGGAAGCTCTTTTAGCTCATCCGAATCACTGTCAGTAAGATGTCTGGTGTGAGTGAAACAATCTGTGAAGCTGACGGGATGCCAATCACTAACATCTTATGTCTTGGACGATGGGTAGAGTTTTTGTAGGAGCAGTTCAACTGGTCCTCTGCCCCGACAACGTTGATCAGACTTTCTTACCCTATATGACCTGTGACGACTGATCCACCTAACGAGATGGACGTTCTCAAGGAACTCAAACTCTTGAAGCTCCACAAATCATCAGACCCAGATGACTTTCCTGTGGCCGTTTTTAAAGATGGTAGAAAATTTCTGGTTAAGGAATTGACTGAGTTGTTTACAATTGTCTGGCAGTTAGAGAGTGTTCCATCATCATGTGTGCTTGGGCACGACAACAGCAATTATTTGCCGACTCGGGAACTGGTTGGAAAAGGCGGAGTGGTGGTCAGTGTATGACATGGTGTCGTGGTATGAAATAAAACTGTACGGAACTGTCTTCTGTCGGTGCTTCGCTACTCCCTGATTGGAGTCCTAGAGATGGTGCAACACAATGGCGTGTAACGTTATCAGACATGGGTGAGAATAAAAGCCAGTGGTAAAACTTATGTAACTTTCTTCTACCCTCTCCATAAAAGTGAACGTAACTTCTTTAACTGGAAGAATTCTTTACGTTTGTATTTTGCCTAACTGAACTGTTTTTCTTCTTCTTCTTCTTCTTCTTCTTCTTATTATTATTATTATTATTATTATTATTATTATCATTATTATTATTATTAGCATAGATATTATTATTTCACTCTGATATGTTAATTTCTGTTTATTGCTTTTCTTTTAATTATACGCGCTTTACATTCACTATATGTTCACAACCGAATTGTTATTGTGTGGTATGTATTTGATGACCCCTTGTATGTCTATGTGTTCAATTAAATAAAGATATAATTTTGATCAGTCTATATTGTATCTGTTTTTGTTACTTATGTACTGTATCGTGACCAGATTGTCACAGAATAGCCATGTTATGGGTTTCTTTTTTTGAATAAACGGATTGTGACTTGCAGTGAAATCCAGTCTGTTGTTCGTCATATCTGAGATCCATCAGCCGGCTGTACCTGGATCTATGTGTTGATGTTCACATTGCGATTTCAATTTCATTATCTTTTTTGTTCATGCACCCCTCACGTTATTCACCAAACAAGCCACTTCAGTTAGGTATTAACCTGCTCAACAAGTTGTTTTTGTTATAATCTAAAAGTGTTTAGATTTTTCCTGGTTTCGATATTCTCAACTGCCAGCTACAATCCATCAGTTCTAAGTAATAAATCTAATGTTGCTTCAGTGATTTTCTGAAGACTGTTTATTCTTTCTAATTTGCTTCTTTACGCATCATTTCATCGTATTTATCAATACTGTTGTTTTCTTTTTAAAAAATAATTTTTATTTAAGTAAACAATATGAACAAGCTGTTAAAACGATGCGTCGTCATCGGATCAATTTCAATCTATTGCATGATTACAACCCTAATTTATTTCTATCAAATATCAAACAATTTTTACAATCAATTGACGATCCTGATTTGATCACATTATTTGTATCTGATCTTGTGTAAGTCGAATTCTATCTATCTATATATTTATTTATTTATTCATTACATGTACTTATTAATAGTTCTAAACGAGTACTGCCGTGTTAGGTCAAGCATTGACTGTTCAATAACAAGATTATAAATTTAAATTCTGCTTTATACCCTGTTTAAATAGCAGGATATCATCACTATCGGTTTTCATACAAACAGTACAGTTCAAACCCATGTATACACGAATTTTTACCTATCGATTGAGTTAATTTAATTGTGAAAGCAAAACGCGCACATAATTTAGTGTAATTGATCAGACGAAAAGAAAAAGTCAATTGATAATGCTATCATTTTTAATCGATTGAAATGGTAGGGTAATCAGTCGTTTAACCAATCACTTCCTACTACATATGGACTAAGTATCTATCATAGTAGTATGTGGGTTAAAAAGTAAAAGAAAGATACGTCTTTCAAGTTTTATGGTAGTTTTTTTATCACACACACAGATATTATCATCATAAAGCCTGGAACAGATATGCATTAGCCCAAGTAACCATACCCCATTAGCGCCCCCAAATGCCCTGGTATGGCCGAGAGTGGGGAGAGTCCGCTCTCCCTCTCAAAATGCTCTCACATGGCCACGCGTATATAGCCTCTGCCATGGAAGTCCTACTCTGCCTTCTCGCACCACGGGTGTTGTTTACGAAATTGAGAGGACGAAAAGCGGATGTCCGGCGCTATAACCGGATCCCAAACCAATAGTGCACATGGACTCCAGTACCCTAAAGGAACAAATGGCGTATGAACCAATCGTTGGTCACCGGCTACCATGGGACTGCATCTCCTTACGATGCTCCACTGCCTTGTGGGACAGACCTTTAGGTCGAAGGCTCGGGGTGTGGCTCCCTAAGAAAACCACTTGCTTCGGTTTGGGCACCCGGGCAGTATCACAGCCCTCACACATATCAATTGAAATTTGTGTGGCGCATATGTATTTGGTGCCTCCTTTTACCAATATCTATGTGTTAAAATAAATAAATAACCCCATTAGTATGATGAGATGAATATGACAAAAGAGATCAAAATAATGTACAGAAAGCATTAAACTTTGGTACTATGATTTGAAAAAGCAGAGTGAAAAGCTATATACTCAGGGATACTGGAATTTAAGATCGAGAGGCAAATAAGGGATTGATGTAACCTACCCCATTGTGAAAGATTCTAAGCCATTTCACCCAATATCTTCAGACACTACTCGTGATTATCACACGGAAGTCAACCAGTTAGTGTTCACGTAACATACATGGCTCAGACCAACAGTCGTTGACTTCATGAACTAATGCCATGTTTTAGTTTGGCCTCCCTTAGATTTATTTCAACTTCTGCATTAACAAGCATCACTCGTTGAAGTAGACGGTAGTCGGTCATACATAACACATGCTCCAACTATCTCAGCTGATAAAGATTCATTACCTTATGAACCAATTTTCCATCTTTACTTTGTAACCTATGCCTAATGTCATCATTGTCACATATATACAAACAATAATTTCAATTAATTGATTACCCATGTGATCACCAGTGTCCTAGTCTAAAACTACCGTTTATTTAGTGTTCCTCCCTCATTGTACTTTTAACCTTTATTACTTCTGTCTTATTTTCTTTTCTTTTTTTCTATCGAAAATTCTAGTGAAGAAGATGTAACAGAGACAATTTATCATAAATTTTATTCTAAATCTTCCGAGCGCCATCGATCAACTCTAACAACGTCTAAACTTGACCGAATAACTGATGTTCTTATTGATGAAATGGAGAAGTATAATCCAACCAAGTAAGCACTTGAAAGTCCTTTAGAATAAAAACAAGTTAATTTGTAGGTGTGTGTATCGTAATTTGGACTGATGCAATCCTGCTTTACTATCATTGAAGTAATTGCTTCTATGAATTTGATGTCCTCTTGTGCTAATGAGATGTGACAGCTTGTACCGATGCATATATGTGCCTGGTTCTACGTTGTAGCTGACTGACTGATGTGTGTGTGTATGCATGTACATGTGTTGAAAATTGAACATCATCTCGAGTTGCTTTCAAAACTGATATTATTGTCAGAAGTGAATGATCATTGGTTATTTTGTTATTTTAACCCTAACCTTAAGTAATCTTTGTTTATCCGACTAGTCGTTATATCGAAGTTTTTAATTAACAATTTTCATCCCTGAATTGATTTGATGAGTTTCTCGGTGGTTCTATTATCTGAAACCGATTCATTTTAGATTTGGTGTACAGTTTTGTGAACAAAATTATCCGTAAGGTCGTTACCTCAGTGACTCAAGTAATTTTATCAATCAGTTATATTCCATTACAGCAAGGATTTTTTTCAGTAAATTATGTTCTTAAATACTTTTCAGTGACTTCTCACTACTTCCGCCCGAAATCTACACTTGAAACCCCGAACAAAATACTTAAATTGAAAAGTACTCCTAAGGTTAGTTTAGGTGCAGAGGATAAGGATACTTACAAATTCATTTGTGGCATCGATATTCCAAAAGCTTTTGGAAAAAATGCAAATATTCGTGACAATATGTAATTATCCAAACACCTAGCACATTTTCTTCTTCTGAACGTCCTGGGATGTTTCTGTAAAACCACTGCTTTAGACGATATATTTTCAAATTTCCATCAGCCTCTGAAAACTTCTTCAAGAGTGTTATTCATAGCTCTCAACATTTTAGTATACCATAATTTTATAAATCTACTTTTACTGTCAATACTTTCTTTCTGTCATTTACCACACACTTTTATACCTTCTCTATTAATACAGATTAATTGTGCCAATTATAACTTGTTATGCAAAAAAAGTCCCACCAAACTATGAAGCTGGCTTACTAAGATTAAAAGTTTTACATGGTAAGCCAAGTATCGAATTATAATACATATGTATTGTATTTTTGTATTCTTAAAAACATTGTTTACTCCGTAAACAATGTTCTGTCATTTAACTCAGTTACATGTATTCATTCTTTATACGGTTTAATTATCCCAATATGAAAGAAGGAAGACTGAAATAAGTAGAAAAGTCCAATCGGTAGACTGAAATAATATATACGTAAATCATAGTTACAGGATTTTTCTTCCGTTTCATGAAAGCGCATGCCTAATCGTCAATCTTAACAACTTGCCTCGTTTTTAATCTTTCCGTCTATTGTTTAAACTTAAGAGGACATGTGTGCATTGACGCGTAATATATTTATACTACCCCAGTTTATCAGTTTTACATAATTGCAGTACTAACGTTTGCCTTTTTTGACTGGTTATCATCATTGATTTTATCTTTTCGTATACTTTTGTTCCTATTGGCTGCTTTCTTCAGTTAAATTCTGGCCATATGATTTGTTAACATTTTTCCTTATGGATTGCATATTTACCTAAATGCCATACCATATAAAAGTTTTATGAGTAGATCATTCAACTTTAAAGAACATTACCAAAGAAGATTCACCTGAGATACAAATCTCCATTTTTTCCTTTAATGTATACTCATTCACTGAATTATTCAATAGAAAAAATTTCTAATATATAATGCGTATATTACTGTCTCTTCAATTTAACTTTGTTGCTTACACGTGTATTTGAATACCTCCATCAGGAATCCCCAAACTTAGCTGGTACATTGATGTAGATGGTGATCAGGACGACATATCATGAGGATCCACTCGAGCTATATCGACTGAGACACCTGTTCGTTTAGATCCTGTCATTCTACGCACATCAGTTGAAGAACGGTAAGACTAAAAGCAGCAACTTAATGTCCGAGGGCAAAGTGTCACTGCCAATTGTACAAGATTGCGATGACAATAAGGCGTTCCTCTCAGATAACCATCATCTGCAACTATGCAGTCTTCTCATAACTGAAGAAAGAGATTAGAAAAGGTCGACCCTAAAAATGTTACACCTTACTTTTCCCCACAGATTTTTGTATTTGGTTGTAAGTTCTTTGAAAAAGAGCTAACTTATTTATGACTACTCACAAAAAGACAGTGTATAACTGGCCTTGGTCACATTCTCAGGTCCTCTAAACCACCCAAGGAGTATCCTTCCATAGCATGGGCAACAAAATGTAATATCTGCCCACACACCTATAATAACACTCCATTTGTTCAGATTATTATTTAAAACCTCAATAGAACATCGGAAGATAATTCGAAATTCTTGATACTTATATATCGTATTTATTCAAACTGGTGAATTTTTTTCTCCAGAAGAATTTCCTAAGCGGTGTTATGTCACATCATTTGGCTTGGTGCAATCTTTAAAAAAACTAAATTCCGAACAATTTGTACACGGTGGGTTGTACTAGTAATGGTTATTTTGACCTGTGGTGTAAATAGTTTTTTACAGGTAGTTTGGTGGTATTGTCGATATTATCACCGATATAAATTAATCAATTACACCGAATACTTCGTCTCTACTGTATATTGTTCTTCGTTTTTAAGTGGCTAAGAGAACATTACTTATAAAATTTTCCTACTTTTTAAAATCAGATCCATGCTTACTCTATTTCGATCAAAATCCACTGGTATAAGTGGAAGAAACATCGTATTGTTTATTCGTTTATCAGTGTTCATAAAAACAGTGATCGTTGTAACCAACTTATCAAATGTAATGCTCTTAGTGAATACTGTCATCTGTTGTTTAAATTATCTAATTGTTTTCGCAGTTCTTGATTTATCATAACCATCTTCCAATTTGTCACTTCGGGTTCGATTCCCAACGTCTACACACAGTTCAACTGAACGGTGTCGAATAACGTCCTACTTTCAGCTACTAAATCTCATCTGTAAACCTCTACCTAGTTTAGTTTCACCATCTGAATGGTATCATTAGGCCTAACAATTAGAATGTAACTCAAAATAAGTTATTAGTTTTGAGATCAGTGAATCAGTCATGAAATTATGGATTCATCGATAACACCAAATCAGCAAGCTACAACAATATTGATATGAATTATAAGTCATTATCATTTAAAGTACTTATATCATGTACACTAATTCATTGCTTTTTTTACTTCCTCAAATCACCCAACTAATCTATGATTTACACTGGTTTTATAATCTCTTAGTGTTAGTCTTTTATATCAATAAGATAATTTACTACTGATTACTGCTCAATCTGTTTCCTCCCTTCCTACAACCCCCCTCCTCCCTTATTATCCATTAATTTCATACCATTAGGATTCGTGATAAAAATGAGAACAAATTTAGTTTTATTCTAATCGATAAACACATATGTATTTATCTAGTCTTGGATGTATGCATTATATACTTAATTTAACAAAAAGTACAAACATTGTATATTCTTATTCAGTTTTTTTTAATTCGTAAATAAAAAGTTTTTGGGACTCAATATCTTTATCGATCAGTAATAATAGTTACTTTTTTTTATTTTTTCTTCACTTTGTACATGACTACTGATATTTATTAATGTTCGATTAGTTCAGTGAGTCCATAAACAGAAGTAATTTGATATTAAGAGTTTGATAAAAGTAATACACAATAATTTAGATGTCAGTTTAAAATACTACTGCTTGTTTCCCTATATTATTTATTACACCAAGAGGAATGAACTCCGTCCATGTTTGTTTCGAATAAATGTATATTGTGATTATCAGTGAAATTCATGACTCACTTTGTCGTCCTATTTTTGACTCGTCAGTTAGATATCCTGGGATCCCATTGTTGATGTTCATATTGGGATTCGGGCTCAATACCTATCGCCAAAAATGCCAATTCAATCCTGATTATTAACAGCGGAACAACTCAAACTCTTGATTATAATGATATAAGCATCATATCCTTTAAAAAAAGTCAGCGGATAGTTGGATCTATCAGCTCATTTAAAACTGTGTTGATATTTGAAACGTTACGTAATATGTTCGAGCTTCATTGTGACTAACAACACGAATCTAAGAAGTAGGTTGGTATCTGACAGTACTTTGTACGAATTCAGGAAGCTCTATCACGTTTCACCAACGTGCATCAGTTTTGTTGTAGGCAAGATGCTCGTTTTCCAATTAAAGGATGAGTATACTACACATTCTGTTCCGCTTTATGATAATGAATTTATCTTTAAAAATAGGGAACATTCGTAGATCTCTGATCATTGATGCCTTCGATGTATTACTCGTTCATGACCGGAATATATGATTGAGATGTTAAACTCAGGGTAATAGGTAGAAATGGCGACTGGGTTGATGAGATAATAAATCGTAATCTACTGAAGTGGTTAGGACGTGTATGATTTATAATTAATCACCACCTGTCTTGATAAGTTTTGTATGTTGATGTAGTGATAGGCCGGAAAAAATCTAGGAGAGCCTAGACCAATCGGGACATCAGTTCATGAAATTACTGACTGTTGGTAGGTGCAAAATTTTAACTTGAAATTAGCAAGAAACAAACCACACTTTCTAATTTGTTGATATTCTTATACCACCACATTTGTCACGATGTTTTTTCTCACAAACTCTTAGTCTACTTACAAGTATTGTGTGGTTTTTATGTAAATATTCGTCAGTTAAACTAAATTGTACTGTCGATCTTGAGATAATGAAGCCAATTTTAAGTCAATCACAAGGACTATTAAAAACTTATTTGTAGTACAAAGCAAAGCATATTTAATGTTTACATCATTATTGGATTGTTTCATGTTCAATATTGGCTTCTCTATTTTGGAACGAAAGGATTTTCGAGAGAGAAATTTAACCTTGTCACCACATATTATTTTCCCTCTGTAATCTTTCAGCGCTCAAACTATTTTTAGAAGTCTTTTCGCATTCCCAACATCAATGGAATCTGTAATATAGCTCTGCTGGATAACCAATTCATGTGGATATTTTAGACCTTCACGACGATATGTAGGCTCTTCAGTCATCAGTTTGCATGATGCTGTATGACGGAACATACTTTCTGATTAAAGAAATATAGTTATACGGTCTCGGGTTTTTCACATCCTAAAAATGTCCCTTCAGGATATCTCTATTCCAAATCTCAGAAATTCACTATAGTTAAAAAAAAGCTATTTACAAAGTTCACTTTTGATTTTCTTCCTATTTTATATTTCTGTTTTAGAGATATTCGATTATAGTTTCCTCACTAAAATTGCTCATCAATCTGTTGTTAGTAATTATTCTGTTAGTAACTGGTAAAACTTCAATCTTAGCTTGGGTGTAACATTTTGCATCTACTTCGACACTGATGGACTCGGGGTTATAGTTTGATATAACTGTAATAAAGTTTATTTGAATTATATAATTATCTTCTCAAAAATCCAAACCGTATTAAAGTATGTCTTCACAAAGTCATAAGTTGAATAAGACTAATCATTTTACTGCACAGCGGATAATTTCATTGTGCATACCAATCACTTGCTGTTGTTAACGATATCGGTTATGTAGATAGTTTATGGATATGCTTGTCACATTCGACAACACATATTTAGTTGATTTAGCAAAGAGCATCACAGACCTATTACATCTTCTGTCCTGCAACATGTGGAAGACTCAGGTCATTCGACCTTAGATTTTACTTCTGGTATCACCTACAAAATCCAGTCAGAAATATTGGGGAGTTTTCATCACATCACATTAGTTTAATTTATAATTGAAAAACTGAGTACGTACTTATCATGACAGTTTGTTTGATAAGTCTTTTTGCTACAACTATTTTTCCAAAGCATACTCTTACGTAATCTTTTAAATAATATCTATTTCATCATATGGCTAGCTTGCTGTCGTAAAAATAGGTTATTTCTGACTGTAACTTATGATTATTTAGTACTTTCGTCGCTCTTCATTTCAAACTGAATGGTAGTTATACTCATATCTACACTTCATATTCTATTGATTTATCATCTTCTACATTTCATTGTCGTCCTTTTATCGTAAATGTCCATTGAATACATATTCACATTCGAATTTATGCTTTACAGAGAGAAGGGTTAAGGCATGCGTTAGTCCTGTAATAATATTCTTCAATGTGACTCTAGTCCTCTCTTAGATGAGTCAATTGAATGTTTAGAAAGAACTTCCAATAGTAAGGTTGAGAACACCATGAGAAAACCTGTATACTACGGTGCTTTTAGTGTTTAAACCTGCGTGTTATGTCCACCGAATTTTCTCGACTTTGTTTTAAGTAATTGAGAAGGCATATCAAGTCCAAAATCATTTCTTGGAATCATATTTAAGTTACCTTCAAATATACATATCAGTCAGTCAGCTGCAACATAGGACCAGGCACGTATATGCATCGGTCCAAGTTGTTAAACCGCATTAGCACAACAAGATGAACACTGGATTCATAGAAGTAGTTAATTCAGTGGTGGTAATATATAAAACAAAGATTGCATATAAGGATACAGTACAAGAAGAAAAAATTCGTACGTAGAAAGATATGAAGCGATTTTAATCTCTTAGTTTAAAGGAAGACAGAGAGTATATGCCCAACAATCTCAGTCGATGAAGATTCATAACTTATCAACTGATTTACCATCATTCCCTAATACCCTGTGTCTAACCTCACTATTAATTACGCGGTGATCCCAGCAGATGCGAGCAATATTTCTAAGGCACCTGTGGTCAAATACTTGTAGCATATGAGTATCTTCTACTCTTAAAGGCCATGTTTCGCAGCCGTATAGTAGAACGGAACGAACTGCCGCGCAGTATACTCGTCCCTTAATTGATAGACGGATATCTCGCCTTCGCCATAGATGACGTAAGTTGGCAAAGGCCAAACGAGCTTTTCGAATCCGTGCTGAGATTTCGTCAGACACCAACCCATTAGGGCTGATCAGACTTCCAAGATAAGTGAAGTTGTCGACGCGTTCGACTACTTCACTCCCTATCCTTAGTTCAGGTGTTGATGCAGACCAGTCGTGGAGCAACAACTTGCATTTAGAGGGAGAGAAGCGCATCCCAAACATTGTGGCATTGTTACTCAGTGCTACCAAAATATTCTGCATTTTGCCAGCGTCTTCACCAAACAGGACTGTGTCATCTGCGTATTCTAAGTTGATAAGTGGACCTCCTGGTAGGAGATCGACGCCCGAGAATTCAGTCGATGAGAGCGTTATTTCCATCAGGATGTCTATGATAAAGTTAAACAAAAAGGAGAAAGTAGACAGCCTTGACGGACGCCACTTGTGGTTGCAAAAGCAGATGACGGTTTGCCATAAGCTCTGACTTGACTAGTAGTGTTCGAGTAAAGAGCCTTCACAAGGTTTATGTACTTCTGAGGTACGCCTTTCAATGACAGACACTGCCAAAGTATCTCGCGGTCTACGGAGTCAAGTGCTGCATTTAAGTCAAGAAAGACCACTATTGTCGGACGCCGATAAGCATGCCTTTGTTCTAGAACCTGACGAATGGTGAATATGTGGTCGATGCAGCCACGACCAGGTCTGAAGCCAGCTTGATTCTCTCGTGTTTGCAGTTCACGTGTCTTAGTTAGGCGTCCGAAAATTATCGAGGCTAGTATTTTAGAAACTATATTAGTCAAACTAATCCCTCTATGGGTGTCAGGATCATTTTGAACCTTTCTTATATATTGGGACGATAAGTGATTGTGATTAATCAGAGGGGATAACGTCCAACTCTCAGACTTTAGCAAAAATCTTAGTCAACCTAGTCGCCAAGGTGGCCTGCTGACCGATTTGACATAGTGTGTGTACGTTGAAGGCTCCATTGTGTAGTTTGGAGCGAGGCTTCAGTATACCTGGGACAGTGCTCTGCGCACTATAATCGTTGGCCATGTTGACACTTGTCAGGAAGCTTACAGTTGACCGTCAATGTAGGAGGAATTATAGGAATTGAAGAGGGAGGTTGATTATGAATACAGTGGTCTTGAGTGCTGTTAGAGATGTGAGGGCGGTTATCACTTCCCAGTCGCCCACACCGTGGAAGGGTTCTGCTGGAGGTACCTGAAAGGGAAATTGGATTAGAGGTGGTCATAGTGGCCTGAGAGCGTGACCGCAGTGCCCAAGGGACAGCTGCCTGAGGTCGGTCACACACGACCTTTTTATGAGTAGTTTTTATGTTAGTTTTGTACTTGTTGAGACCTTACCGCCGGAGACGGATATCCGTGGGATAAGGCGAGGTGTGCATTTTTAGGGTCGACCTTTTCTAACGCCACCCCTCCTTGTGGGAAGGCAGCATCGCTGTTATGCTGGTTGTCTGAAAGAAATACCTTACTGCTGTCACACCTCTGTACAGTGAGCAGTACGACTTCGCCTTCGGACCTTGGATTTGTTGTTTTTAGTCTTACCGCTCTTCATCAACCGACCTGTCTGGTATGGTGGGACCTTGAGGAACGGTTGTTCCAGCCAGTGTAGCTCAGTTGCTTCATCAATATAGGCAATCCCGACCACCACGTCAAGGTAGCAACAACATATAAAAAAGCCTGATCTCATGGATTTTGTCGTAAAATATTGAAATCATAGAGTAGTGCTTCTCTGTACTCTTTCCAAGAGATTTCAGTAGCTTTTTAAACAGAAACGTGCATACACACAATCTTGTAATTCTCACCCTCAAGAGGTCTGCACAAATGATATTGAGTAGATTTGTATCTAACTTGATGAAAACTGATTTTAATATGGTTACAGTTCAAAACTCTCTATGTTCATGAATTTATGATTCCTTGCATATGTTTGTACGATTGTACAGTTTTAAAAACAAACTTTTTGGAAAATAATCCTTTACTAATCTTATTATTCTACAAGTACATCCCCTATTAAATACTGTAATTTATAAAATGATTGTTATTACTATACAATACTATTAATCCATTTTATTTTTAGAAAATGGAGATATAAATACATGGTATAATGGACTGCGTCATTTACAATATTTTGCTACACCAATTGAATTGTATAAAGTTGCACTAGGTACATATGATTTAAATTTTGCTACAATGATGGCACAACGGACACAACTAGATCCAAAAGAATATTTAGCTGAATTAAACGAATTAAATTCTATAACAAATGACTTTAAAAAATATCAATGTGATACCATGGAAGAGGCTATAGCATATCAACAATTTAAAATTGATCATAGTTTGAAAAAATATTTAAAAGCTGTTCTACATTTGATTGATTCCGGTAAGTTGTAAGGTTTATTTTTCTTAAGTGGAACTATATATTGTCAACCAATAAGACATTTCACTTGTATAATAGGTTCATACACTAATTGTTCCCTCAGGATACTGGAGCCCATATTTATCATTGGTTTGAAACAAGGGTTGACCAACTCCCCTAGGTGGATCCTCGGTTACGACCGAATCGGCTGAAGCTCCGGACATTTCCTTTTCATACTTTCAATTTCATAAACAACACCCCCACCGCAAGAAGGTAGTGAGTAGGATTTCCCTGATAGTGAATGTATACGCGAGGCCATATGAGAACATTTTGAGAGGGGAAATGAGCTCTCTAAACCCTTAATCGTACCACGGCATTCGGGGGCATTGACGTTTATCCACACCAAGCAAATTACTCATTCTATTCTAAATCTAATATGTGTTGAAAAGGATGTTTAAGCAACACTGATCTGGAAGTACTTAAAGCTGAATAACTGTTAATCCTTATTGTAAAAAATCTTTTAACACAAATATTACAGATATTCCTTGTCTTAAGACTTACGACTATAAAACAAATCATCTCTAGTTTAGTTGTGGAGAGAGACAGACAGGCAAAATACCTATAATTATTTGCTTACCCATTTTCCGTGCATATTGATCTAATTATGGTATGAACTTTTACGAATAGATTTTATTATTTTTTTTATATTGTTGATTAAATAATCAGTAGCTTTGTAGTTCAACCATGAAATCCTATTTTTAAACCCAGTTCCATTTTCTTCTTTACGACGTCTATGTTGTAATATCACTAACGATCACAAACAGCTAAAAATCAATTACGAAATCATTTTCTTAGTAGTTGGAAATTTTTCTATATTCGAAGATATCTAATATTTGTTTTGTCCAAGTTTGAAGTTTACGTTGATGGTGTAGAGTAATCATCGACAGTCGAACTCATAACATTTGACTAAAAGTTTGTCTTTCCACCAAATTCTTTTCAACACTTTGTATTTTTTTCCGTTCAAAACCTCATGAATATATGTAAAGAAAGAATATCCAATGCTTTTCATATTATTTTTATTTGAAACAATGTATTCTAGGTTCTAAACACAAAGCAGAACTATTATCCTACGTGAAAGCATATCATTTATATGCACAAGTGACTGAAGTAATGCCACAAAATTCTGAAGAATTCAAGGTATCATTTTTCTATGGGTATTTCGATTTTTTGTTCTGGTAAACTTTCACTAACTCTCACGTTAAAGCGGTATATTTTAATATTTATCAATACTATTCATTTAATTTTAAGATATTTAATCATTTAAAATTTTTGAATAATTAGTTTTCCATGGTTTACATCATAGCCTGATATTTTTTTGAAAAAAAAAACAGGAAGCACCGGATAGCTGTTTCGTCTCAAAATAAAACTCTAACTGTGTTTATTCACAACTTATTATTTACTGATTCATACCCTCCACTCCATCTAATTTACGTTGAAAAATTATGTACGATAAATTTATATACTAGATGACTAAGTACATTGCACTTGTCGATCAAGAGTGAAAAAAAGGTTGTTAACTATATATCTGTGCAACATAATCACAAATTCCTTTTTTCGAACACTCAATCTTTCAATTATCAATGATACTGAGGTAAAAACTTTCAAAATTATGTGTTTTTAACTTAAACATTTGGGTTTTTTTCTTTTTCGTTCCTATTTTACAATATCTCTTCTCGAGTTCACATTGACCATAAAGCCTAATAGTTATTTTATACTGGAACAAAGATTTATCTAATGGAATTGAGACTTTAAGTTCACTATGTAATTGAGTTGATCATGGCAAATGGAAACAAATTTTAAAAATATTTGTCGATGTTGTCACGAATCACTCTCGAGTTTTTTCATGTACAAAATGTGATTTTTAACAATCTTCATGTACATAAGTATACTGTAATCAATAGTGGTAATAATTCAACCTTAAACATTGGTTTGTTACATGGGCAGATAAGTTACAAATTAACAACTTGTAAACCATTTAATGAATGCATATTGTACTTGGAAACACTTTCCATACCCGTTAAACAAATTAGTGGCCATCTGACTTCTGTAGCCAACTGCATAGTGCGTAGGCATCTTAAGTAAAATCTACTGGGTTGCAGGTACATCTAACCGATGAATTTGAAACAAGATGGAACATGTGTTCTGAATCGTGTTACTAGTGACAATCCTTTTATTCTATATTATGCTACCCAACTATAGTTTTTGATTAGAAAAGGGGATCTTTTTAGAAGGAAACAAATAATTTAATCATCCTATGATTTGCATACATTCGGCTAATTAGTATCATGTGCACCATTACTTTGGAATCAGCGTCTTAAAACTCCCCTAGGTGGACTCGGAGGGTCCGCCAACCCGGGTAAGTCGTCGGACATTTACTTTTCATCGTCTCAAGTTCGTAAAAAACACCCTCGCCCCTAAAAGGCAGTGAGTAGGGCTTCTCTTATAGTGGCTGATGAGGTAGGAAATCTTTATTAGCCAAGGTGGTTAGGACATGTGTTACGCATGCCAAATCCCTGCCTACCTCAACGGACGACGTTCTCTGGTGTAGGAGTAGGCAGGAAGAAAACCAGGAGTAACCATACCAAAACACGTCGTCAATCCATGAAGTCACCGACAATATGAATTAACCATGTTAATGGGTATAGATTACTTGGTTGGATCCGCGTTTTTATCGTAACCAATGGTTAGGGACTTTGAATGACATAACTCACAGTCGTTTACAATGGTGCAGGTGCATCCATTCGTTGTCTTCCCCTAATTTGTAAGCTTCTGAATGATTCATAACTTTTTCATCTTTTTACTTCACCAATTTGTATTATTTGGAATCTTATCTTCGATCCCTAATCTTTTCTATTACCACTAATACTGTTATTATTCTGGGATTTGACCTGACACCTTAATTCATCTATGTTAACGGTGTATGACAACTTAAACCGATGTACATACTTACTAGGTTCTACATTGTTGCTAACTTACTAATCATTTGAATTGTTTATTTTACATGGTACTTTATGTCATATTTTAGCATTGCTCACATAAATGAAATACTTTCATTCCACCTATAAGTTATTTTATGTTTCACAGTCATAAATAAAACACCATGAACTACTGTTCTATTTAATCTTCAACTATTTATCAGATGGATATTTTTTTTGCATTATTGATTAGATTGAATAACAAAACTATCTAATTTAATTGAATCTAATCATATATGTTTGTATACTACTGATAATTTTGTTTCAGTTGAAAAAACATAGTTTACATAGTATAGCAAAACACAACTCATAAAAAATATGTGCATTTTGATTTTATTTATTGATTTGTAAAATCCAAACAATCAAAATAGCGTGATATATGGATTACATATTCATATTTTGTAATTTAATAGTCTTTTGTCCAATCTTTCTGATCATGTCTCACAATATCATTGTGCAAGTTACTGATAAAAACAATTCTATTTAGTTTATAGTTCAAATCATTTATCATTTAGTTTATGCTTGTGAAACTCGTATTCTCCGAGTTGAGGATATTAGACGACTCTCTGTGTTTGATCATCGTTGTCTCTGAAGGATTGCTGACATCCAGTGGCAACACCATGTTTGTAATGCAGAGGTTCGACATCGTTTGTTCGGGCGCAGAGACGATAATCCAATCGGTGTCACCATCTTGAAACATCGATTTCGGTGGCTTGGACATGTTCTATGAATGTCGTCCTAGGGAATTTCATGTCGTGCATTATTTGCCGACTCTGGGACTGGTTGGAAAAAGCGGAGAGGTGGTCAGTATATGACATGGTGTCGTGGTATGAAAGAAAGCTGCAAAGGTCTGGCTTGTGTTGGTCCTTCACGTCTTCCTGGCTGAGGTCCGAGAGATGGTTAGAGACGTTATCAGATATGACTCAGAAGTGGTTGTATCTTCCTTAACTGAAAGAACTCTTCTGGATGTACCTTTCCGTTTCCCCCATTATTATTATTATTATTATTATTATTATTATTACACTACCTTACACTAATCTGTGGTCGTTATTGTTGTACCAATATTTATGTGTTCACATAATATAAACAAAGACTGAAAATGAGTTTTACTTGAGAACATATTAACTATACAATCGATAATTCAGAGAATAAGATATAGAATTAACTTATTCTTCTTAAAACCTGACGGTGTTATATACGATTGTTGACAAAATCATGGTTGTGCACCACTATTAGAAGATAACGAAATTGGGCGAAACAGTTATTCAATGCTAAGTTTCCGAGTTATAAAAAGATCATGTCAGTTTAAAACAGAACTTATCTTAACCACTAACCGGAATAATCAAAAATTATCATATATTTTACAGAATCCTATTTGAATGATACACACATCAATTATTTATCGTAAAGAAATTTTTTTGAAAACTAAGCACTCAAACGTATATAGTTGATTACTAATAAGTTTTACTTGAATTTTATATCTGCAGATGTGTGAGATTAGAAAGCACTAAATAATAGTTTGGGGGCTATTGTTCGAAATCAGTCACAATGATAGAAATTTATTCGTTCGTTATCATCTACTTTGAAATCATAAGTCCTAATTTCACCTTTCAAATCTTTTGTTCTCCAAATTCATTTATTCTTTAAGAGTTGTATTTTCTTTCTTTAACTTTCTAATACTATCAGCTTTGGGGGTTGCATACCTACATGAGGTTTATTAACTATTTAAAAGCTAGTGACCACTAATTTACAATAGTTTTATTGTTGATAAGAGTGTACACTGAAGAATAGCAAGTTTTATGTTTGAAGGCAACTCTCCGTCAAACTATTTATACTTCTTTTAACTTAGATTTTTAACGTTGTAGTTGATTCTTTCTCTTTTCAGTGGCTCATCTACTGAGTTTGTTTCTTTATGTTTATTAATTGCCATTGGACACGAATGACATGCTTTTAGAAATTCTCCCACTCAACATTTCTCCACTTAACTTCCCATTCATAACTATTCACATGAGTTAATATAATTGAAAATTTGTTATTAAATTCATTAGATAAACGGTGTTCGGACAAACGACTAGAAGATGAAGGTATCATTACCAAGATTTGATTTGATAATTTCGAATAAATTGAGCATTGGGTAGATTGTTATAAATAAATAATATATTTGTAATATCCCAATGAGTAGAAAAATTAGATTTTCTGACGTTTCGTGACTTAGTGTAAGTCACTTCTTCAGAGAATAAATAACCAGATTAAAACTATTCCAAGTTTAAACCTGGATTCTATTTAGTGTCTTTCCATAGGTATGTAACAGATTATTTATGTATACTATGTTAAATACTTATGTTTGCATAGTACATAGATCATAAACATTTCATAGTTCACATTACAAATTGACGCTAATTAAATAAGCATTCAAACTCTAGAAGAACTGGACAGCTTTTTCATTCCCAATTGATTTTTACATGTCATGTAGAGTCATCAATAACGTTTTAAAATAACAGATTTTATCCATAGATCATTATTACTATTATTCGAGATTACTTGTTTCACTGTTGACTTTTTATATTTCATGTTGGTTTCACGATTAGATTTTAGGTAACTTCATTAGTTTGATTGGAAATATTTTTCAGTTATTTCTATTTTTGTATCCAATATTATAGATTATTTGTCAATTATGGGCGGATTATTTAATTTCTTCACAAAATTTAAATTATGCTGGTCAGATTTACATGAAAGGTGGATTTTATGGTTTAGCTGCAAAAACGTTCTTATCTGCAACTAATACTCAACAATGGTGTATTGCCGCTGCGAACAGTCGACTATTGAATGATAAAAATAATACTGATTTATCTACTGATCACTATTTAAGTAATACAGAGATACGTACTCAAGCACAAAAGTTAGCAGGTGATTTACCATTACTGTCATCAATATTATTCGTTTCAGTTTATTTCATACATTTCGTTTTCTTTAATTTATTGTAAACCAGATACCACGTTGGTTGATTAGTCTGTAGATTTTCGATCATGGTGGTTGAAGTATGTGTTACTTGTGCCCACCCAACACCTATTTTGACGCCGACGTTATAGTAAGTTGTAAGGAAACCAGAACGTAATACCATTTCATGAAATCTCTGTCTGCCACACTAGTCTATGTAATTCGGTTCACATCACCTGCTTGGAGTCCTCATGATAAATGCGTTCATTTGTTTGAGGATGTTAAATGACATTACCCAGAATTGATCTTAGTGACGGTGATGCATTCATCCTTCACCTTCCTCTAGATCTTTAGTTCCAATATTTCTTCGCATGTATCCCGACCGTAGCTGCTACCTTGACGTGGTGGTCGGGCTTGCCTATCGTGATGACCCAACAGAGCTATATTGGCTGGAACACATGTTCCTGCAGGTTCTACCATGCCAGGCAGGTCGATCGGAGAACGGTAAGACTAAAAGCAGCAACTCAAGTTCTGAGGGCGAAGTCGTACTGCTGACTGTACAGAGGTGTGACAGCAGTAAGGTGTTTCCCTCGGACAACCAGCATCTACAGCGGTGCTGCCTTCTCACAAGGAAGGAAGGGGTTAGAAAAGGTTGACCCTAAAAATGTCACACCTCACCTTACCCCACGGATTTCGTCTCCGGCGGTAAGGCCCTTTGAAGAACGGAGCTAACACATTAAAAACCTCCCACAAAAAGGCCGTGCGCGACCGGCCTCAGGCAGTTGTACCTTGGGCTCTGCGGTCACGCACCCAGGTCGTTAAGACCAACTTTAATTCGATTTTCTTTTCAGGTTCCTCAAGAAATACCCTTCCACGGTGTGGGCAGTCGGGAAGTGACATCAGCCCTCATACCCGTAACAGCACACGAGACCAAGTTGGTCACATTCAAATCCTTCCTACACCTCTTAATGACTCTCTTATCTCCACGACTAACCCTTCTCACATCCCTTTATCACCTCGCCCCGCTAGTGCGAACGATTCGAGTACGCGGAACGTTATTCCTGGTTTCCTGAAACCACGCTCTAAATTACACGTAGGAGCTTTCAACGTCCGAACACTGTGTCAAATAGGACAACAGGCTTCCTTAGCTAGTATTTTAGAATCTCGCTCCATCGATGTGTGCTGCGTCTCCGAAACGCGCACACAGGATCCTAGTAGTGTCATTCATTTGACCTCACCATGTCAAAGTAACAAACCAACTCGATTTACGCTCCGTGTATCTGGAAGCCCTGATGCTGCTTCCCGTGGCCTCTCTGGCGTAGGTATAGCATTGAGTCCTAGGGCGGAACTAGCTCTCTTAGACTGGATCCCAGTATACAGCCGTATCTGCGCTGTCCGACTAAACGGAACAGTAAGGACTCGGAAAGATAGGGACACTCGTCGTTGCCTCTTCGTCGTCTCTGCCTACTCTCCCACTGACTGCAGCTCAGGCAGTCGTTTGTGTGCTCTCCGACTAAACGGAACAGTAAGGACTCGGAAAGATAGGGACACTCGTCGTTGCCTCTTCGTCGTCTCTGCCTACTCTCCCACTGACTGCAGCTCAGGCAGTCGTTTGTGTGCTCTCCGACTAAACGGAACATTAAGGACTCGAAAAGATAGGGACACTCGTCGTTGCCTCTTCGTCGTCTCTGCCTACTCTCCCACTGACTGCAGCTCAGATAATGTAAAAGATGAGTTTTACAGAAAGCTTTCCGACCTTCTCCGAAAAGCTAGGCGTTCAGATGTAGTAATAGTGGCTGGTGACTTTAATGCTCAAGTAGGTAAACTAAGCGAAAAGGAAAGACACCTGGGTGGATCTTATGGTGTCGCGGCTCAAAGAACAGATAACGGCGACCGTCTGTTTCAGCTATGCTCAGATAACCGCCTATTTCTTGCAAACACTAAGTTTAAGCATAAGGAAAAACATCTTTTAACATGGCGACCCCCTAATTCGTCCCAACGCTGGACCCAAATAGATCACATCACTATCAGCCACCGATGGAGGGGCTCGATAGAAGACTGTCGCTCATTCTGCAGCACATGCTTAGACTCAGATCATGTTCTAGTGCGAGCGCGTATTTGTCTACGTCTTGCTGGACGTAGGAAACATGCTACAAGGAAACCCCTTAGGGTCCTACTAAGTGATAGTCAAGCTAAGAGTATATTTCAGGAACATCTAGAAAAACAGTTAGACAGTCATGTAAGTGACGCCCACCCCGAGGCAGCATGGAATGACATCCGAAAAGCTGTAGAAACAGCAGTGATGTCTGCAAGTACGGTAAACCATAAGGTTAGGGAGAAACACTGGATCTCAGCAGCATCTACCGCACTGATAGATGCTCGAAAACTCATTCCATCTGGCTCTGAACATAACGAAGAGCGGAGTCAGCTTAAGCGTAAGCTGACTAGAAGCCTACGCAAAGATCGTGAACAGTGGTGGGTAGCGAAAGCAAGAGAGATGGAAAAGGCAGCGGCAATAGGTAACAGCAGGCAACTGTTCAGACTTGTTAAGGAAACCGGTATTAGGAAGCCAACTGTTAGCGAAACAATCGCAGAGAAAGATGGACATATTATTCATTCTCAATCCAGGAGATTGGATCGATGGGCAGAATACTTTAGGGATCAGTTCAATTGGCCTTCAGCCACACTTCGGTTTCCCACGATCCCCAGTCGACCTGAATGGCAAGTTGATGTAAGTCCTCCGACTCTTTACGAAGTTGAAAAAGCTATAGGAAATCTGAAGCGTGGGAGAGCAGCAGGCCCTGACAGGTTTACCCTTGAGATTTTTAAGGATGGCGGTCCAGTATTAGCAGCGAGATTGACTGAGGTCTTAGGCAGAATCTGGGAACTGGACGTAACCCATCTGACTGGTCTGTACCAGTCTATAAGAAAGGACAAAAGTCCTCCTGTGACAATCACAGAGGAATTAGTTTGACTAATATAGTGTCTAAAATATTAGCTTCAATAATACTTCGACGTCTAACCAAAGCTCGTGAAGAGCAGACTAGAGAAAACCAGGCTGGTTTTCGACCTGGACGTGGTTGTATTGATCAAATATTCACATTACGTCATGTCCTAGAACATAGACACACATTCAGACGTCCCACAATGATAGTACTTCTCGACCTTAAGGCGGCATTTGACTCTGTTGATCGTGAGGTTCTATGGCAGTGTTTGTCACTGAAGGGAGTACCAAAGAAGTACATCAACCTTATAAATGCTCTCTACTCGAACACAACTGGTCGAGTGAGAGCTCATGGTGAACTGTCATCAGAATTGCTTACCTCAAGTGGTGTTCGTTAGGGCTGTCCACTCTCTCCATTCTTGTTTAACTTTGTTGTTGACGTGCTTTTAGAAATAACACTTTCCTCATCTAAATTTCCAGGGGTTGAACTTTTACCGGGAGATTCACTTGTTGACTTAGAAAATGCCGATGACATAGTTCTATTTGGTGAAGACGCTGACAAAATGCAGAGTCTGCTGACCACTCTAAGCAACAATGCAGGCATGTTCGGCATGCGATTTTCTCCCTCGAAATGCAAAATGTCGATTCAGGATTGGGTTGCATCGGCACCCGAACTAATGATATGGAGTGAAGTAGTTGAACGTGTCGACCGCTTCACTTATCTTGGAAGTCTCATCAGCCCTTGTGGTTTGGTGTGTGACGAAATCTCAGCACGGATACAAAAGGCTCGACTAGCTTTTGCCAACTTGCGTCATTTGTGGCGTAGGCGAGATATCCGTCTATCAACCAAAGGACGAGTTTACTGCACAGCAGTTCGTTCCGTCCTACTTTATGGCAGTGAAACATGGCCAGTAAGAGTAGAGGATAGTCGTAGGTTACTAGTATTCGATCATAGATGTCTTCGAAACGTTGCTCGTATATACTGGGACCACCGAGTAATTAACTCAGCTGTTAGGAAACGGGTACTAGGTAATGATGGCAAATCAATTGATAAAGTAGTAAAACTTAATCAGTTGAGATGGCTGGGACATATGTTGCACATGCTAGACCACCGACTGCCACGACGTGCGATGTTTTATGGTGTAGGAATAGGTTGGAAGAAAGCTAGGGGCGGCCAGACCATAACATGGCACAAATTCATGAAGTCACTGACAAGTGGACTGAGCCATGTTGGTAGGTGTAGACTACCTGGTTGGGGACCGCGAGATGATAGCAACCGATGGTAAGAGACTTGACATGGCTGAAAATCGTTTGCAATGGCGCAGGTGCATCCACTCTCTGTGTACTCCCAAACTCTAATCTTCTGAATTCTTCATGTCCTTTATTTTCTTTCCAAATATATTCCAATGGACTATACTTCTTAAATTACATCATCAAACCTTAACGTTTCCTGTCACTACTTATACTTTCACTACTCTGCCACTACGGGATTTGAGACGATAACTGAATCTCTGTGCTAATGTGGTATGGCAACTCGAACTGATGTACGTACGTACGAAGTTCCACGTTGTTTCTGACTGACTTCGCATGTATCTTTCCTTATTCCTTCTTTTTGAAGCATATTCTCAATCTTTAATCTTTTTTATCAATCCCTTTCCTATCCATCTAATTAATTTTATCTTCTTGTGCTAAGATGATATGGCAACTTGGGCTAATTCATATTGGTGCAAGACTTTGCTTTGATCACGGCTGACTGATATTCGTCAAGCATTTATCTGAGTACTCATCTTTGTACCACATTTTCACGTGTTTTGTGTGTGAGTTCAAGGGCTAGTAATACTTCTGTAGTGAACGAAAACTCATGAGAAATCCCACAATGTTTTCGTAGAATATGAAACTTATACATTAAATACATTATTATTTATTCTTCTCAATTCCATCTTATGCTGAAAGGCATTCTACTTCCGAATACTGCTACATACTACTCATATCTGTAAACATAAGTAGCATATATCTCACTTCTACTCAACTTCCTAAAATCTAGTAAGTGGAGTTGGATACTAATCTGACTTTCAATATTCAGATTATTAATCAACAATTCCACTATGGCATGCAACGTGAAACCAATTTGATCATTTATCGACTTCGAATTCAAAAGATATAATTCTACAAGTTACCTTTCTTAGAATAGTTTAAATGTGAATGAACTAACTTTATCAATCCTGATGAATTAAACGTTATATAATCTTTTAAAATTATTTTCTCACTAACTACTATTTCTGTGCATAACATCAAATACACTATCATCATCATCATCATCATCATCATCATCATCATCATCATCATCATCATCATCATCATCATCATCATCATCATCATCATCATCATCATCATCATCATCATCATCATCATCATCATCATCATCATCATCATCATCATCATCATCATCATCATCATCATCATCATCATCATCATCATCATCATCATCATCATCATCATCATCATCATCATCATCATCATCATCATCATCATCATCATCATCATCATCATCATCATCATCATCATCATCATCATCATCATCATCATCATCATCATCATCATCATCATCATCATCATCATCATCATCATCATCATCATCATCATCATCATCATCATCATCATCATCATCATCATCATCATCATCATCATCATCATCATCATCATCATCATCATCATCATCATCATCATCATCATCATCATCATCATCATCATCATCATCCCAATCATCATCCCAATCATCATCATCATCCCAATCATCATCATCATCATCATCATCATCATCATCATCATCATCATCATCATCATCATCATCATCATCATCATCATCATCATCATCATCATCATCATCATCATCATCATCATCATCATCATCATCATCATCATCATCATCATCATCATCATCATCATCATCATCATCATCATCATCATCATCATCATCATCATCATCATCATCATCATCATCATCATCATCATCATCATCATCATCATCATCATCATCATCATCATCATCATCATCATCATCATCATCATCATCATCATCATCATCATCATCATCATCATCATCATCATCATCATCATCATCATCATCATCATCATCATCATCATCATCATCATCATCATCATCATCATCATCATCATCATCATCATCATCATCATCATCATCATCATCATCATCATCATCATCATCATCATCATCATCATCATCATCATCATCATCATCATCATCATCATCATCATCATCATCATCATCATCATCATCATCATCATCATCTCATCATCATCATCATCATCATCATCATCATCATCATCATCATCATCATCATCATCATCATCATCATCATCATCATCATCATCATCATCATCATCATCATCATCATCATCATCATCATCATCATCATCATCATCATCATCATCATCATCATCATCATCATCATCATCATCATCATCATCATCATCATCATCATCATCATCATCATCATCAATTCAGTCGAAATCTATAGAACTTAAGTATACAATTGCAATGTGAATAATCCATGTACTTTATTATACACTTGTTTTCCATTTTGATACATGTCACAAGATTATCACAGTTTTCACATGACTGATTAAATAATTAATTAGCTAATAAAATAAAATATATCACATTGGGTTAGCCCATTAATTTATCTTGTTTTCTTTTAATACATAAATATTCGTAATTATAGTTTTTCGACGTATTTGGCTGGTAAATTTATAGAGTGCACTTATTTTAAGAAAATATTTAGAGTCGGTCACTGATTGTATTTGATCATATCCCAAATTGCTTGGAGTTAGAAATGCCAATTATTGGATAGTGCTCATTTCAACAATCTAACGATAACGTATTCCTCATTAAATCTGAAGGTCCCGCGTGTGATCCATACCTCATCAGCACAGCGAGATTGAATTTTTAGGATAAATCCCAGAATAGTAAATGTAGTAATAGTATCAGTGGTAATCAAAAAGATTAAGCATTAAAGATACTGAGGATCTACAGGAGGGAAGTGTATGCACCTGAGTTATTCCAAACGATTTTCAGCGATATCACTTTACATTTTTAACCACTGGTTATGGTAATTTTATGGACTCCAACCAGATAGTCTGCACCTATTTATACGGATCAGTCCAATTGTTAGTGTCTTCATGGATTGATGATATCTCTTGGCTTGACCACAGTTTCTTACCAACATACTCCTACATCAGCCGTCACTGCGTGTCGAAGCAGTTGATGGCTGGGCATAAATATAAATGTCAGTCAATCACTATTCAATAAGTTTTTATGTATATATTTTTAAATATTCACAAGTTAGGTCCCCAGAAAATGCGAGTTTCGATGCTGTTCTGTTTTATTGTCTAATTAAAATTCCTCACTTTAACCAAACATACAGTATATATTAAACCAAGTATTATTATGATTATCACTATTATATCCAATTTATTCCTGATCATCTATAAAGTTATTTGTATTGAGCACTCAAACAATACACAACCACATATAAAGTACATTTCAAACATATTAATGTGGTGTATTTTTCTCAACATAAATTTATTATTAAAATATGTTTACAGATTACCAATGTATATCTGTTTTTACATTATTATTGATCTTAGTTGTTTACGGTTTTCTTTTTCTTTGTCTATAGCTCGATTAAAAGATCTTCACCGTCATCAAGAAGCTATTCAAATCTATATTGACTTTTTAGAGGTAGGAAAGACTTTTTCAGTGAATAACTGTTTCTGTTATGAATAAACAGGTAGATCACATGTTACCAGTGTACATATGACTGTTAGAATAACTGTAATTTTAAAGTTATTTTCCAAGTTATAAGGGTAGTGGACCCCTAAGAAAACCACTGGCTTCGGTTTAGGTACCCGTGCAATATACAAGCCCTCACACCAATCGAATGATAGTGTGGTGCATATGTATTCGGTGCCTCGTTGTACCAATATTTACGCGTTGAAATAAATAAAATAAATAACCTGTAAGCAAATAAACTGTATAAATAAAAAATATTTCACAATAGAAGTAATGAAATCCTTCAACTTTTATTTGTTTTAGGTAGTTTATCAGCTTTTCAATGCTAATTCTTAGATCCCCCATCTTAATATTGTAGAAATATCACTGGATTACCTCATTAATTTGAGCGGTTCTTAATGAATCTTCATCATAGCCATAAATAGTTGTTTGCCCCCGAATGCCCTGTACGGCCGGGGTGGGGAGAGTCGGCTCTCCCTCTCGAAATGCTCTCACATAGCCACGTGCATACAACCACTGCCAGGGAAGTCCTATTCTCTGCCTTCTCGCGGCAGGGTATTGTTTACGAAATTGGGAGGACAAAAATCGAATGTCCGGCGCTTTAACCGGGTTGGCGGATGTGGAGTATCCACTAGGGGAAGTTATAAGACGCTGATTCCAAACCAATAGTGCACATAGGCTCCAGGATTCTTAAAGAACAAGTGGAGTATGAACCAATTATTGGACACCAGCTACCATGGACTGCATCTCCTGATGTTGCTCCACTGCCTTGTGGATCAGTTCTTTAGGTCGAAGGCTCCGGGTGCGATCCCCTAAGGAAACCACCCGCTTTGGTCTGGGCACCCGAGTAGTATCACGGCCCACACACAAATCAAGTGACTTGTGTGGTGCATATGTATTCGGTGCCCCTTTGTACTAATATTTATATGTTCAAGTAAATAAATTGTTGCATGGAAAATTTGTCATCCTCTACGAAGTCTTTATCAATGAATGCCCTAAACAGCTGCAAAGATAGAATTATGAGATGAACATCGTTGTCCTCTCACAAATATAGGAAATTCATGAGTAAAAGTCATTATAAAATTTAGCTTTCCTAATTAATCAGATTATTTTTCATTCAGTCTATCACTAGTGAAGTTATACATTTGAGAATTTACTAGGAACTCAGTTACCTAAACCGAAGGCTAAATGATTTTTGAGTTGTATACAATCTACATAAAAAGAAGCGATCATTTTATATGTTTAACATTATCATTCTCACTCTGAATCGATAAAAAAGGAATTTTCACTCAATTGTATACTCTATAAACATTGAATGAATAGAAGGTATTTCTGTGGTGTATGTTACTTATATCTCTCGACATAAGTAGTCATTAGAATTAATTCTAAGCTATATCATTCAGCATCTCTAACACTTGGTTACCATAATCGTGCGGATCTCTAAACAAATAAAACTCTTCACGTTACAAACAGTCAAAATTCAACAAACAATGAGATTATGAAGTCTTGACAATTCTGTTATTACACATTTTGCGTGCTGAAACAATTGTAAATAGAAAATGCCTTTTATTATTGAAAATTTTTATTATAAATCCTGTTTCTATTATTTTCTTGTTCTTTGATTCATCATAGGATCCTGTAATGGCTATCAGAACAGCTTGTGAAGATTGCCTGTGGATGGATGCTCATCGATTGGTAATGCTTCATATTTTATTGAATAACAAGTTTTTTTAACAGCATACTTATTTTGTTGTACAAAATGGTACAACTTATTTTATAAAATACTGAAATACCATGCATAAACAACATAGAACCTAGCAGTATACACGAATCAGTTCAATTTGTCATACTGTAAAAAAACGTCAGATGAGATTATCAAGATAAATCCCAGAATACTAAAGGTAGTAACAACAGTATCAGTCGTCGTAGGAAATTTTATCCGCAGACAATATGATTTGAGAATAAATAATTGGATTGGTAGGATGAAAAGTCTGAGCTCAATTTAAAACTTAAATATAAGAGAATAATAAGAGTAAACGCATCTAGGTCATTGGAATTGATTCTAAGCTATATCATCCAACGTCTAACCGTTGGTTACTATAATCGCAAGGACCTCAACCAATTAATCTGGACCTACCTGTACGACTGAGTCTAACAGCCAATGACTTTATGTTCTAACCACCCTTAGCTTTTTCTTAAACTACTCTTACACAAGTCATCATCGCGCGTTGAAGTCACCAGTGGTTAGGCACAAGTAATGAACATTGTAATCACCCCCAGTTGGTCAAAATTCACTATCTCTAGTAGATCCGACATCCTCACCCTGTACTGTGCGTCTGACTATAATATTGCTCACGTGGTCGTTCCACGATACGGCAGCAGTGCTTCAAAGGCACCTATGATCGAACACTAGTAACCTACAAATACCCTATATTTTAAAGGCCAAACTTCATAAAACAGACTACTTCACAATAACTTCATCTTTTGGGTAGTAAATACGAAAAATATAAAATAAAGTTTTTGTTTATTTTTTAACAAAGAAGCATAAATACCTTCACTTCTATTCACATTAAATAATGATAGTAATAATACCAATAGAGTGTAGTTGAAAATCCCCTCAATACCGCTATTTATCGATCTGATTCACAAACACACAAAAATATCAAAAATGTAAATTAAATTAGTTTGTTTCCTTCTTGTCTACACAAAACGATTACTATAAACCAAACAAGAAAAAAACTTAAGCTATTAGAGAACCAAAAATATTTCGTAAATCAATTTCATGCTAATAACAACACTAACCTAACTATCCTCTCAGATTTTTTTCGTAATAGACTATGTGCAATGCATGCATATAAAAATGTATTGTATTTTTGTGACAAAATCAATCAATGTGTATACATTCATTGAGATACGGATAGAAACTATATAAATCATATTAAATACTAAAATGATAGAAATTTTGTGAGGGAAAAAATGTCATTTGAAAATCATATTTAAAATAATTTGTATTTGTTGTATTTTGTTCGTGTTCAATGTACAATGTGAGTCAGTCGCGTTTTTTTAGTGGCTTTGAGAAAACACCATGCACATACCTTCATCAGTTGAATTCATGAGTCAGTTAAAGCTAGATCACCATGGAAAACCTGAAAGCACTGGACGGCCGTTTCGTCCCAGTATTGAGTGAAATTACTTCATCAACCTAGCTTTAATACCGGTACTCGTAACAGTAGTAGTACGATACGTAGAAGCAATTTTAATTTTGTTAAATACTTCATGAAAACGTGAAGAGTGTAGGATGGAAATAAGTTTAGCGGTGTAAGGAAGATCTAAATATTGTAAAGTTGAAATGAATAGTAGTAGGTATTATGTTGATTATATCGCTTGGACCAGGGAAAACAAGTTTGATTATGTATACTTTTCACACACACACTTATGTGGTTTCTCCTAGTCTAATCTTTGTGTTGAAATTTCTTGAAAAAAATATCACTATCTGTATGGCTACTCAATCACTATTTAAAATTAACCAAAGATTAAAACACCTATGCCGACTTCTGATATGTAAAACAGTTGAAGATAGATGTTCAGTATAAAAATCAGATTTAAATGTATCTACCATGGTAATTAGCTGTCTTTATCAATGCAAAAGTCATAAACACTACATCTACAGTGTATGCTGAGAACAATCCTTTTTCCTCATGGAGTTTTAAAGGATTTTGTTTTGTTCGAATTTGGGCTTACCACTTTCTCAGCTCACAATCTGACTCCATTATGGACGAACAATAAATGAGCCGCGGACATAAATTCTTTGACTGATTTCGTATACTCTAATTAGACTAACTCCGTTTTGGCGACGACGTTAATACAAAGCCAAATCCGAATTCATTCCATGCACTATTTTACTCAGATAAATGAAAATAATATACGGAGAACTGAACCGTGCCAATTCCAATGCTTCAAGCGTTACTCACTATTATTTTTAGCCAAACAGAAAAATAAGCTAATAACGTGATGAATAAAATAATTAATAATATAAAATCAGTCAATGTTGTAAGTGAATAATTAACAAAGTTAAAATATATGTGGATGGTATTTCAAAAAGAATAATTTCATTGGTCTGTTTAAACCCCGGAATAATTTATGTAGGTATGACATAGCGTAGTGAATAAAAACACGAGTGGGGACAATTGAATGTATTTGACACGAAATTACAGCGCATCTTGATAAAATATGAGAACCATATAGTAAATAGTTAATTTTCAAAATGTCAATCCATCGTCTCAAACTTGACTATTTCTTTTGCGAATACCAGTCTATTGTCTCAGATTTCATACCAATTGCGTTCCGTTTTCGTTCTTTCCTTATCGATCTGCTGAAATATATTCTATGCCTGACCACAGTTATATACTACTTATATGGATATAAGTAACCCACACCACAATAGTACTAGATGCTCTGAGAGTATACTGACAAAGAATTATTAAAGAGGTAAACCAAGATCTATTTTAGTTCTAAATAAATAAAACTGTTCATATTACAAACGGCCAAAATTCAACAAACAATGTGTTGATGAAGTCTTGACAGTATTAAATGAAAAAACTTTGAAGTTACTGAAAAACTATCATTTCATCTCAATGTCCGTGTTTTTCTTAGTTAAATCCTTTAAATAAGAATACGTTATAATTGTATAGGTTACCTAAATAACTCTAAAATCCATTAAAACACGCTCTTTTGAAGTATATTATATTGACCGTACAAAGTGTACTCTTTCCAAATGTATATCCGTACAATATGCTTCATAGTTATCTACAGCTGAATATAAATCTGTCAATAGGTCTATTCTACTACAACGAATTTGATCAATTCTGATCATCTATTGTCAACAGAATTTTCTGTCAGATTTTAACATTATATATAGACAATCAGACATAAAATATTTATTTCCGAATTCGACCTGTAAAAGTTTCTCTATTCTCTCTCTCTCTCTTTATGTATGTTGTATAGGCATCATTATATAATAAACAAGAATTTTTAAATCAAATCCTTAAATCTTCTTTAAGTAAACATTATTCTATCTTGAAAGAAAGATTACATAAATCCATTGATACATACGATAAATTAATCGGTCGATTAATTACTCTACGTCAAATGCATAAACAACAGGCGGAAACACAACGATTTGTTCAGATGCATGGTGATAGAGAGTATTTTGGTAAGTCTTAGCATGATTAGATTTACTAGAACTAGAGGGTACAGGGTTAGAAGGTTTGTAAATAAACCGATTTTATGATAAATTCATTTTGTATTGTTTGTTTGAATCTCCCCATTGATGTTTAGGACTACAATTCATCAGTTGTGTGTTTATATTATACCAATTTTATGTTTGCCCTTATATATTTATGACGTCATAGCAATATATTCTGTATTTCGTGAGAGCTGTTTTTCTCTATGCTTGTGAAACTCGAATTTTCCGAATTGAGGATGTTAGAGGAGTCTCTGTGTTTGATCATCTTTGTCTCCTACGGGTTTCTGACATCGAGTGGCAACACCATGTTAGTAATGCAGAGGTTCGACATCGTTTGTTTGGGCACAACAACAATAATTCAATTGGTGTCAACATCTTGAAACATCGACTTCGGTGTCTTGGACATGTACTACGGATGTCGTCCTAGAGAATTTCATGTCGTGCATTATTGGCCGACTCTGGGACTGGTTGGAAAAGGCAGAGTGGTAGTTAATGTTTGAGATGGTGTTGTGGTAAGAAAGAAAGCTGTACGGAACTGTCTTCTGTTGGTCCTTCACGACTCCTTGGTTGGAGTCTTAAAGATGGTACAATACAGTGGCTAGAGACGTCATCAAACATGGCTGAGAACAGAAGTCAGCGGCGATTCTGTTGTAACTTTTTACTTTCTTTATAAAAGTGAAAGTAACTTCTTTATCTGGAAGAATTCTTTGTGGTTGTATTTTTCCTAACTGAACTGCTTCTCTCATTATTATTATTATTGACTTTAAATGTTGTATCAATGTTATCAATTCCCCTTTGTTATCACTGTCAAATACAGGCTGTTTTGTTTATTATGGCATTTAGAACGAAATAATTTTCCCTGTCTACCGTTGTATGTTAAATCGTCTAAATGAGAAATGAGTATGATAGTTCTTCCTTAGTGTAGAGTAAAATTTCAGTTACATGTACGTATACTAGTTATATCATTGTTCAGATTTAACAGAGAATTAATTCAAACAAGGACTGGTAGTCATTGCAAGTTTACTGAAGAATTAAGCAACAAGTACAAGTACTACAAAAAATAAAAATATTACATACAGTAAAGTTATTGAATAAATCACTTTCAGGAAACATAAGTTGCATCATTCTGATGAGTTTTGCGCTAATTAACATATAATTAGAATGCATTATAAATATGAAGTAAACAAATGCTGATCTGACCCCTTTTTTAAAAGGTCATCCATTTTAAATTTGTAGCGTATGTAAAAGCGCGTACTTTGGAATTGTTATCAATGATTCAGATATACTTACTTATTTTTGTACTTCCTAATATATCTTTTCATATCCTCATACTGTACTTTTAATGTTTTTACTTAATCGTAATAAAGAACAATAATCATGATGTTGAAACAAACTAAATCGATACACTTACCAAGCTTGTGTGATTCGGTTTAATGATATGGTTGAACACTCTCTAAGTATTGATTATCTTATAGATTGAAAAAAAGACAAATTCCCTTTTTTGTAACTTTTTACGTTGTCTATTATTCCCTGACTCATTATATTTTTCTAATCAATCGTTCCCAGAACCAGAACTAACAGTGAACTGTATGTATAATACACAACAAAGAATGCAGGAGTAAATACATTAGAATTAATATTGAAGTTACATAAGAAACTTGTAGTATCTCGGTTTGATGACGATTGGTTGGAAATGGACGAAACCGCGTGTTCTACTTGGAGCATGCAACAGTCATGACCCTGTCATGCCAACAGATACAGGGGAAGAAAGTTAAATCCTGGCTGGAAGTTGTCACACTATCGGTCATACATTTAGTAACAGCAACGTCATTGATAAAGACTGTCTAAAACAATGACGGAGAACGAAGGGATTGCAGCTTTTAAAAAATTAATGCTTGACAAGTGGCTAAAAAGAACAGGGTTTTAGTATTAAGTAGAATTCAATCGAAGCTTTTAGACTATATAGATAACTATTTGATTCTGTAATTAACTAGTTTTTATAACGTGATCATTGATAATAGTCTTCATTTCAGATTCATCTTACTGATGAATGATAACTAGCATGAAATTTAAGTCCAGGGTTTCCAGTGTATACACTCTCTGTCTTCCTTTAAACTAAGAGATTAAAATCACTTCATATCTTTCTTTCTAGGAACTAATTCTCTCTTCCTGTACTACCTCCTTATATGCAATCTTTCTTCTATATATTGCCACCACTGAATTAACTACTATGAATCCGGTGTTCATCTTGTTGTGCTAATGCGGTATGGCAACTTGGACCGATGCATATACGTGCCTGGTCCTACGTTGCAGCTGACTGACTAAATCCGATCACCTAATATCAAAGTGTAGTGTACGCTATGTCGAGTTACTTAAACCAATAGCTAGCCACATTGAAACTCGATCAGTAGGATTCAACCAGCACAAAGTAGGATGAGATAAATACGGCACTAGTTACCACTCAATTATTAATCAACGCATATACCAGTAATTACTAGAAAGAATAGTTATTTCTTAAAAATCACTTATGGCGAAACTAAATGATAAGTTTCATACTGTTATTTGTGTACTTTTCTAAAAATTCTCTTCCAGATGATAACTTTTCTGAATCTGACATCAATTCAGATACAAGTAGTGTGTCGGGAGATAGTATAACCAGTTCAATCAGCCAAATAAGTTTGCGAACGTCAGGATCGAAAAAATCTGGGTAAGTAAGCTTAATTTTTACACTTCAACAATGTAGTGTAATGTACTGAATAACCTCTTACGTTTTCGTTGTTTCAACAAACACTATAAGATCCACATATGAATGGACTTACGACTCACTTGGATAAGTTCTCTTTAATGAAATCTTACAATGGAATAGTCAATACTACATATTTTATATTTCCATCTGTCGCCTTGTTAACAAATGAATCACAGTGATGTAGTTTTTTTTTAAATTTACTAAGAGTTGGTGTTTTGAAAAATATTCCATGCTTAAAATATTAATTTCACTTGGTAAAAACTGCGATGATTCGACTTTAAACGGACAGCCAAACTATTATTTTGAGGTTAATCAATAACCTCGGTATTTTAAAAAAAACCTAATGAATATGATTGATGTAACTATGTTTAACACTGTTCCGGTTACAAACATATTTTTAGTAAGTATAATTCTTACTTCACTTTTTATCATTAGTATCATTTCTTATGGCCCTATCTTATATCAGGTGGCAAAATCACCAATCAGAATATCGACTTCTGTGACCTTGTCCCTGACATACCAGCCAGCACTAGTAGCCTTTTAGAAAATTCTAAATCTTCATAGGTCTTCAATGCAAAACTTTCTCGCTTTGCCGTCTCCGTTAAGTTCGAAACACAATAATTAGCCTTCATTATATGAATATTGCATTTCAGACATACGTATTCTACATAAAAGCAGACCAAACCAAATCGCACCACAAAATGAAAAATACAAATTATACAAGATCAAACTAAAAGTGACTGTTAGTATAGGAGACTGTAACTAATAGATTGGGAATAAATTAAGAATAGTAAGTCGTATAAAAGTAATTAACGAGTCAAATTAAAGCTTTTGATGAGAGTGATATATATATATATATATATATATATATATATATATATTCTCCACAAATAATTCCTGGAAGTTACAATTCATTCAATCTTTTCCGGATATAAGATTACTTTTTGAACGGATACATATCTTCTTGCTCATATTTCATCATCAAATGAAATCCATGATTAATAGTATGTAGTAAGTCATAACTGCTCGGGAACCTTATTATTTTTTAACTATTTAAACAGTTAATTACAACCTAGTCATATACGAGGGTATTTTATCAGTTTAAAATACCGGTATTTGGAATTGTACAGGAAAAATAGCTGGGGAGAAATAAGTAAGAATGAAGAGTCTTATATTAGAATGAGAAAATACTGAACCTGCTTGGGTTAGCATAAGTACGAAGTTCTACGTTGTTACTGACTGATTGACTAGCACAAGTTTGAAACAGTTAAGTTCCTTATTCAGCATTTCAGTCTGGCATGTTTTTTACATCACTGAGACTAGTGATTGATAACTTTATAAATTAATATAATATCTCTACATGGACATTTTTTAATAGACAACACACCTGCCATTTTGTTTGATAAGTACGAGTTCTGTATTCCGGTTTGTGCCAAACTTTTATGCACATATGAGGACTAATGTTAATACCTGACTACCTAAATCGAACTAAGTAGAGCGGATTTCGAACCATTAACTCATTAGTCAAAGCTCAATTGCTTGAATTAAACCACTTACTGCTCCACCAACACCATTTTGTAAATCTGAGTAGACAGTAATCTGTTAACCATAAATACATACGTCTCAATTTTGTCCGTTTTTACAGCCCAAAGAAATTCGACCATTATATTTATGACATAGGTAAACACTACACCCATTTTATAGTGTATATAATATGTATACATACTGAGGAAAATCTCATAAATTTCTTTTCATTGTGGTTAGTTGTATACGCTCATTCTGTTTTCCTTCCGATAAAGACGTTCAATGAAATCTAAACGAAAACAAGAAGCAAAGAAATGGAGTTCAAAACCGGGTAGTAAATACGAAGAAGTTGGTTTATTACATGAACTAACTCAATCAATAGAATTGGGTCAATCACTTGCCAGTAAGATTTTATTTATTTGACTTAACATTTTCACATAATGAAATAATTGAATAGGCAATAATCAAGTTACGCATAGGATACTAAGCAAATGTGTTATATCGGTTGTGCATTCTTATCGACCGAGGTGACTGGTACATGTGTTACGCATAATTGTAAGTCTAATGTGTAGGCTACCCGGTTGAAGTTTATGTGATAATTCTGATCAATGATCGGAGGCCTCGAGCAGTCCATAGCTCGAAGTCGGTGAGAATGATACAACTGCATCCATTTTACCTTCCCTTAAATTTTGCGTCCCAGTATGACTTCATTCTTTTTATTCTGTGATTATTTCATTTCTGATTTTCGAGCTGTAGCGTTGTAGCGTGGCGTCGAGTCGCGGTTGACTTTGATCACCACTACACTGAGACTACGTGCCAGTTATTAGGTTGGATCCCTTCGTAGGCCAAGAACCAGAAGGCAGTTAACGGTTGCAATAAGATATATTTGTTGGCAATCTCGTGGTGTCGAAAGAATACCGAGATCGTTCCAAAGAGTACAAGTGGAACTACTGAGCGTAACCGAGAGCGTGCAAGGTCACGGTCAACGGAAGAATGTGTGTTTAGTACACTTAAACAAACAAGTACAGTAAAACAATCACTGGTACAATTGGTTATAATAATAATTGTTTCCATTATACCAATCGCATTCTCTTCATAAAATTAGTTCACTACAGAAACATGTTCTTTTTTCACAACTATCAAAACTGCTACTGCCTCAGCCCTTGTGCTGAGTAGCATATTTCCAACCTCATCTTTCTTTATTGATATGGTATGGTAATTTTTGGGCTGACACATATTTGTGCACGTCCCTATATTATGAATGCCTGATCAATTAAGATGGCATAGTAATTTTTTATGGCACGGAAGGTGTACGTCTTTGCTAGACGATATTGATTTTAACCTAGGTAGATAGTGAAGCCATATAACTTCATACTGATAACTCATTCGTGAAATAAAATCCACTGACTGTTATATAGTTATCGCGATTATTGATGTACTTAATTTAGAAGCAATCGACAATGAAATTCAACAAGCGTTAATTCTCTTCGCAGTTTTATCTTGTCCTAGTCAATATCAACCATATTGATAAGTCGTATATACCGGATCCCCAACCGGTTGTTAGACGGATATAATTATCGACAGCTGAACATTCAAACCAACAAATATGCGGAAATATAAAGGCAGCTTTCCTTGCAAGGTTAGTTTATATACAAGTTACATTAAGACTCGAGAAAAGATACTGTAGGTAATAGACTTGGAACATAGTCAGTCAGATTAAGGGAAAGTGATAGTGTTCTATGCAAATATGAAAAATTTTGTTGTTCAAGTAGTGAATCTCCTTCAATTGAGGGTATATATTCCCATCCACCAACTACCTAGATGCGCGATGATGGTTGATATGGTAGTTGGTTGGAAGAAAATTTGGAGCGGCAAAACTAGGTCATGGAAATAGTACATTATGTCATCAACAGTTGAACCGAGCCATGTAAATAAGTGTAGACTACTAGGAAGAAATTCGTTTGACTATCGCAATCAATGATTCGAGGCAGTTTTTGTAATTAAAAAACGGCTGTTTTCTAAGGAAAAAAACTACTTTCAACTAGGTAGCGAAACGTCAGGAATTTAATTTCCTATTCATTGAAACACTGTTTGTATCGTCGTTATATTTGTCCACTGTGATACCCAGTCACAAGGTGCACTATCATCTAATCATTTTTATCTGTTACCGTAGATAATTTTTCTAACTTTTTCTAAATAACTTCATTCCATGCAACCTCTACTCTAAAGAAAGACAATATTGCCGCGGAGTATGTTTTTCCCAATAAAATATTTGGATTAACTTTCATATTGTGTGCTTAATGGCCAGATTTTATATACTTGATGACATTATTTAAAATCTAGATAAATTTACCATTCTCTTTTGGTAGACGAAGTTATGAACTCGCTTACGGAATTTTGGTATACAAACATGTTTGGGGAGGGTCGCACGCTGATATGCTCAACTAATGACTTATTAAGGAAGCAGAAACTAGGATTGTCATCTATATGGGATGATTGGATAACTGGCAAAGTAGGTACAAATAAGTATTCTTCTATTTATTCATCTAAAATTAACAAATTAAGAAGTACTTCTAACATGTTAATAGCTCTTATGTGTTTAAAAAAAACGTGACTTTCGAACAATAGGCCATGATTTCGAAGGTCACGCTTAACGTACTTCAGTCTGAACACGCTTCATACGAATTTTAAGTTGACAGACACCATTTGTGAACTGCTTCATAACTACTAGAATTTCCGTTGTCGATCCTAAAAGCTGATAGAATTGTTAAAAGTTTCACTTTGGATTCTCCTACACTTTTGATAGATGTGTTCAAGGTGTTCAAAATATATTGCGAAGTTATTTCTGTATTTATAAGGCATTATTACTTGACACTACTTATCTATGAAGTGTTTTTATGTATTCAGCTCTAAACCATATTCAATCTAACAGCGATATCTGTGTGATATGGTTAACATAGGATTACTACAAGTATTTACTCTAGATATCTATGTTGTCAAAAACATAATCTACAAATCAATCTCTTCAGCATATTACTATGTATCCTGTGCGACTGGTATTATAGAAGTATTATTTTCCTCTTCACAACAAAGCATTGTAAGACTATCATTTAGCTCTTTTTCTGAGACACTAAATTCTGCACCATGCAAGAAAATATGATGCCGCTAAACACCCGAAATCTTTTTCTTTATGCAACTTCTTAACTGAATGTAATAAATTTACGTTATCTACCTACATTTCTATTGAATTATTCATCCCCAGTGCATTGCAGAAGAAAATGAACAGCAATTTTTCGGCCGAAAAAAATATCCCATTCAAGGTAAGTGGAATAGTCATTCATAAAGTAATAGCAGAACATGCGCACACAGACACATATATTACTTAAATTTTATTTAAAACTTTTTATTTTTATTTTAGAGGCATTTTTGTGTTTTCCACCGAAAATGAAAAGGACTATTATTGAATGTTGTATGTATTGAATGTGTTGTTTAATTGAATACAATAGATATGTTCTCAATTGTGGTACTAAAGTTTAATTATGTCAAACACACAATTGCACACACGTACACACACAGTTACAACAAAACAAAAACGTTTACATTTTATTTGAAGTAATTCTTTTCATTGGAAAATAAAAATATATTTTTCAAGAAGAAAATGAAATGAGGAAATGCTTTTTTCATTGAATTCATTGTTCATTTGGTACTATGAAAACTGACGATAATGTAAGTAAATGAATCAATAAATAAATGAGCAATCAAGCGAGAATAATATTTTTAAAATGAGCAGATTAGAAATCACTAAGTTCTTTTCTGCCAAATTTGAATAAAATTGACGATATACAAATTAGTAGATTTTGTAATAGTATAGCTACACCTGGCCATACTGGTGTTTTACCTACAGCGATATAACCTCCAAACAATATCCAACATGCAGCTATTGTACTACTAAATGCCATTGAGAAAGCGAAAAATAGGCATATAAGTGCTCCACGACGACCGATACGACTGTCTGAAAATTCATCTCTCAACTAATAAAAAAGGTAAGAGGAAAGTTAATAACCACTTACGTTTTTGTAAAGTTTAGTTTATTCTTTTTCATATATTAACAATTAAGCACAAATCGGAACTACATGAGGTAAAAGCCAATGATGTTAGCCAAAACGGTAATGATAATTCTGCAATTAAGTAACCTAACTCAGATAGCTCAACAACACAAAAAGCGTCCACCTAATCTGCAAATCTACAACATGAGAATTAGTGTTCATATGATATGTTGAAAAATTCTACTTCCGACTAAAATCACCATTTAGAGAAATAGCTTTTAAACCTCGCGGAGAAACTAGATATATCCTTCCCTGAGACTTACATTTATGGCTACTGATTCTGAACGATACCCTGATTATTTCTTTAAATAACTATAGGTGATTAATATCATATACAACGGGTAATAACTTTCAAGTATAATTTCCCCTTACCGGAAGTAATGCGAATCTATATTGTTGCGTATTGGGTGGTTGAGTTGTTGGTTCAAATCGTGCAGTGGTAGTACCATACACAGCCCAATAAAGCGTTTAGCTAAAATCTAGGTGTTAAGTTCTAACAAGCTTGAAATCTAAAACAATACAGTCATACACATTTTATGTATTTCCATATAACTCGTTCGGCATTGTTTGATAAGTCGATGTATAGCGTCTCACTTACGACAGACTGTACGTTTGTATACACAACTTAAAGTTATGAATATTGTTGGCATTAAATAAATTCGGCAATATCCAGACCAAAACAGGAACGTCTCAACTGTCGCAAATGTAGTACTTTAACCAGTGATTCGTACTCTAGGAAATTCACCAAACACAAGATGACCCAGAAATTGCAACAATCATTGATGAATAGCCATATGGAATGGAAAAGCAAACTAAACAACTAGAGCAAGAAATCCATGCGTTCTGGACACAAGGGATTAAAATGATCATGTCCAAGTCTGTCATAAGAAGAAAATCAATCACAGAACGAACTGAATATAATGAAGAGTAAAGCACTGGAATAGTGTCAGTGACTAAAGGTGAACGAAAAGTATATTGGTTATAAATGGGACAGGGAGAAGTCAGCAATGAAATATTGGAAAGAGGTCGTAAAATGCAATAAATTTGTACAAATCTAGTTAAATGGATAGGCGAACAGAGCATACTCAACAACACCCCCAAGTCAGTATGACTTCTTAGGTTCTCCAAACCTTGACACTTGCTTGTCAATAGCCGCTGAAAATGGTACTATTAACTCTTGCTACAACCACTGTATTGACATGATGAACGACCCCTGACATTTTCTCCATCAATTACCATTAACAGACATAATCTACTTATATCACCTCAGTACCTGATGATATTTTAGAGCTTTGCGAACACAGATTAACTCCGGTTGTTATTTTAGTAACACATGTCATCAACCGAACTCTGCATGGTCGACTTTTGCTGAGGCAGCACCGGGTCACTTATTTGCAGGATGAGACGTGTCTGGCCTCATTTTTTGTAGCATCTGGTTAGCAATTATCCTTTGCTTCAACAAAAAAGTCTGTCAACAGTCACCCTTATCTCCAATGTCCAGTTTAACATTTGCTAAGGAGATTAGTTTAAATACTCATGGTGACATATGTAGAGTGACAGGAATGATATAACTGATCTTTGTTCGAAATAAATCCACAAAAAGAACTTTTTAAACCTGTTTCGAGTGCTGTAAAATCCCTCTTAAGTGTTGCAAAACACATACCAATTTGCTTCGGTGAATTCAAATGAAACCAAGTTTGTTATGCTTAATTGAAGTCAAAAGTCCGAATGTATCGGCAGAAGTTTTGGAAAATTTGCTTGAGTTTCTTTCAAGCTCTAAACAGCTAAACAATTTCATGAATACACCTGAGGTAAACATATTTCTACCAGTACTTACATATCTTAGATGGCTAAGATTAGATCTCGGGTAAGCAGTTTCACTGAAATGAATAATGATGAGGGAGACGTTAAGTATGGAACCGAGGTTTATTTCGAATAAATATCAATCCTGCTAGAAAAACTTGTGTTTAGTGAATCAGTCACGGTTAACACATATTTCAAACAATCATTTAAGAAATGAAAACTACTTTAGAAAGCCAGTAATTTCCAATAGTTATAACCTACCACTCCGTTAGGAACACTGTTAATTAATATGAAAGCGATGGTGCTGAATACTCCAGCTGTATGATATGCATTAGGTAAGGAATTGTTTTCGGCGAAAAGCACGGCTGCGTCAATTGCTATCCACCAGCCTAATGCAAATAAAAATCCTGCAATAATTGATACTATGCTATTGCGGATGCGATCAGGTTCAATATCTCGAAATTGGTCAAAAATAGACATTGTCTACTTGATGTTTAATAAAAAAAAAAACAATAGTTAGCTAGATAAAAAGGCTTGAATTTTGACAATATTATGTAGCAAATAACTGACGAATACTAGTATGCAATAAATAGTGCCTGAGAGGGGCTTACGTATCAATGTCGATTGCAATAAGGCAGGGCAGCGTTATTGTACGCTGAGGTTAGGCGTAAGATAATCGCTAAATGGAGTGGATTATTTGTTCTTAAATCTGATACTTATTACTAGTAAAACTGCTCTCCTTGTTTTTGCATCTTAACTTCCTTTTACAATGTTGATATAAAATGTGACAAACTGGGTCGGCATCTAGTACTAGACTTTTATGACTGACTAAAAATGAGACAGGAAAAGTACAATGAAGTCAAGTGTTAGTGGGACATAGATTGGATTTAAGCATGCTCAATGCACGATTGCTTTGGCGCACGCTGATTGGCTGATTCTTATCCAATCAGCGCTAGTCTATACATGGAGAAGCTTCTAGATTCTTCTTATGTAAAAAGCTATAAATATACTAACGGTTTTCCTATTTTGCTTCTTGCTTCTTGCTTCTTGCTTCACCTAACCTTGTTATTTGGAATATAATCTTCCTGCTCAATCGTGTTCTGATTTGGGGCCTTGTCGAGTGAATCTGTGACCGTGAATACTAAGCGATAGGAATAGCTGGGTTATAACCGTAAGAGCGAAAATATAACAGTGGCGACGAGGAAAAAGGAAAATAAATTCGATATGTCCATATCAGACGACCAACTTAACCGAATACTACAACAACAGCAACAACAATTAGATGCACAAATGCGGTTGTTAGAGACTCTGACTCAACAGCTTAGCTTCCACTGCTCGAGTTCACATGCCATTTCAAGTACGTCTTGTGATGCAGTTGCTAGCAGCATACCAGAATTCATCTATGATCCCGAAAGCGGAAATACTTTTCTCACGTGGTTCAAACGTTGGGAAGATACATTTAGAATAGAATTCTGTAACCAAGACGACGCGTGGAAGACTCGACTGTTGGTACGTAAGTTAGGAATTAATGAACATGCACGCTATGCTGACCATATATTGCCTAAGTTACCTCGAGAGCTCAGTTTCGAGGAGACGATAATTCAATTGTCAGAGATATTCGGTGAATCCTCCTCATTGTTTAGTATTCGACATCAGTGTCTAAATTTGGTGAAACGCGAAGCCGATGAATATGGTGTTTTAGCAGACATCGTCAACAGAGAATGTGAACGGTTCAAGTTACGCTCGTTGACAGAAGACCAATTTAAATGCCTAATATTCATCAAAGCTCTTCAGTCACCACAAGATGCTGAGATCAGGACTAGACTTTTGGCTCGACTAGATCAAGACCCAAACGTCACACTCAGAACGTTAACAGATGAGTGTAAGCGGCTACAAAGCATCAGACACGACAACAAGTTGATTGAACAGGTAAATCCTAATTTAACCTGCAGTAGTGTCAATGCTATTACTAGGTTAAAAGTTAAGAAGCCGATAACAACTCGTAATAAACCAACGACTGCATGCTGGTTATGTGGTGATTGGCATTATGTACGATTCTGTCCATTTAAAAAGCATATATGTCAGGTGTGCAGCAAACGTGGACATAAAGAAGGTCATTGTCCACCGAATCGTACGTCTCATCCCAAAAAGAAGCATAAACGTTCTCGACATGTGAAATCAGCCGAGTTTAAATCTCTTTCTCTGGTAGCTGCCTTTCAAACAAACTATGACATTCGGAGAAAGTATGTTACCATCCAGATAAACGGCATATCAGCTCGTCTTCAAATTGACACGGCATCAGATATCACCTTAGTATCTAGAGAAACGTATAACTTGCTGGGTAAACCGCCAATGAAGCCATCTAAGAAAACGGCCAAAAACGCATCAGGTGGTGTGCTAAAACTGGTTGGTGAATTACAGTGTGAATTTTCCTTCAATGGAACTAACTGTACAGGAATATGTTACCTAACAGAACGGCCAAACCTTGATCTTCTTGGTCTAGATATGTTAGATAAACTTGGAATAATGGATGTACCGATTAACAGTGTCTGCAACGTATTGTGTTCATCATTAGACACCCCAGTACTTGCAAAGAAGACAGGTGAAAGGTTACTAGAAAAACTGAAAAGAAAGTTTGCCTCCATAGCAGTAGACCCAGAAATACGAAGTATAGTGGCAGATGCCATTCGAAACACTCCAGTGTCGTCAGATGAAGTCAGAGAAGAAACTCTTCGAGACCCGATTCTACAAGAAGTTAGAAAGTTCCACCTGGAAGGATGGCCCACGAAGATCAGTTCCACAGAGCTTCAACAGTTTTACCAGCGTAGACTCTCTCTCTCAATCATCGACGACTGCCTGCTGTTTGCAGAACGTGTCATAATCCCAAAGAAGCTACAACCAGCAGTGCTTGAACAGTTGCATGCAGGACATCCTGGAATAAATCGCATGAAAGCATTAGCACGAAGTTATGTATACTGGCCGCATTTAGACACTCAACTGGAGCAGCTATCCCGTTCATGTACTAAATGTGCATTAGCAACGAAAGCACCGCGAAAAGCAGAGCTGCAATCATGGCCAATACCACAGTCACCGTGGCAGCGTATACACTTGGACTTTGCTGGTCCACTTCATGGACAAACTTACCTATTGGTAGTTGATGCATATAGCAAGTGGCCAGAAATCTTTCTCATGGAACACCCGACTGCAAGCTGCACAGTCAGTAAGCTACGTCAACTATTCAGTCGTTTCGGAGTCCCGGAATTGATAGTTAGTGACAACGGAACACAGTTTACGTCCGTAATTTTCTCACAATTTTGTCGGCAGAACGGAATCCATCACGTCCGAACACCTCCATTCCATCCCCAATCAAATGGTCAAGTGGAACGCTTTGTGAGTACATTTAAAAATGCTCTAAAAAAATCTAAAGGGGAGGGGACCACCGAAGAGATCTTAGAGAGGTTCCTGCTTATTTATCGCTCTACACCGAACCCTCAGACGATTAAGGGGGTCTCTCCAGCAGAAGCTCTACTTGGCAGAAAAATACGAACACATTTCGATGTCATCCGTCCTACGCCAGCTCTTGAGCCTCAACGAAACCTATCTATGGAGAATCAGTTCAATCGACATCATGGGGCACAAAAACGATTGTTCACGGTGGGACAAAAAGTACTTGCTATGGACTATCGTGAGAAACATCCTACATGGACAGCTGGTCGGATCTTGAAAAAGAAGGGGAGTGTGGTTTATGAGGTGTCAGTTGGCTCAGAAGTTTGGGTACGTCATGCTAACCAATTGAAAGCAACTTCGATAGCCAGCAACGAGATTCAATATCGATTACCTCTTGATGTTCTGCTAGACACCTTTGAAATCAAAACGCCTGGAACAGACAGGTCAGTTTCTGTGCAAGCAAAGAGTGATACTTCTTTATTGCCTAGACGATGGACAAATCGAAAGCACAGGCCAGTCACTCGGTTGCAGTTGGACCCTAGCACCAGATCCTACGAATCTGCTCAAAGGGGAGGTGTTAGTGGGACATAGATTGGATTTAAGCATGCTCAATGCACGATTGCTTTGGCGCACGCTGATTGGCTGATTCTTATCCAATCAGCGCTAGTCTATACATGGAGAAGCTTCTAGATTCTTCTTATGTAAAAAGCTATAAATATACTAACGGTTTTCCTATTTTGCTTCTTGCTTCTTGCTTCTTGCTTCACCTAACCTTGTTATTTGGAATATAATCTTCCTGCTCAATCGTGTTCTGATTTGGGGCCTTGTCGAGTGAATCTGTGACCGTGAATACTAAGCGATAGGAATAGCTGGGTTATAACCGTAAGAGCGAAAATATAACATCAAGTAAGCGAATCTGCACTTGGCTGTTGCCTATATTATTTAATCAATTAAGACATTCGGGTAAATGATGTCACTGAGTTTAAAACGATAGTTTATTTTTCGGTGAAATCAGATTTAAAATACATCTCGCTGTTTTCCTAAAGATATGGATAACACACTGACTGGAGTTCAAAAGAATTAGAAACTGTCGTTTTAACAGCAAGGTTTTTGCTGGGCCAGCAACTATTTCAACAAGTATCGATCTTAAGCATGAAGATAAACTGTCTGATTGTGAACTGATGTAATTAAGCTACAGAGCAACCAACGACCACTGAGAACTATACATCTTCCTAAAGCAGACATTTGTACGACAATTATACCCTCAATTAAGCACAAGTTTACCCGTTCCACATAAACAAAAAATTAATTTAGGATGGAAGGGATTTTTCTAAATTACTTTAAAGATGACAACGTTAAGTGAGTACTTAAGAAGTGAAAAATACTTAGAGTCTTGAGAGGGATTTCCACCTGTTAGGGTCCACAGATTGTCTAAGAAACAGTAGCAGAAACTCTACAAGAGACCAATCGGTCTTGACAGTTTCTTCCAGACTAAAAAGACCCTAGAAATCACATCCACCCGTTTGTCGCTAGGTGGTGCGATGTCAGTTCAACCTCCGAATTTCGGGGAATTTAATGGAAATTTTAGGTTTCTCCCTAAAGTCATATAAGAATTCGTAGTTCCCGCCAGTCTTGGGAGATATTGTGGAAAACCCAAAACTCCAATATAACTTGAAATTTTGAGGGGAAACCTTACATCAGTAGAAATTTCGTAGTTTTTGCTATATCTCGCCGCAAATTTTTAGTGCGCCTTCCCCTAAACCGGGAGATTGGGCAGGTAGACGCACAAAAAATTACAGTTTCAGTTTGGAAAGGACAGGAGGCTTGATGGCCTGTGTTAGTCCTGGCAATTGTGTTCTCTCAGTTGATCCAACTTTCTTTTGAAAGAATCTACAGATGGAGCTTCAACCACGTGTTGAGGTAATGAATTCCACTCGTTGATGTTTCGGTGGGAAAGTCGATAATCAGCTGACAAGTAATTTGTTCTGGGGTTGTGAACTTTTTTGGAGTGTCCTCGTAAATTCTCTGTTTTGGAAGACAGGAAAAATGAGGGCATATCAGGTGCAAATTTATCACTAAGCAATTTGAAAACTGTAATCAAGTCGCCTCTAGTTCTACGATATGACAAAGGAAATAGGTTTAGCTTGGCCAGTCGAGCATCATACGGAAGCTTCGCTATTACGGGAATCAGCTTAGTTGCTGTTCTCTGGACCTTTTCCAAAAGCTCACTGTCTTTTTTTAAGCAGGGGCTAGCCGCTTGTATGCAGTACTCAAGTTTAGGACGTACGAACACTGTATACAAAGTCAAAAACGTTTGAGCGTCGACATGAGTAAAAGCCCTACGTATTGACCATAAAGTTCTAAAAGCTTTGGCGGCTATTGCACGGCAGTGTGCAGTAGTCTTCCGATCTTGGCTAACGATGACTCCTAAGTCACTATGTGTCTGGACAACAGGTAGCTCAGTGTTATTCATCGTGTATGTATCTGAACCTTGATGACCGATACGCATCACAACACACTTGGAAGTATTTATCGGCAGCTGCCATGTATCAGACCATTCGGATAATTTCTTCAGGTCATTTTGGAGTTCTAAGCTATCACCCTTACATCGTATCGTTCTCCATATCTTGACATCGTCAGCATATAGCAAGACCGATGATGATAGTAAGCGAGGAAGGTCATTTACATACAAGAGGTATAGCACTGGCCCCAAAACTGTACCCTGGGGCACTCCACTAAACACAGTTTCCCAGCTAGATAATTTTGAGTTTACCCGTACTCTTTGTTGGCGCCCAACAAGGAAGTCTTCTATCCACGTCAATAAATTGCCTCCAATTCCAACATTTTTTAGCTTATATAACAGCCGGTTGTGCGGAACCTTGTCAAAAGCTTTGCTGAAATCAATGTAAGCCACGTCTACAGGTAACTTTTGGTCCTTAAAAACGCACCAGCTTTCTCGAGTGACTAATAAGTTAGTGAGACAAGAATCAGTCAGTCAGCTGCAACGTAGGACCAGGCACGTATATGCATCGGTCCAAGTTGCCATACCGCATTAGCACAACAAGATGAACACCGGATTCATAGGAGTAGTTAATTCAGTGGTGGTAATATATAGAAGAAAGATTGTGTATATGGAGATAGTACAGGAAGAAAGAATTAGTTCCTAGACAGATATGAAGCGATTTTAATCTCTTAATTTAAGGAAGACAGAGAGTGTATACACCGACGCCATTGTGATCGATTCTGAGCCATGTCACCAAGAGTCTCCAACCATTGGTTACGATAGTCACGCGGACCCCAACCAGGCAGTCTGAATCTCCCAACATGACTCAGACCAGAAGTTAGTGACTTCAAGCATTGATGCCACGTTTTGGTTTGGCCGCCCCTAACTTTCTTCCAATTATCCCCTGCACTAGTCAGCATTGCGCGTCGTGGTAATCGGTGTTCAGGCATACGCAACACGTGGCCCAACCATCTCAGTCGATGAAGATTCATAACCTCATCAACTGATTTACCATCATTCCCTAATACCCTGCGTCTAACCTCACTATTACTTACCCGGTGATCCCAGCAGATACCCGCAATATTTCTAAGGCACCTGTGGTCAAATACTAGTAACTTACGAATATCTTCCACTCTTAAAGGCCATGTTTCGCAGCCGTATAGAAGGACGGAACGAACTGCCGCGCAGTATACTCGTCCCTTAATTGATAGACGAATATCTCGCCTTCGCCATAGATGACGTAAGTTGGCAAAGGCCAAGCGAGCTTTTCGAATCCGTGCTGAGATTTCGTCAGACACCAACCCATTAGGGCTGATCAGACTTCCAAGATAAGTGAAGTTATCAACGCGTTCGACTACTTCACCCCCTATCCTTAGTTCAGGTGTTGATGCAGACCAGTCCTGAAGCAACAACTTGCATTTAGAGGGAGAAAAGCGCATCCCAAACAATCGGGCATTGTTGCTCAGTGCTAACAAAAGACTCTGCATTTCGTCAGCGTCTTCACCAAACAGGACTATGTCATCTGCGTATTCCAAGTCAATAAGTGGACCTCCTGGTAGGAGATCAATACCCGAGAAGTCAGTCGATGAGAGCGTTATTTCCATCAGGATGTCTATGATAAAGTTAAACAAAAAAGGAGAAAGTGGACAGCCTTGACGGACGCCACTTGAGGTTGCAAAAGCAGATGACAGTTCGCCATAGGCTCTGACCCGACTAGTAGTGTTCGAGTAAAGAGCCTTCACAAGGTTTATGTACTTCTGAGGTACGCCTTTCAATGACAGACACTGCCACAGAACCTCTCGGTCAACAGAGTCAAACGCTGCTTTTAAGTCAAGGAATACCACCATTGTCGGACGCCGATAAGTATGCCTGTGTTCTAGAACCTGACGAATGGTGAATATGTGGTCGATGCAGCCACGACCAGGTCTGAAGCCAGCCTGATTTTCACGTGTTTGCAGCTCACGAGTTTTAGTTAGGCGTCCGAAAATTATCGAAGCTAGTATTTTAGATACTATATTAGTCAAACTAATCCCTCTGTGGTTGTCACAGGATGATTTTGACCCTTTCTTAAATATTGGGACGATAAGTGATTGTGACCAGTTAGATGGAATAACGTCTAACTCCCAGATTTTAACTAAAATATTAGTCAACCTAATCGCTAAGACTAGACCACCATCCTTAAAGACCTCTGGGGCCAATCCATCTGGACCAGCTGCCCGTCCTCGTTTCAGATTAGCTATAGCCTTTTGAACTTCAGCTAGAGTTGGGGGACCTACTTCAATGTTCCATTCACACTGTCTGGGAATAGAGGGTAGTTGTAGAGTAGCTGAAGGCCAGCTAAACTGCTCCTTAAAGTGTTCCGCCCATCGTTCTAAGCGTCTGGACTGGGAGCAGATGAGAGTGTCGTCTTTTTCCGAAATGGTCTGACTTACACTTGATTTATTAATTCCAGTTTCTTTTATTAGTCTGTAGAGTTGTCTTGTATTCCCTATAGCCGCCGCCTTTTCCATCTCTTTTGCTTTCGTTGCCCACCACTGCTCACGATCATTCTTTAGACTTTTGCTTAATCTAGATCTGATTTCTTTACGCTCTTCATCGTATTCAGAACCTGATGGGATGAGTTTGCGAGAATCTATCAGTGCAATAGACCTTGACGAAATCCATTGGTTCTTTGTAACCCTGTGGTTTGAATCGCTAGTAGATGTCACTGCTGTTTCCACAGCTGCTTGTATAACTTTCCAAGCAACATCTGGGTCAGTCTCGTTTTCAGGACTACCTAAGTGTGACCTCAGTTGTTCCTGGAACCTACTTTTGGCTTTCTCATTACTCAATTCGGTTCTAATGAGTCTTTTTTGTGTGGCTCTTTTGCGTCCAGTGAGGCGCAAGCAGATGCGTGCTCGTACTAGGGCATGATCAGAGTCCAAGCAGGTACCCCAGAATGAGCGACAATCTTCTATTGACCCTCTCCAACGATGACTGATGGCAATATGGTCTATTTGAGTCCATCGTTGGTTTGGTGCAGGGGGTCGCCATGTTAGACGATGTCTCTCCTTATGCTTAAAATTTGTGTTTGCTAAAAATAAACGATTGTCTGAGCACAGTTGCAGCAGACGATCACCATTATCTGTTCGCTGTGCCGGAATACTAAAATACCCACCTAAATGTCTTTCTGTTTTGTTTAAGCTACCTACCTGGGCATTAAAGTCACCTCCTACGAGTACTATGTCTGAACGTTTAGCTTTCTGAAGAAGTTCAGACAGCATTCTGTAAAATTCATCTTTCACTTCATCCGAACTGCAGTCAGTGGGAGCGTAGGCAGAAACGACGAAAAGGCAACGACGTGTGTCCCTATCCTTCCGAGTTCTTACCGAGCCGTTTAGCCGAACAGCGCATAGACGACTGTTAACGGGGATCCATTCTAATAGCGCTTGTTCCGCCCTCATGCTAAGTGCTATGCCTACACCTGCCAGTCCACAAGAACTAGCCATCGGGTCGCCAGATACACGGAGGGTGTATCTCGTTGGCTCTCCGTTTTACCGAGGTGAGGTCAAGTGAATGACCACACTAGGATCCTGTATGCGTGTTTCGGAGACACAGCATACATCAATGGTACGAGATTCTAAGGTTTTAGCCAAGGAAGCCTGCTGACCGATTTGGCATAGTGTGCGTACGTTGAAGGCTCCAATGTGTAGTTTGGAGCGAGGTTTCAGTAGACCTGGGACAGTGTTTTGAGCATTAGAATCGTTGGCTGTGGTGACACTTGAGGAGGAAGCTAATAGAGGAAGTTTAGTGTATAAAGTCGATGTAGGAGGAATAATAGGAATTGAAGAGGGAGGTTGACTATGAATACAGTGGTCTTGAGTGCTGTTAGAGGTATGAGGGCGGTTATCACTTCCCGGTTGCCCACACCGTGGAAGGGTTCTTCTGGAGGTACCTGAAAAGGAAATTGGATTAGAGTTGGTCATTGTGACCTGAGAGCGTGACCGCAGTGCCCAAGGGACAGCTGCTTGAGGTCGGTCACACACGACCTTTTTATGAGTGATTTTTGTGTTAGCTCCGTACTTGTTGAGTCCTTACCGCCGGAGACGGATATCCGTGGGATAAGGCGAGGTGTGCATTTTTAGGGTCGACCTTTTCTAACCCCACCCCTCCTTGTGGGAAGGCAGCATCGCTGTCATGCTGGTTGTCTGAAGGAAACACCTTACTGCTGTCACACCTCTGTACAGTCAGCAGTACGACTTCGCCTTCGGACCTTGGTTTTGTTGCTTTTAGTCTTACCGCTCTTCAACCGACCTGTCTGGCATGGTAGGACCTTGAGGAACGGTTGTTCCAGCCAGTATAGCTCAGTTGCTTCATCACGATAGGCAAGCCCGACCACCACGTCAAGGTAGCAACAACGGTCAGGTGAGACAAGAATAACCTATTCTGAAACCGTGCTGTTTCTCCGAGAGGATTCGGTTAACATCGAGGTATTTAAACAGCTCTTTCCGAATAATCTTCTCTAAGATTTTAACAACCACACTAGTTAGGCTAACGGGTCGGTAATTCTCAGGTTTATGTTTCGTACCTGTTTTGAAGACAGGACTTACTATGGCGTTCTTCCAGTGTTTTGGTAAACGACCATGCGTAACGGATAGCTTAAAGCATATACTTAAAGGGTTCGCAATGAAGTTAGATAATTCCTTTAGTAGCCTAGGATGCAATTCATCGGGCCCCATGGATTTACCTATGTCAAACTTATTTAGCAGATCAAAGACATCGAGTTCATTTATGGTCACGCTATCCAGTGTATGTGTGCGGGGGTTTGTATGCGCTGACGGGAAGGGTGCTTCTATGGTATATACATTGCTAAAGTAGTTTGAGAACACTTGAGCCTTACCAAAGTCATCTTCCACTAATGATGCGGCAGTACTGTCTCCCCATAATGCAGGAATAATTCCTCTTCTTTTTAATACATTCTATGGATTCCTTAACAATTTTCTCTTCGTACAGCTTTCTAGACTTACGGAGGGTCGAGGCACAGGTATTCCTAGCTTTTCGGTACTGAGATTTCGTCTCATCAGTCCCCAGTAATCTAAATCTATCCCACATTTTTCTTCTCTTACGGAGAAGGATGCGGACCTCCCTATTGAATCATGGTGGGGAGTTTCTCGGCCCCCTTGGTATAGTCCAAGGAATGTGGGGTGCGGTAACTTTTAAGTATAAATTTCGGAATGCATCCCAAGCCGTTTCAATTGAGGACTCTGGGTCTATTGTCCAATCTACTAATGATGCCGAGTGCATGATATCTGGTATGCTTGCTTTCCAGACGTTAGGTCTGGATTGAGTTGACGCTTGCTCGTGATTGACAGTTATATGGAAGTCAAAAGTTAAAACTGCGTGATCACTTTTACCTAGGGGTGGCATGTAAAGGAGGTTCGCAACGTCATCCTCATAGTGAGTTAACATAAGATCTAGTAAGGATGATTCAGTGTCCGGATCGTACCTAGTCGCTTCTTTCACATGTTGCACTAGGGCACATGTTATAACCGCATCAACTAGTTCCTGCTCGAAGGAATTATCTGATGATTCGGTTCGCAGATTTCCCCAGTCTACCATAGGTGCATTAAAGTCCCCTAGGATTAGACATCGACCACTTCGCGACCAATTTTTGAGCCTGTTTAACAGGACATATTTATTTTTTATTTTAACACATAAGTATAGGTACAGAGAGGCACCAAGTACATATGCGCCACACAAATCTCAATTGATTTGTGTGAGGGCTGTGATACTGCCCGGGTGCCCAAACCGAAGCAGGTGGTTTTCTTAGGGGGCCACACCCCGAGCCTTCGACCTGAACGTCTGACCCACAAGGCAGTGGAGCATCGTAAGGAAATGCAGTCCCATGGTAGCCGGTGACCAACGATTGGTTCATACGCCATTTGTTCCTTCAGGATACTGGAGCCCATGTGCACCATTGGTTTGGGGTCCGGTTAAAGCGCCGGACATTCGCTTTTCGTCCTCTCATTTTTGTAAACAACACCCCAGCCACGAGAATGCAGTGAGTAGGACTTCCCTGGCAGAGGCCATGTGAGAGCATTTCGAGAGGGAGAGCGGACTCTCCCCACTCTCGGCCGTACCAGGGCATTTGGGGGCTTAACAGGACATAATGTACCTCACAGCTTGGACTGCGATAGACCAAACCAATTAGCAGCTCTTGCCCCTTGAATTTCAAGCGACAACTAACCAATTCACACGTCCCACTTTCATAGGATACACTATCAATAATGACAAACGGGATAGCATTCCTAATGAATAGAGCTACTCCCCCTCCTTTACGCTTATGTATTCTGTCGGTCCTTACTAAAGTAAAACCCTTAAAATCGAGTTCCATATTATCTATAGACTGTGTCAGCCAGGTTTCTGTGACTGCGATTATGTCTGGCTCTGTAGAGTCAATCTGTTCACCTAGTTCCGATAGCTTATTGAGCAAGCTTCGGGCATTAGTGTAACAGATCCGTAGCCTATTTAAGTGGCTTCGTGTTTCACCCAGAGTGGTTTCAAGTTCGCTAAACTACCTAGTCTATACACCTTTAGCAAGGTGACTCCGGAGATATTTTGAGGCATGAGTTGATTAAGTAGCTGTTTTATCAGAACAATGTCATGCTCAAAACGAGTTTTTGGTTCGGAGCTTTCGCTCTCCTTGATCCTATGAAAAATGACTGATCTGTTACTGTGATCAGCCTTCGATTTTTCGACTACTTTTGTGGGGGCAGGGTTCCCTTTTATATCGTTTTTCTGTTTCTTCCTCACAACCTGTACCCATTCGTCAACGTTGCTTGGAGAAGTAACCACAGTCGCGTCAAACACACTGTGGGATTCCGGAGGGTTTTCGATGACTTGGGAGGTCAGGTTTGGTGTCCCATTAGAAACTGATCGAGCCTTGCGGTTGCGGCTTCTATGTGTTTCTTTCTGGATACCATTTTGAGGACGTGGGACAGAAGAAACTTTTTCCCTTGAGTTTTTTGTGCGGACAGAACTCTTTGGGGACTGTTCTCCCTCCTTTGGTCGGTGCGAGTCATTTGTTTTCGAACTCACTTTAGTTTGCCTCACGCCAATTCGCGTGTCAACGGAGCGAGTACTTGATGATGTGTCGCGACCACTCTTGCCAAAAAAATTTTTAGCAGCACTAACCAATGAGATGGCCTCGGTTAGCAAGCTGTTAGCATCCGAACAGCACTGTTGACAGAGCCATAAGCAACCATTCCTACTGAACCGTTTGAAAGCTGCAGGCGTTAAATTTGTGCAAACTTCGTGGTACCAGTCTTTGCACTCATCGCACTGCATGCCGCTTTCAACAGGATAACGACATTATTGTTTCTGCCAACAATCCGTCAATAAATATAGATGGGAGGGAATACAGTTTCCGCAACATTCCTTGAGTCTCTAAGACATCTTAATGCGTGGAAAATGTTATGAATACCTAATCTCCCTATTTTTGGGCTTTTGTGCCATTTCCCCACAATTTTCTATTGCGGCTTTCCCAAAATGAGGAGACTGGGTACATAACGGTTACTGTTACAATATTTACAGCCAAACTGTTCAAAGAGAATAGAGCAGACCAATCTGACTTGCTCTAATGCTAGAGCTCCGTATATTTCTAAAAGAAGCCTGTGACTAGTAAGTAATGAATAGATCATGGACCACAAACCGTCGACGTCTAGTTTCGAACAAATTTGTCATCTATGAGTACAATATAACTTTTCTCCAGTTTTATAATGTAGGTAAGAAACAGGTATTATAAGCAGACATTCTAGCAGTAGAATTACCTTTAATATCTTGAATGTTAATTTACGGCCTACCAGGAGGAACTTAACCCAGTGATTATTGGCGCCTGTGGCGGGTATTTTGAACTCGTTCTCAAATGGTTGTGGACGGAATAGAAGAAGCTTTCGCTTAACGGGCTTCTGTGTCTAGTAGCAGTGAATCACCGATAACTCCAGGCAGGAACCTAGACGTATTAATGATAAAAGAGGAAAAAGAAATTGGTAAATCATAGTAAAATAATATCCTCAGTCCTTAAGAACATATCAAGTTTCCTCTTAAATGACTCGTAGGAAATCACATGGACAAGCTCAGCCAGCTGCGAATTCCAGCATTTGACAACTATTAAGGAGTAAAAGTTGTGTCTACAGCCCGTTATGCTATGTTGTATCTCCAATTTCCGGGTGTCACTCCTTAGGTTAGTATTGGATTAAGTGTTTACAGGGATGTCTAGAAGTGTCAAGGATACTATAACCATCAGAAGGTAACCTCTAAGACTCCTATACTCTAATGGGCAAAGGTTAAGTGATTGGAGGAGCTCTTCGTAAGGTTAAAATTTGAGTCCACGAACTGATTTCGTGGCTCACAGTTGAAACTGTAGTCTGCGACATGTCACAGATGGACTACTTTACACTTTGGAGTGTTAAAGGTAAGTACGTTGTCATCTGCCCAACTTTGAAGTCAAGTCAGATCCTCCTGAAGTGCCAGTACATCCTCTTGGTTGTGTATCTTTCTCCAGAGTTTCACATCAGCAAAAAGTAATGAGCCAGACGATACCTGTTGTGGAAAATCATTTATATAAATCAAGAAGAGAAGATCTCTTAATACTGAACCCTGGGGGCCCCACTAGGGCATTCCATAGCCTGAGAGGAAGTGAAGTTTACCCTGGTCTTAAAATGTCGATCTTTTAAATATGAAGTGAGCCACTCGATTAGAGGTGATTTGATACCCTATCGTTTGAGCTTATGTATAAGACATACATGGATGACCCTATCAAAAGCTTTTGAGAAATCAAAGTGAATGATATCAACCTTTTGAGGGAGTTTTGTTCTCTGAGCTAGATGGTTTGGTCGTGGTGCTTTCATCGTTCTTCTGAACGACATCATCAGCACAAACTTCAGACAGATATCAACCTTCCCCTTGCGATCAAGGATGGATGTTTATCTGTCCACGGCAGTCAGCAGGTTGTTCATACAAGAATGACTTTGTTGAATTCAATATTCCAAACGAGGTCCCACGAAAGTCGGGTATAGAATTCTAAACATCCAAATACTGAAAAGACCTACGAATAGCCTGTGGTATTTAACAGCAGCAACCTCACAGTGACTAGTAGTTTTGAGCTGTCTTCGTTACTCCCTAACCAACCATATGGAACAGATTCCTAGTAAAATTCTGTTGCAGTGAAACTATGACCCAGTCAAAAATTCTCCTTGATGACCTTTCTGAAAGTGACCTGTAACACTAATTAAATATCCATGTGATTAACAATGATCTATACAAACAAGGTCTAATATCTATCTGATTGACTGTAGAGCAAAGTAGAGCATTTGAAACTTAGTTTACTTTCTTTTCATTTAAACATCTGAAGTCCGCTTATGTCCATATTTGTTATTGTTGCTATTATTGATATGATCGATCCCCCAGATACATCGCATACTTGTTTTTTCACTGCTTTTTCTTCCTTCTCTCTCTTTTCCTTCTAGTTAATTATGCTTCTAAACATCCAACGATTATAACTAAGAACACATCTTGTGTTACACTTACAAATTACTATTTGACGATTTTTCTGTGCAGCTAACCTAGACTTTCATGGCATCATTCCAAATTAATACTGCACAAACTTTTACTCTACCGTTAAATCTTACTGCATCAACGATTTTTTCCCATTGATTTTTTGATCCATTTGGTAGTACACATATTACTGTTTATTTTCACTGTTTTCGCAAATAAACTTATTTACTTATTTACATGTTTAGCGTTTCATACCTTCATGTTTTCTCTTGAGTCTCGGACCGATATTCTTCTTAATTCTACAGAACCTGTTTAAATATGGCGAATATAATGCAAACATTGTTGAAACCTGTGTATAACGACATTCCCGAAGAAACCCGAGGTGATTTCTTCACAACACTTATGCACTAATAATCTGTTTGTGGATGATGATCGTAATAATAAACCCAAGAAATTTTATAGGAATCTTAGTTACAATATTCACACACATTTTAAATTGTTCTTAACTTTTCTGAAACTTCACGCACTGCCACAAAAGATGATAACTGACACATCTTTTTGTTACAGACCATTATAATAATCCATGGTGATAGATTCGTCACAATTTTCTTCGGTGTATTCGATTGTCTTATTTAGTGATGTTTCAACTGCAATCACTGGTTTGGCAACTTCACATACGTTTTTGTTAAAACGTTAAACCGTACGTTATTTGTTATTACACCAATAATTATGAGTTGGGTTGCACTTTCCAATTATGAATTTCCCTCTTTAATCTAAATTTAATCAAATTTACAGCCTGTATACTTCGCTAAAACTTCGCCAGGAGCCCCCTTGAAGCCACTGCCGGTCCCAAGCCCGTATAAAGGAGAGGGGTTGAGCACGGGGTTAGCGACTCCAACCCGTATAAAACTAACTCGCTAAAAAACGCTAACCACATGAAATAATTCAAACCATTGAAACTCTGCCCTGCGATTTAGAAGCTCATCATTTAGAAGAGTTATGACGCCTCATGGTGAAAGCCGAGTTCCATCGGAATTCACGAAACCGATGCCCCTTCTTACAACCAGAGCAACCTTTTATTTAGGCACATGGAATGCTCGTGCAATGTGGGAGACTGGGAGAGTTTTCCAAATTGCTGCAGAAATGAGGAGATACAACCTGGAGATGCTTGAGATTAATGAAACATATTGGACACATGTTCGATAACAACGACTAGCTTCAGGGGAGCTGCTGTATTACTCCGGACATGAAGAAGAAAATACTCCACAAACACAAGGAGTCGCATTGATGCTATAAAAACAGGCATAAAAGTACTTATAGGACGGAAATCTCATGGACAGAGGATCATCAAAGCCTCCTTCAAAATAAAGAAAGAGGGCAATACTATGAACGTTATCCAGTGCTATGCGCCTACCAACGGCTACAATGAAGACGTTAAAGATCGATTATACGATAGGCTGCAGTCAGTCTTCGAGAAGTGTCCAACATAGGACTTGACCATTCTGATGTGAGATCTAAATACCAAGGTTGGAATGGACGACACCGAATATGAAAACATCATGGGACGACACGGACTGGGAGAAAGGAACGAAAATAGTGAGAGATTTGCAAACCTATGTGCCTTCAATAAACTGGTCATAGGTGGGACTATATTCCCACATAAACGCATACACAAAACCACATGGACTTCACCGGATCATAGCACACAGAACCAAATCGACCATATCTGCATCAACAAAAAGTTCAGGAGGACGATGGAGGACGTGAGAACCAAGAGAGGAGCTGATATAGCATCAGATCATCACTTGCTGGCCGCCAAGATGAAATTAAAACTCAAGAAGTACAGGAAAACGGAGCGGACAATGACAAACTCAACAATTTCAAGATAACCCTCAGTAATAAGTTCCAGGTCTTTCATGATCTACTCAATGGAGAGGGAATTACTGTAGAGAACAACTGGAAAGGTATAAAATAGGCAATCACTTCAACATGTTTTGAGGTTCTGGGCCATAAGAAATGGATCAATGTTGATACACCGGATAAGATTCAAGAAAGGAGGAAATTTTTTCCCGTTACATTTTTTAGAGGCTTTTGATTTTTTTGTCTGGAATAATGTGTGGTTTGTAGATGTGTTAGCTAACGTATGAAGGATAGATGTATCAGGTCAGAAGCGTTTACATCTGAAAAAGCGATTATGATTTGTTCACGAACCTTCATCGATTGGTCATCTTGATAGGGATTTGAATCATTCAAATGAACTACCAAAATCTGTCTCAACTTACAATCGTACGTGTTCTAGTGGGTTACAGGGTTAACTCTGCAGATGACTCGTTGCAAGGGCTTGGTTGAGTAAGTCATCTAGTCGTCGAGAATTGGCCACTTGTGCAGAAGGGATATCAGACGTTCTACTGGAATATGTGATGAGTGTTTGACATAGCCTGCCAAACTATTGTGAAAGATTGCGTGGGATGGGTTCGTCCGAGATTCTGACGCTAATGTTTTCGGTTTGTTACTGTAACTAGTCATAGTTGTTGCATTGTGATTCTAACAATTAAGGACCACAAGTTTGGGGAGCGTGGTCGAAGTTGAGCCTACTACGTAAGGTCAACAGGTTGACCAGTCTTCAAACGGTAAGTATATATTTGTTTTACAACAGTATGTCTATCAGTAGGTGTCTTCCTGTAGAGATTTTTGGTCTCTGTATCGTACATTAGCCATGTCACTTGCAAATGTTGGAGACTATAATTCCCTCTTTATGATTGATAGGTCCAATCTTAGCTCCGTTGAGTTACACTTGTATCATTACTTGATTTCGTTCGTAACTAGCTTCTGTCCTCGATTCTACTCGACGTGATTTTGACTGCAAGTTCAGTGAGTCTTAATCCAAAGAATTGTTAAGGAGTATACGATGTTGGATGTCCTTGTCATAATCAATTGTTCAGCAGTTGTATTGAGATTCAGTTTAGATTCAGAAAGCTTCAATTCAGTAGATTAACAAATCGATGTGACACCTGTCGGCAATTAGTCACGCTGACGTACATCTTTTGATTTGAATTATGTGTGTGTGGTGTATAATTTAGTAGTTCGTAGGGTCCATATAGGTGCATTGATATACAAGGTCTACCATAATGTTACTTCTTGTGGTTATGCTGTAGACCACAAACAAGCCTCAATGATTGTTTGCAGTTAACTACTACCACATTTTAGTTAATATTTTTATATCTTGAGGTTTCTGTTTGTTGCTCAAATCTCAATATGCACCAACTTCTCACGTATATCTTTCCAAGGTCTAGATTAAACTACAAACGGACGATTCTTCGATAAGTTTCTACATGGCGAAGACGCTGTCAAATACAGTCTCCTGATCTTCTTAAGAAACAATGCAACCGTGTTCGTGATGAAAGTCCCCTTGTAGTGCACAATGTTGCTTCAGGGTTGAGCTGCATAGGCACCCGAACTAATGATAAGGAGAGAAGTAGTCGGGCGTGTCCACCACTTTACATGTTTAGGTAGTCCTTTGTGGCCTAGTGTGCGACGAGATCTTAGCACGGATAGAGAAGGCTCGACCAGATTCCGCCAAATTGCGTCATTTATGGCGTAGGCGAGATGTCCGTCAGCGAACCAAAAGACGGGTTTACTATACAGCACTTTGGTCCGTCCTAATATATGTAGTTGTAAAACATGGCTAGTAATGGGAGAGGATATTCGTAGGCTACTGGCATTCGACCATATGTGTCACTAGAGCGTCGCTCGTATATCTTGGTACCACCGAGTTAGTAATCCTTTTATTAGGAAATGGGTACTAGGTAAGGATGGCAAATCAAATGTTGCAGCCTTCGAATTTGAACGACACGTCGAAATAGCTTTCGTTGTACAGGTATATGTACTATGTGTTCCCTCATATTCTAGTATGTGTTCTTCATGTTACTTTTTCCTCTTCCCAAACGTATTTTAATGCTTTGTACTCCTCGAATGACATCCCCAAACCCTAATATTCCAGATTACTGCTTACATTTTACTGCATCTACCACTATGAAGTTTGAATCGACGTTTTTATCTTTATGCAATTGTGGTATGGCATCTCGAACTGATGTGCGTATATACGAAGCATTACCTCGTTGCCGACTTACTGGACGATCCTTAATGATGAATTAATACTGCTGGTAGTTTATCAACCTTCCTCACAGATTTTCGCTTTGCTTAAAGCATGTAATTTTGTGTTTCAAGACCTAAATGCTAGCTCTCGGGAATGTTTTTAGTGTAACAGTGGAGAAATTTTGGAATACACTGGAAGTCCGTACTCATACTGTGCCATTATGTAGTGGGATTCGCTTTTCTTGACGTGTACGTGGTATAATTAGTGCTTGCTGTATTATCCTGAGGTTTCAGTTTTCATGGAGTACAACTGAACCTTGTTCGTGTTATTGACTTGAGAAGTAGCTTTTCCAAACTTGCTGTCAAGAGATGACAATTATTGAGAGGGATTGGGCGATATTCATATACTTCAAATTATGGTTTTTCCATCATTAATAGCTAACACGTCTGGCACGACTTCATGGACAACCGAAGTTCATATTGCTACCTGAGGCACGTACGTCGTTATTTTTAATTAAGCACTGACCAATATGCCCTAGATTCATATATTTGCGTTCCATAATCATTGTGTTAATAGCAGACAGGTTTGATGCCTTGCGCAATGAAGCAAAGTTGCCATAGTTTGACTTGGACACCTATTAGTAGTGTAATGCAAGTGAAAAGATAAAAGTTATTTGCAAAGTTCACCATGTTGTTGATCATAGTAAAGTAATTCAGCAAGTGGTCTTAAATACGTGGTTGGATAGGTAAACTGAGTAGATAACCTGCAGACGCTAAATGGATGTGCTATTTTGTTATTATGAGAAAGTTGGTCTACTTCAGCTCTGCATATTAAATAGAACAGGAATATCTACTGTACGTCATACTCGAGGAACATGAACTTGTCTGCAAGCACGAGCTAGTCAGTACACTGCGTAACAAAACATGAAGGCGTTCGGGATAATTGTCAACTCATAATTCCCACTAAATAGTACTTTACGTAATCATATGCTTACCACATGGACTCGGGATTATTCTATTTGAATTGATTTTCAACTAAATGCTACCTAAAAAATATTTATGAATCTATTGTAGTTGTCTCAGTTATGATTATCAGCTAGGACAGTCAGAAATTGTTAATTTCCTATGTTGTACTACATTCCTTTTGCTGGGGTTTGCGTCTGATAGTGAAGCTTTATGTTATGCATGGTCTGATTTGCATCACTAATTTCTGGATTCAGTATCCATTATGCTACGTTAGGACCTCGAATAACTCAGGTCCATTAGTTTGAAATCGTTGCCGTTGATAATTTAATATTCAAAATATTTTCATTTAAGCTTTTGCTTATGTTGTTTCTTTTAAATTAGATGTTGCCATCTAAAATGATATACAACCCACGGTTCATATATCCGTCGTTAAATTTAGTTGTCCAGATCAACAAACATCAGAAGTAAAGGAATAACTGGACACTGACCAACAGCCGTTCAACCTAATGACGAGCGATGCACGTTACTGTAAAATAGGTTTGTAACCACAAGAAAAATCAAAAGGAATAGATAATACAATAGTGCGGAACTTCAGTTGTTGCTGATTCACTCATTAGCACTAACATTAGTCGCCCGCCCATCCCGTAGAAAACTAACTCGCTAAAAAACGCTAACCACATGAAATAATTCAAACCATTGAAACTCTGCCCTGCGATTTAGAAGCTCATCATTTAGAAGAGTTATGACGCCTCATGGTGAAAGCCGAGTTCCATCGGAATTCACGAAACCGATGCCCCTTCTTACAACCAGAGCAACCTTTTATTTAGGCACATGGAATGCTCGTGCAATGTGGGAGACTGGGAGAGTTTTCCAAATTGCTGCAGAAATGAGGAGATACAACCTGGAGATGCTTGAGATTAATGAAACATATTGGACACATGTTCGATAACAACGACTAGCTTCAGGGGAGCTGCTGTATTACTCCGGACATGAAGAAGAAAATACTCCACAAACACAAGGAGTCGCATTGATGCTATAAAAACAGGCATAAAAGTACTTATAGGACGGAAATCTCATGGACAGAGGATCATCAAAGCCTCCTTCAAAATAAAGAAAGAGGGCAATACTATGAACGTTATCCAGTGCTATGCGCCTACCAACGGCTACAATGAAGACGTTAAAGATCGATTATACGATAGGCTGCAGTCAGTCTTCGAGAAGTGTCCAACATAGGACTTGACCATTCTGATGTGAGATCTAAATACCAAGGTTGGAATGGACGACACCGAATATGAAAACATCATGGGACGACACGGACTGGGAGAAAGGAACGAAAATAGTGAGAGATTTGCAAACCTATGTGCCTTCAATAAACTGGTCATAGGTGGGACTATATTCCCACATAAACGCATACACAAAACCACATGGACTTCACCGGATCATAGCACACAGAACCAAATCGACCATATCTGCATCAACAAAAAGTTCAGGAGGACGATGGAGGACGTGAGAACCAAGAGAGGAGCTGATATAGCATCAGATCATCACTTGCTGGCCGCCAAGATGAAATTAAAACTCAAGAAGTACAGGAAAACGGAGCGGACAATGACAAACTCAACAATTTCAAGATAACCCTCAGTAATAAGTTCCAGGTCTTTCATGATCTACTCAATGGAGAGGGAATTACTGTAGAGAACAACTGGAAAGGTATAAAATAGGCAATCACTTCAACATGTTTTGAGGTTCTGGGCCACAAGAAATGGATCAATGTTGATACACCGGATAAGATTCAAGAAAGGAGGAACAAGAAGGCAGCGATCAATGCCAGCCGAACAAGAGCAGAAAAAGCCAAGGCACAAGCTGAATACACAGAAGTAAACAAGCAAGTGAAGAAGAGCATCAAAACCGACAAACGCAAATACGTGGAAAATCTAGCAATGAAGGCGGAAAATATTGTAAAGGAAGGAAACATGAGACAATTGTATGATACAACAAAGAAACTCGCTGTAAATTATCGTAAATCGGAACGGCCAGCGAAAAGAAAGGAGGGCAAAGTGATTACCAACACTTCAAAGGACTCTTGAGTCGACCAGCCCCACTGAATCTACCCAACATTGAACGACCACACACGGACCTCAATTTACCGATGAATTCGCATGCTGTTCCCTACTTATAAAATTGCGGTTCAATACCCAATTAAGAGAAAATTGCTGGTCTATTCCATCATATGTTATGCATCTGGGAAAAGCTTGCCATATTGAGCGCCGTCAAGTTAACTAGTCTAATCAAGAAGTGGATAAAAATGCAGTAACAGTTCGTCACGTACATATGTACAACTTTCATCACCGTTACTGATGGTTGAAATCGTGGCATAATTATTCGTCTCATCAACTTCATGAGTTTAAAAATGTCACCGACATACAGATCATAACAACGCCGTTGTCTGAAACTCCTTCTAACACAAGGATTCGTATGCCAGTTAAATCAAAAGTTGAGAATAGAGGGATGCAAAAATATATGTGGATAAAGGTAAAAGTGTTAGTGTGCATGCAATATAAACTGACTTGTGGTACGAAGAGACTAGTAAGATAGAGCAAATGCCTAATCAAGAGCCTTGAGCTAAAGATACGTACTGTAAAATTAACCAGATCAGTGTCAGCGTCAAATACCTACGAAACTACTTAAGTTGTAAATCTACCTATCACTACAGGCTTTCCAATCCAAATAATAATAATCCTTTCGTCAAGTTAATTTATATGATCCTACAAGACTGATCAGTTTATCCAGAATGATGTTTGTAAAGCTACAACAGCCATACTAGCCATCATGAAGATTCAATTATCAGATATGAGCTGTTGATCTCCAGTCTTGAACGTATGACTAATGAGGCGTTCTAGGCTTTTTGAGAGGTTAGTTTTAGTCTAGAACATGCTAGAAAATAAACTATTTGTTAAGAGGTAGGCAGTTCAGCAGACTATGCGTGAGGTTTTTGGGCAATCGAAGGACTTTCCATTATGACAAATAATGACTCCTTAAACTATGCCTCAATGATATTGTCTTGTTACCTTTCGGTTGTCATCATACGTAATAAGACTTTTAAGGTAATAGCGAGCGTTATCATGACCCCACTTCTGGATTTGAACGAAACCATGAAGGTGGACTCCATTAGGAAGTGGATAACAAGCGTACCATGCTGAAAAATACTGAATATAGACAGTACTAAGGCATGTGAATCTACGGTTTCAGTCCGGGATTCACATATCAACTCAAATCAGACTATGGGGAAGCAAAGTGATGTGTGATCAAGAGACAAAATAAGGTACCGAATTAGCTTACAGTCACACTCAGAATAATAAGAGTTGGGAAACAGAGGTAGACCTCTGTGTCTGACGCCAAATCGGAATGGGATTGCAGGGAGGAGATTTAAGGAATTGAAATTCCATTTGTTAAGATGGACCACGTTGACAGGTCAGTCATTTTTCGTATGTTATGAGGATCTTTCGAAAAAAGACCAAAGGCTAGATTTCAGCACGACCTCAGTTACGTTAATTCCTTAATAAACAAGCTACTCCCAGAAACGGTTTCAGGAGTTAGCATCGGCAAGCTTTATAGAATAGGACAGAAGGTGGATCCTAAAAGTGCTCAAAAGCCGCCTCTTGAAGGTCACCTTTGATTCGGCTGAAGAAAGGAACCTGATACTGGGAAACTGATTGGATACGGGATATACGTCCGTGAGGATCTCAGTCTGGTTGGCCATATTAAGAGATGATCGATTGACGTAGAAATAAATGAGTGCCGCCGAAACAGTGAGAAAAATCTTATACTACAAGATCTTCAAATTGTATTCGTTTGGAGCAAAACGATCCTTAAACCACTCTGGGTGGTAGGGGAAAGTTTTACACCGAATTAGAGGCGTGCTACTCGAATGCTTGCAGCCTATTAAATAAAATGGCGGAGCTCAAGACATTGACGGATACAAAAAACCCGGATGTCATTGCTGTCTCGGAAACATGGTTAACATCAGACGTTTTCAGTAATGAAATTCAATCGACTGGATTTTTATCCAGTAGAGCTGGTAAATTAAACCATTGGGGAGGTACAGTGGCACAGTATTTAGAGACATGTGAACTGGTATGTTGCAGGTTGAAATTTAGACAGTAAGATATTGAATTACTTGTGGTATACTGCAGTCCAGAATGTGTAGTAAATGACTTCTTCCTAAGCAAATTCAAGTAATGGTGTAATAGTGGTAAATGCCGTATATTGTGCGACTTTAATCCGCCGTATATAAACTGTGTAAACTTAGAAGTACAGTCATCGACAACGTCGTCGGATTGCAAATTGTTAGAAACGACAATTGCCTCAGCTTTATTTCAGCACATTAGAAATCCCACCAGATATGAATTACGAAGCCCCTGGTTTTTCTTGAAATAAGCGTATAATTAAGATCAGGGAGGCTCAGAGAAGATATGCAATGCAGCCAAAGAGACTATTCCCGTATGTAAATTACAGATTAAGGTTGTGGCATTGGATTACTAACCCAATTGAAGTAGGGAGTGGATCTCAAATGAAAGAGGGTGATTAGGAAAAAGCAGAGGCTATGGCTAACTATTTCGGGGCAGTTGCCATTCTGGAGCCTCTTTTAGATGAACTAAACCCAAATACAAAGTCAACAAACCGTCTCCCTAACGTAAACTTTGACCCAAACAATGTACTTTAGACACGAAAAAGTCAACAGAACAGGATGATTTACACTCTAAAATCCTGAAACAAATATTACAATATATCGCGGCCCCACTAACAGTGATATTCAATATGTCACTTGGCTAAAGTGTTTTACATATGAACTGGAAGTATGCAATCGTCAATCTCATACATAAAACAGGACCAAGAAAACTTCCATTGAGCTACAGACATATCAACCTCACCAGTGTCGTAGTTAAAATACTGGAAGGAATAGTCAAAAACCATCGAGTTAGATACTTTCATGTTCACTACATTTTACACAACCTTAGTGAGAACTAAGCTTGGAATCTGCGTTCCGGCAGCAAGCCCCTGTTTAAAAGGCGACTCGGATATCCTGGAAAAAACACAATGGGCCGCTATCCATGTAATTCGGTGGCTTACTATACAAAGAGCGGCTTAAAAAGTTAGACCTTTTTTCACTGTCTTGTCGCAGACTAAGAGATGATGTGATTTTGATGTATGGAATACTAAGAAATGATTTTCGACCTAATATATCCTCTCTTTTTCTTTTCACCAGATCGGGACATCTTAGAAGACATAGCAGAAGAGTAGAAAAGCCAAGAACGAACAAATTACTCGTGACATACAGTTTTTCGCCCCGAGTCATCAATTCTTGGAACCTCTTACTCGAAGCAGTGGCGTCCGTATCTTCAATTGACTCATTCAATAAAAGACTAGATACTCACAAAAACATATTAGAAAAGGAATAACATAGGCTGTAACTCTTTTGCCCTTGCTACACAAATTTGAGATCTGAATCTGAATTGGACATTCATTTCATATGCTAAATGAGTTGCAAATATATTGGAGACTGAGGTTTTCTACTTAGTCAAACTTTAATTAGAAACTAGATTTTTAATGATTTTTAGCAACCATGAATCGATTGACCACCATCTTGTTCTTTGTTTATTCGCTTGTAGGTGAACTTGTTTCCTGTGAACCGTTAGGTCTCAGTGGTCTGTTGAGAGTTAGAGTGTAAGGTCTGTCAGTGTACCCTCAAGATGTCGGACGATTGTTATAAGTGTGGACGTCCTGGTCATTATGCTCGCGATTGCCAAGCTGCCCCAAGAGGTGGTGGTAGAGGTGGAGGCGGAGGTTATCGCGGTGGACGAGGCGGTGGTGGTGGAAGAGATCGTGACAACAACGATGGCCGTCGAGGTTAGTGTAGTTTTTGATTTTTTATGGTCTTGTAAACACAATATTGCAAGTAAATTAGTTATTAGTCATGTGACACTTAGAAATGTCTCATAGCTAAACGATCAGTTGCGTACGCTTAGTTTTTTATGTTTGCAGACGGCTGTTTCACCTGCGGTGGGCTTGATCATTTTGCTCGAGATTGTACCAGTGGTCGCGGACACTATGGTGGAGGTGGAGGAGGTGGTTACGGGGGATATGGTGGTCGCGGTGAGTTTGATGCGTTCTGCGTAATATCTGAGTGCACGTCTGGGCATCATGTGTAGTTGATGTGTCAGAAGGAGTGATGTTAGTTGTGTGGTTAGTGTAGATTGTTTTGCGATCCCAATGTTGCAACTGAGTATGCCTAAGTATTTGTTTGTATATTGTAGACAAATGTTACAACTGTGGTGGGACGGGACACTTTGCACGAGATTGTACAAATGATGGACAGCGAGGTGATAGTGGCTATAATGGTGGTGGTGGCGGTGGTGGTGGTCGTTGTTACAATTGTGGTGAGTCAGGTCACATCGTTCGAAACTGCCCAAATAATAACAGAAATGACATGAGCGATACGCTATGCTACAGGTATTGAATCGATGTGATGTACTGTAACTTTGCTTTAGATGTAATAAATATGGTCACTTCGCGAGAGACTGTACGGAGAGTGGAGGTTCTGGTCCTCAGTGCTATAAATGCCATGGTTATGGTCATATAGCAAGTCGATGCAATGTGGAGGCGTGAATGAATACCTATTGAGATGGTGCTTAAAGTCGTAGTGCCCCGGTACACTTTCGCCCTGCACTCACGACAAGGCGAATGCATTAAACTGAAATATAAGCTTCCTGATAAACTTTTTCCCGTTACATTGTTTAGAGGCTTTTGATTTTTTTGTCTGGAATAATGTGTGGTTTGTAGATGTGTTAGCTAACGTATGAAGGATAGATGTATCAGGTCAGAAGCGTTTACATCTGAAAAAGCGATTATGATTTGTTCACGAACCTTCATCGATTGGTCATCTTGATAGGGATTTGAATCATTCAAATGAACTACCAAAATCTGTCTCAACTTACAATCGTACGTGTTCTAGTGGGTTACAGGGTTAACTCTGCAGATGACTCGTTGCAAGGGCTTGGTTGAGTAAGTCATCTAGTCGTCGAGAATTGGCCACTTGTGCAGAAGGGATATCAGACGTTCTACTGGAATATGTGATGAGTGTTTGACATAGCCTGCCAAACTATTGTGCAAGATTGCGTGGGATGGGTTCGTCCGAGATTCTGACGCTAATGTTTTCGGTTTGTTACTGTAACTAGTCATAGTTGTTGCATTGTGATTCTAACAATTAAGGACCACAAGTTTGGGGAGCGTGGTCGAAGTTGAGCCTACTACGTAAGGTCAACAGGTTGACCAGTCTTCAAACGGTAAGTATATATTTGTTTTACAACAGTATGTCTATCAGTAGGTGTCTTCCTGTAGACATTTTTGGTCTCTGTATCGTACATTAGCCATGTCACTTGCAAATGTTGGAGACTATAATTCCCTCTTTATGATTGATAGGTCCAATCTTAGCTCCGTTGAGTTACACTTGTATCATTACTTGATTTCGTTCGTAACTAGCTTCTGTCCTCGATTCTACTCGACGTGATTTTGACTGCAAGTTCAGTGAGTCTTAATCCAAAGAATTGTTAAGGAGTATACGATGTTGGATGTCCTTGTCATAATCAATTGTTCAGCAGTTGTATTGAGATTCAGTTTAGATTCAGAAAGCTTCAATTCAGTAGATTAACAAATCGATGTGACACCTGTCGGCAATTAGTCACGCTGACGTACATCTTTTGATTTGAATTATGTGTGTGTGGTGTATAATTTAGTAGTTCGTAGGGTCCATATAGGTGCATTGATATACAAGGTCTACCATAATGTTACTTCTTGTGGTTATGCTGTAGACCACAAACAAGCCTCAATGATTGCTTGCAGTTAACTACTACCACATTTTAGTTAATATTTTTATATCTTGAGGTTTCTGTTTGTTGCTCAAATCTCAATATGTACCAACTTCTCACGTATATCTTTCCAAGGTCTAGATTAAACTACAAACGGACGATTCTTCGATAAGTTTCTACATGGCGAAGACGCTGTCAAATACAGTCTCCTGATCTTCTTAAGAAACAATGCAACCGTGTTCGTGATGAAAGTCCCCTTGTAGTGCACAATGTTGCTTCAGGGTTGAGCTGCATAGGCACCCGAACTAATGATAAGGAGAGAAGTAGTCGGGCGTGTCCACCACTTTACATGTTTAGGTAGTCCTTTGTGGCCTAGTGTGCGACGAGATCTTAGCACGGATAGAGAAGGCTCGACCAGATTCCGCCAAATTGCGTCATTTATGGCGTAGGCGAGATGTCCGTCAGCGAACCAAAAGACGGGTTTACTATACAGCACTTTGGTCCGTCCTAATATATGTAGTTGTAAAACATGGCTAGTAATGGGAGAGGATATTCGTAGGCTACTGGCATTCGACCATATGTGTCACTAGAGCGTCGCTCGTATATCTTGGTACCACCGAGTTAGTAATCCTTTTATTAGGAAATGGGTACTAGGTAAGGATGGCAAATCAAATGTTGCAGCCTTCGAATTTGAACGACACGTCGAAATAGCTTTCGTTGTACAGGTATATGTACTATGTGTTCCCTCATATTCTAGTATGTGTTCTTCATGTTACTTTTTCCTCTTCCCAAACGTATTTTAATGCTTTGTACTCCTCGAATGACATCCCCAAACCCTAATATTCCAGATTACTGCTTACATTTTACTGCATCTACCACTATGAAGTTTGAATCGACGTTTTTATCTTTATGCAATTGTGGTATGGCATCTCGAACTGATGTGCGTATATACGAAGCATTACCTCGTTGCCGACTTACTGGACGATCCTTAATGATGAATTAATACTGCTGGTAGTTTATCAACCTTCCTCACAGATTTTCGCTTTGCTTAAAGCATGTAATTTTGTGTTTCAAGACCTAAATGCTAGCTCTCGGGAATGTTTTTAGTGTAACAGTGGAGAAATTTTGGAATACACTGGAAGTCCGTACTCATACTGTGCCATTATGTAGTGGGATTCGCTTTTCTTGACGTGTACGTGGTATAATTAGTGCTTGCTGTATTATCCTGAGGTTTCAGTTTTCATGGAGTACAACTGAACCTTGTTCGTGTTATTGACTTGAGAAGTAGCTTTTCCAAACTTGCTGTCAAGAGATGACAATTATTGAGAGGGATTGGGCGATATTCATATACTTCAAATTATGGTTTTTCCATCATTAATAGCTAACACGTCTGGCACGACTTCATGGACAACCGAAGTTCATATTGCTACCTGAGGCACGTACGTCGTTATTTTTAATTAAGCACTGACCAATATGCCCTAGATTCATATATTTGCGTTCCATAATCATTGTGTTAATAGCAGACAGGTTTGATGCCTTGCGCAATGAAGCAAAGTTGCCATAGTTTGACTTGGACACCTATTAGTAGTGTAATGCAAGTGAAAAGATAAAAGTTATTTGCAAAGTTCACCATGTTGTTGATCATAGTAAAGTAATTCAGCAAGTGGTCTTAAATACGTGGTTGGATAGGTAAACTGAGTAGATAACCTGCAGACGCTAAATGGATGTGCTATTTTGTTATTATGAGAAAGTTGGTCTACTTCAGCTCTGCATATTAAATAGAACAGGAATATCTACTGTACGTCATACTCGAGGAACATGAACTTGTCTGCAAGCACGAGCTAGTCAGTACACTGCGTAACAAAACATGAAGGCGTTCGGGATAATTGTCAACTCATAATTCCCACTAAATAGTACTTTACGTAATCATATGCTTACCACATGGACTCGGGATTATTCTATTTGAATTGATTTTCAACTAAATGCTACCTAAAAAATATTTATGAATCTATTGTAGTTGTCTCAGTTATGATTATCAGCTAGGACAGTCAGAAATTGTTAATTTCCTATGTTGTACTACATTCCTTTTGCTGGGGTTTGCGTCTGATAGTGAAGCTTTATGTTATGCATGGTCTGATTTGCATCACTAATTTCTGGATTCAGTATCCATTATGCTACGTTAGGACCTCGAATAACTCAGGTCCATTAGTTTGAAATCGTTGCCGTTGATAATTTAATATTCAAAATATTTTCATTTAAGCTTTTGCTTATGTTGTTTCTTTTAAATTAGATGTTGCCATCTAAAATGATATACAACCCACGGTTCATATATCCGTCGTTAAATTTAGTTGTCCAGATCAACAAACATCAGAAGTAAAGGAATAACTGGACACTGACCAACAGCCGTTCAACCTAATGACGAGCGATGCACGTTACTGTAAAATAGGTTTGTAACCACAAGAAAAATCAAAAGGAATAGATAATACAATAGTGCGGAACTTCAGTTGTTGCTGATTCACTCATTAGCACTAACATTAGTCGCCCGCCTATTTCCGCCAGTTTTCATTTTTTTTGGGACCAGTCGTTTAATCATATATTCCGTTTTCCATTTCCTTGATTTCATTACTTTAAATTCAATTTAGTCGAACGCATTGACAAAAAATTAGCTGGATTTACACTGTAAGTGAAACCAATTATTGTAATAAACGTTCATTTGACGAGAATTATTGGTTTTGCTTCTTTGTCCACTTACTGTTGAAGCACGAACAAGCATGGCAAATAAGAGCATATGTAGTTCTTATTTCTGATACAAAATAAACGTTAGGAAATAAGTTCATGGGGACACTTCGCGTTTCCTGACTTTCGTGACCTGGTGTTGTCATTTCATTGGCGTGTTATATCGTAGTAAATCGTGTGATTTATTATGACAGGGATAAAGGATGCTTAGTGCTACTTTTTTAGAGTGATAATTTGATAGGCTTAAATAAGTCCAGTGGTTGATGAGGCTTAACAGACAGTCATTCCGCTGACAAGGTGTGAGGCACTGGAGGAAATAGAGCTGTGTGGATGTTTACAGCAAACGCCCTGTAACTTGAGGTCATCCGATTTCAGCAATCCCAGCGTCTCTTTCTGTTAGAAATGTCCGGTTATTAGAGTTTGAAATAATAGTTTCTTAAAAGCTACACGATTAGTATTTTAATGGGATGATCCGAGGGATAACGATTCAGGTTGAGACTCGCATTAAATTAGACTGAAAAAGCCTTGCTTTCGTATTGTCAATCTATAGTAGTAGATGGCCATGGCTTGATCGTCAGTTCTGTTGCTGGCATGAAACTTGGTGATGGAGTCAGTTACGATAAAGCGTACTGTTAGATTAGAAATTTCCATCAAAGTGAGAAGAAATAGGCGTGAGAAACGATGTCTTTTTGTCATCTCCGCCTATGCCCCGACAGATTGCAGCCCGGATGCAATCAAGGACGAGTTCTACCATCAGCTAACTGTTCTTCTCCAGAAAGTGCGTTCGACAGATATTGTAGTACTAGCTGGAAACTTGAATGCTCAGATCGGGCGTCTAGGCACAGAAGAGAGTCGTTTAGGTGTCCGATGGGGACTCGTTGGTCGCAGGACAGATAACGGGGAACGTCTACTGCAG